CTAGGTTATATCCACAAGGACTCAAATATAGAAGTATGGAGTTCTTCTCAGGCTGTATTTAGTTTGCTTTAACAGCACGCAGAGTCAGTAGCTTCACACTGAAACAGACAGATGACAGGCAAGTCCACAGGCTTCCCTTCCTCATAAGGTGTGGCAAAGGGAGGGAAAATACTTAGAAGACTTAAAGAAGATTACAGAGTTCAAAGTCAGGGCACTAAACAGAGTTTTCTAAACTGATCAGCCATTTCAATCCATCCTGCATGGGTGACTATTCAGGCTGAGCCAATCCACCATTTCAACATGCCATGTGTGGGTATCTATTCAGTTGGAGTTGATGAAGTTAGTGAAAACCAAAAGAAGGGAAGGAGGAAGGAAGAAGAAGGAAAAATAAAAACACAACAAGTAGGGGACAGGAGAAGAGGGAAAGCATAGCTTAGAGGGGTGGCAAGGAGTCTTGGGGAAGCTGGAGGAAAACTCTCAGTTGCAGCAATACTGAACCAAAGATTCAGACAGCTGCCCATCAGCTGCAGAGGTGTCTGGCCATCATGCTGGCTCACAAGCCTCCTGCTTGGGAGGGAAAAATGTTCCCCATGTCCTGTGGACGTGCAGCAGTTGCCAGAGAATCTCTTATAAACCAGACTCTTTGGCTTCCCATGTAATGGAAATTAACATGGGGCCAAGCGGATTTCCTAGACAAGGATTTTATTTCAGGGCTTGTGCTCAAGAGCAAGGGAGACAGTGGAAGTGCAAGAATCCTCCCACTGGTTTTCCAAAAAGCGTTGGTAGGGATCGTTTTATTAGGCAAAGAGCGGGAATTGACATCACGGGTAAGGTTTGCAGGCTGGGCTGGGCAGAGCTTGTTAAGGGGTAAGGTATGCAGGTCAGCATAGCTGGTCATGATGGTTACGTTGAGTAACAGGCCACCTGGTGGTCTGGCCAGCGGCAACAATGCTGTAAATCAATTGTTCAGCATTCCTTCCTGAGTAGGGACACTCCACAGCCTTGGTTCGATTTCGGATCTCCTTAGGCCAGTTTCTGGAAATTTTTTTTTTTTTTTTTGAAACGGAATCTTGCTCTGTCGCCAGGCTGGAGTGCAGTGGCATGATCTCAGCTCACTGCAACCTCTGCCTCCCGGGTTCAAGCGATTCTCCTGCCTCAGCCTCGTGAGTAGCTGCGACTACAGGCACGTGCCACCACACCCAGTAGAGGTGGGGTTTCACCATGTTGGCAAGGATGGTCTTGATCTCCTGACCTCGTGATCCACCCACCTTGGCCTCCCAAAGTGCTGAGATTACAGGCTTGAGCCACTGCCACCGGCCTGGAATTCTTTAAGTAAAAGGCATGATTAAACATGAAAGCCCCGAAAAATAATATAGTGTTAAATCAAGTTTAGCCTAAAACTGCCTCCTTACATCCTTTAAGTTTGGCCTGAAAGTTTCTCTGTACATCGTGATCTATAACAAGTGGAGGTATGAATGGACCATAGCCTACACCGTGCCAATCACCGAGTTTTGGCCAATCAAATGTAGCCAACTATTCGAACCATGTTCACAAAATGCAAATGCCAACCTATACCCAATCCAGCTGTTTCTGTACCCTTCCTTCCTTCCTTCCTTTTTTTTTTTTTTTTTTTGAGACGGAGTTTCACTCTTGTTGCCCAGGCTGGAGTGGAGTGGTGCAATCTTGGCTCACTGCAACCTTCACCTCCCAGGTTCAAGTGATTCTCCTGCCTCAGCCTCCCGAGTAGCTGGGATTCAGGTGCCCACCACCACACCTGGTCAATTTTTTTGTATTTTTAGTAGAGATGAGGTTTTCTCATGTTGGTCTCAAACACCTGACCTCAGGTGATCCACCCACCTCGGCCTTACAGAGTGCTGGGATTACAGGCATGAGCCACCGTGCCCAGCCTCACTTCTCTTTTCTGTCCATCCCTTTCCTTTTTCTGTCCATAAATCTTCTTCTACCACGTGGCTGTGCTGGAGTCTCTGAGCCTACTCTGACTCAGAAGGCTGCCCAAATTGTGAATCATTTATTGTTTGATTAAACTCCTTTACATTTAATTCAGCTGAAGTTTTCTTTTATCAATATAATGGCTACTTTCTTTTGTGAACCCTGAATATCTGAGACGGTTTCAGTTAGTTTAGAAAGTTTATTTTGCCAAGGTTGAGGATGCTCTCCTGTGACACAGCCTCAGGAAAGACATGTGCCCAAGGTGCTCGGGGCACAGCTTGGTTTTATACATTTTAGGGAGACATGAGGCATCAATCAATATATGTAAGAAGTACATTGGTTCTGTCCAGAAAGGCGGGGACAACTCGAAGCAGGGAGGGAGCTTCCAGGTCACAGGTAGGTGAGAGACAAATGGTTGCATTCTTTTGAGTTTCTGATAAGCCTTTCCAAAGGAGGCAATCAGATATGCATCTGTCTCAGTGTGTGGCAGAGGGGTGACTTTGAATAGAGTGGGAGGCAGATTTGCCCTGAGCAGTTCCCAGCTTGACATTTCCCTTTAGCTTAGTAATTTTGGGGCCCAAGGTTTTCCTTTCACACTTTGTATGACTATTAATTGGTCTTAATATGACTATGAATTGCGCCCCCCCCCCCCCCCCCCCCCGCAAAGTGCTGGGATTATAGGCGTGAGCCACTGCGCCCCGCGATGCAGACTTTTAAAGTAACTGCTCCAAGAGGATTTCCAGGGACATATTTGCCTATTGCCAGATTTTGGTCTAGGACAAACAGGAAATTCTCCTGGCAGTGTTGAGCTTTAACATGTAGGTGCTTAAGGGAGGATGGGGGAATGGATGATTATTTGTCTGGAGAGTCTGCAGTGTTTACATGTCCAGGCTGAGGCCCGGGACAATTACAATTTAAGTTTTGCTTCTTAAGTGTAGGACAGTCCCTTTTCCAGTGTCCTGGCATTTTATAGTATCTGCAAGCGTCTTTTGGAGGGGAGGTTTTGGGATTGGTAAGAAGGATGGGGGGTGGGGGTGCTTTAGGTTTTTCCTAAGGCCACATTTGTGTTTTTGTAAAGACTCAGTAAAGCCAGGACATTTATTTATTTTTTAAAAATATTTATTTATTTATTTAATATGGGGTCTTGCTCTGTGGCCCAGGCTGGAGTACAGTAGCACAACCATAGCTCACTGCAGCCTCAAACTTCTGGCTCAGTCGATCCTCCCACCTCAGCCTCCCGAGTAGATGGAACTACAGGTGCATACCACCATGCCCGGCTAATTAAAAAAAAAATTTGTTTAGAGACTGGGTCTCACTATGCTGCTCAGGCTGGTCTTGAACTCCTGGCCTCAGGAGATCCTTTCGCCTCAGCCTAGAACAGTTATTTTTAATTCTTCAAAGAACTGGGTGGTGGACTCAGCCAGTTAAGGGATTGGCCTGCCCATCCAACTGCACTATTTTGAAATTGTCCCTTTATGTCAGAGAGAAGATTTCCAACTGATGTGGAAACCAAAAGATTCCTGCATTCCAGGGCTTCTGAATTTAGAGCTGTGTGCCTTTGGAATGTTTTTATAAATCTTTTAACAGAGCCTTTAGGATAAATTCCTGCCCTCTGAGCATATCATTCCACTTCAGCCCATTGACCTGTAGAGGAAAGTCTTCCATGATATCTCCTATCAGACTGAACTATCAGCCTCCCACTGGGCCATGTGCAGGAGGAAGGTAGTGAAGGGGAGTTTATAGTGGGTGTAGATTTAAATTGTTGTTCTAAATCTGATTTCTGTTGTTTAATTTCATTAAGGAAGCTTTTAGGCTAGCTGTGATACTTTTTGTGTCCTTCTTTCCATTTCATCCTCCCCTGTAGGTAATTAGGACATTTGTTTAGGGTAAGTGTGCTCTAAAAATCCTTTTAAATATGAAAGCTTTTCTAACCCAAAAGATTTGTCATCTGGCCATTGACAATTTAGGGTTTCCAAAAGCATGCTTGTTCCAAAATACGATTCAAAACCAATAAGCCTTTATATGGCTTGACCATAAACTACGTAGCCAAAAAAACTTCAGTAATGATATATTTCAGGATCTTAATGTTATTAGTGCTGATTCTTTTCTCTCTGTACCTGTGACTAACAACAACACAACAGAAATTCCAGAAATATAGTCACTTCCTAAAAATATTTAGTCAATTGTCTAGGATTTTGGTCAATATGGCACCAAATAGATATTGGAACTTTAAAATATAATTGATTGATTTTTCGGAATAATCTGGAATTCTAGATGTAATAAACATTTAAAATAGGATTCATTTAAATTAAGGTAATTTCTCACACATCTTGTGTTATTTGGTAACGACTCAGGACCAGTTTAACCTTTGTTACATTGATACTTAGAATATACAATCTCTAACCTCAGGATTATGAACAACCTAAGTCTGTAAATTCATGATTTTAACCTTTTCCTGCTCTTAAAAATTAATATACTATCTTAATTAGTTTAAAAAGCCAGTCCTTTTTATTCACAGATTCAACTACCTTTAGAGTGTTCTTAGGAAAAAAAATTGTGGCAGAGTATGCAGCATAGGGTAAAAAGAGCACTGTGTACTACCGTATTTCCTGTAATCAAAAATCTGCAGTACAAAGCACACAGTAGTAGAAAACTGTGTTCTTCTGAAGCACAGGTGTAACGTGCATGTTGTAATGGATTTATCAGACTTTAGGAATAAGAAAGCTCTAAGAGTATGCTCATCCTGTTGGGAATAAATCTTTGGAATTTTAATTCACATGTGATTTGGAAAATCTACAGTAGAATCATTAAAAATTCAATCCGTAATCAATATTTGAGCCTATTGGTAACTATGTTTTCCTTTCTGTAACTGATGGATCCTGGTGGTTTGCCGTCTTACGAATCAATCTCACACTGAAGATTCTTGGCCGAGGACTCAGACATGACGGATTGTGGCCTTTCTCTGTACCCATTGCCTTAGGAAGTCCTTGAGTATAATTGTAACCAGTGTGTTTCATTCTTTTCTCCTGTGGGTGTGGAAACCCCTTCAGGTTGGTGGCTACTGGGATAAGTCCTGTAGCACAGTGACTCAGCTGAAGGAAGGTCTCAATCGAATCCTCTGCCTGATCCCCTATAATGTGATCAGTCAATCTGTCTGGGAGTGTATTATGCCGGAATGGCTGGAAGCCATCAGAACAGAAGTCCCAGATAATCAGTTAAAAGAATTCAGGGAAGTATTAAGGTGGGTAAGTAGTTTAATGAAATCACTGCAATTATAATCATACCTAATGTTTGTTGAGCATGTACTGTATGCCTGTCACCCTACTAAGCATTTTATATAATCTCATTTACTTTTTAACAACCCTGTAGAGAAACTTGAAGCCCCAACGTGAAATAGCTGCAATACCTCCACCTAAGATGATTTGGCATTGTCCCGAAAAGATTTTTGTTCTTGTGGAATAGTAAATAGATAAAAACAGACGTTTGCTTATTTTGAAATTTTCAAATATAATTATAATTGGTAGGATGTGGTGGGAAAGTGCAAAGGGAAACTGTTTTAGATGCTAGGGAGCAATGCTAATGCCTTAGAAATGCAATTCCTTCTGTTAAACCTAATATGAGGAAGAACAGTAATGTTATTAACCACCATATGAATTATTTATAAGATCTCTATTTCAATGACATAAACTTCTCTTCTAGTAAAGTGAAACATGCTGCTAACAGTTCAGAACCCAAACTAATCTAAAAGACTTGGCTTTCCAAATAGGGAATAGTTAGAAAGACATTGGTGGCATTAGTAGAACCCGATCTATGCCCATTGGTCATTTACTTTTGTTGCTCTGCTTTCCAGCAAAATGTTTGACATTGAACTCTGTCCTCTGCCTTTCTCAATGGAGGAGATGTTTGGTTTTATTAGTTGTCGGTTTACAGGATACCCCTCATCTGTGCAGGAGCAAGCTTTACTATGGCTTCATGTAAGTGAATAATACTTCCGATCATTTTAGGAAATAATTCTTAGCTTACAAGCTTTAGATTCCTGGGTCGAGGGGGTGGGAGTTGTAGCAAAGAGTTCGTAAGTCCCTATGTTTGCCAAGAAAGAATATCTCCTATGCATAGATAAATGAGTAAATTTCAAATATATGTTGCTCTAGTTGTGGGTAATAATATATAAATATATAAATTGTGCAATAATATTACTGAATTCATAGTAGCTTGAGGTCCTTTTATATTTTTCCATCAATGGCTATTAAAAGTATAATAGTTGTCTTGTGGGATTCTGCTAAATCTTTGATATTAAACAGGTCCTTTACTTGGAAGGATGGGGAAGGATTTAGTGACTAGTTCGTGCTGTTCTCTCAGCCTGGGATGACTTTCTCTTGTGTCTCTATTTGTGAACTCCAACCTACCTTTTAAAGTTCATCTCAAAAATTATCCCCTATGTGAAGTTTTCTGCTACTTCAAGCCCTCATCTTCCCAGGTTCTCTGTGTGAATTTGGTTCTATTTCTGTCTCACAGTTTTTGTCTCTCTCTCCACCTGATTACAACCTCCTGAGTACAAGGGCCAGGTCTTACTCATTTCTGTATTTATAACCCTCTTCATCCTCTCCTCCTAGAATATAGCACATGCTTTGTATTTAAAAGTGGATGTTCAGGGCCGGGTGCGGTGGCTCATGCCTGTAATCCCAGCATTTTGGGAGGCTGAGGTGGGTGGATCACAAGGTCGGGAATTCAAGACCAGCCTGGCTAAGATGGTGAAATCCTATCTCTATTAAAAATACAAAAAAACAAAAAATTAGCCAGGCATGGTGGCGGGTGCCTGTAATCCCAGCTACTTGGGAGGCTGAGGCAGAGAATTACTTGAATCCAGGAGGCAGAGGTTTCAGTGAGCCGAGACCGCACCACTGCACTCCAGCCTGGGCAACAGAGTGAGACTCTGTCTCAAAAAAAAAAAGTGGATGTTCAATTAAAGTTTATTAAATTGACTTGAATACCTGATATGAAGTTTGGGCAGTTTTAGAAAATGAGGACAGAATCAATGTTTAGGTTAACTACAGGTATAGATACATTTCTGTGTCATGCAAGGATAGGATTGCATAAGCTCTTCAAGTTGTAAAGATGCCTTTCTGGGTTCGAAACTAAAGAGCAATATTCTTCACATTTGACAAAGAGCAAAGAGACCATTTTTTAAAAAGTCAAAATTTGGGCCAGCTCGGTAGCTCACACCTGTAATCCCAGCACTTTGGGAGGCGAAGGTGGGTGGATCACTTAAGCTCACGAGTTCAAGACCAGTCTGGCCAACATAGCCAAAGCCCATCTCTACAAAAAATACAAAAATTAGCTGGATGTGGTGACGCACATCTGTAGTCCCAGCTACTTGGGAGGCTGAGCCAGGAGAATCTCTTGAGCCCACGAGATCAAGGCTGCAATGAGCTATGATCAGGCCACTGCACTCCAGCCTGGGCAACAAAGTGAGACCCTGTCTCATAAAAAAAAAAAATAGTCAACTTTGGGATTTAGAATTTTAACCATTTATTCCCAAATGGATTTCAGTGAGGTAATTCTCCTTTGAAGAAAGCCAGTCTTCCTACGCATGGCTGGATGTTGCCTCAGTTACCCAGTTGCCCAGTCCTTACACTGTTCTCCTTGGGGATGAGCCCATACAGCTTTGACCCGTATAGCTACAGCGGCAACATTTACACGTTTTACGGACTGGGCTTTCATCCAGCCTTGATTTATAAGACAGAGTGCTGCAGCTGAAGGAGGTTTTCCAGCCTTGGTCTATTTAGAGGATAGAGTGGACACTATAGTGGTTAGAGTTGACTCATTTATAATTAATTGTGGAAACACATGCAAGAGCTCCCATGGGCCAGGCACTGGAATAGGCACTGGAATAAAAGTGGGACCAGAAATAGTCCTTTCTGCATACTTGCTTTCTTTAAGCAGCTCTCAGTGGGAGGGATAGGATGAGATAATTAAACAGAAGAAAAAGTAATAATTGCTCTAATAAAGGTATGTATAAAGGTTAAGAAAGCACAGAACAGGGATGGATTAATTCTGTCTGAAGGAAGAAGGCATTTTTTTCCAGAAAATTAATGACAGAGAAGGTGACTTGATTTGGGCCCAGATTGACACCAAGTTGTACCAGACAGCAAGATGGGATGGGTCATTGAGATCAGAGTGGGGATGGACTGGAGAAGCAGTGCTAGTCTAGGAGAAAGGTGGGGACCTGAGGCACTAGCGGTGGGTATGGAGAGTCGGGGACAGTGTCAAGAGAAACTGAGAAGTGTTAGTAGAAAGAACATGGTGACCTATTAGATGCTGGGGGTGAGGAAAGGAGAAAGTTCAATGATAACTTTGATTTTCTTAGTATGAAAATTGGAGGATGACTGTTGATAGAATACATGCAAGGCTAAATATCCTCATGTTCAACAATTTGCTTTGGAAAAAGAAGGCTAAATGTAGCTTTTTTGAGTTTTAAAATTTACATGTGTTTTTTGGGGGATATATGCCTTTTTTTCCCTAGGTATTATCGGAGTTAGATATCATGGTTCCACTTCAACTCCTAATAAGTATGTTTTCTGATGGAGTTAATTCGGTCAAAGAGCTGGCAAATCAAAGAAAATCAAGAGTCAGTGAACTGGCAGGGAACCTTGCATCTCGAAGGGTAATTATTGCCACATTTTTTCTTGTCTTACTTTTAAAAATTTTGAAAACCCTTGTCAGTTATCCTAAGCCTGAAAGTACTGTCATAAGAAACCAAAAATGTGTTTTCCTCCCATCTTGCTGTGTTCATCTTTTAAGTGCATTAAATAGTCACATTTGTTTGGTATAGTATATAATCAGTAAGTTATTGAGTTTTCATTTTCTTTTTAATTGCTTTGAATTTTAGCTCTCTCCCATGATGAAAAAGAGTAGCTTTTTGGTAACATTCTATTTTTATGAGTCTCCTGCTGAATAAGAATTTTTCACCAGCTCCTAGGCAGATCAGTGCTTCACTTTGGGGGTGAGGAGTTTGGCAGGAGTTTGGATGATTTTTTTTCCTTGTCTTTTGGGAAGATATGATCAACTAGTGGTGAATGTGAGGGATGCTGTCACTGTGAACCAACTGAGCCCACTTTCTTGACCCCTTTGCATCACTGTAGATGAGAAAAGTCAAGATAGTCTGGTCTAAAGTGTATACAAACTGCTGGACAGCTTTGCTTATTTTTCTATGGAGGCCTCTGCTGATGTAGAGTCTCTGCTGATGTGCTGCTGTTCTCAGGCCATGAGCAGCTATGGAAAGGTTGACTCTTATTGCATGGTTGGCAGAAAATGTTCACCACTCTTTCCTTGTCAAGCCTCTCTACAAAATTTCCCCCACTGTATGCCACAGGCCTCCTGCCATTCCTCCTGATATCTAGGGATTAAAAAATGGAACATGATTATGGGTTTGTATTCATTGTTTTTAAAGAATATCATTACTTATTTTGTCATCTGCCTGATAGGAGCCAGCTGCCAACCATCTATACTTTCTTTCTTCCGTAACCTTTAAAATGACATTCCTTTGTGTGGCACTTTACTCTGTGCAATGTGTTCACAATAAACAATATCACAGGATTGTGTGAGGCAGCCAGGGAAGAACTCATTATCTTCATTTTACAACTGCCTAACCTGATGTTCAGTGAAGTGAAGTGATTTCCTACAGATAACACCGTGAATGCTTGGGTATTCTCATTCTTAATGGGGTCATCTTCCTCTTTACCTTGAAAATGGTGTTTGAAGAGCTTTGTTGTTACCACAAAGATTTTTAAGACAGAAAAATATCCTAGGTGATAGGTTCAATCACATCCCAAACCTCAGCATCACTCAATATAACTTTGTAACAAACCTGCACGTGTCCCCTGATTCTAAAATAAAAATTGAAAAAGAAAAAGAAAGAGAGAGAAATATGATTTGAGAGTGATGTACAGATGTGTTAGTCAGGATCCCGATTCAGAATTTATCCCAGATAGTTTAAATGACGACTTTAATGGAGATTCTGCCTATAGTGTTATGGGAAAGCTTAAGGGAGCTAAAGGAGCAGTACGGGTGCACAAGGCACTCAGAGTCCAGGAACAGTCCAGGAGAAAGTCCTTACATCCCCATGGCTGAAGGAACAAGGGAAGGAGCTCCTGGGGTACCAAACAGGAGCTAAACTGTAAGAAAGGGCTGGTTGGAGAAGTTATGGCGTGCTAGAGATGCTCCCAGAGATGTAGCACCCAAGTAGGCAGGGAGAAGGGGAATACTTCTGCCTCTCTCTCCTCCAGCTTTCAGGACTTCTGCTGGTGCCTCCCATTCACTGAACCCAGCCAGGTTTGGTGACTCATGCCTCTAATCCCAGCACTTCGGGAGCTGAAGTGGGAGGATTGCTTGAGTCCAGGAGTTAGAGACCAGCCTGGGCCACATAATGAGACCTTGTCTCTACAAAAAAATTTTCAAAAAATTAGCTGGGCCTGGTGGTGCAAGCCTGTAGTCCCAGCTACTTGGGAGGCTGAGGTGGGAGGATTTCTTGAGCCTAGGAGGTCAAGCCTGCAGTGAGCCATGATCATGCCGCTGCACTCCAGCCTGGGCAAGAGAGCAAGACTCTGTCCCAAAGCAAAACAGTGACAAAAAAATCCAAAGAATAAAAACCATTGACTTAACCCAGCTGGAAGCTATGCAGCAAAGGAGCCAGAGGAGACTCAGTCCATGACTTCTTGGGCATAGAGTAGGGCCAAGGAGGTAGTAAAGGTCTGAATGGGGGTTGGGTGGACAAATGGAGAATAATCAGTATAAAAGGTTTATCATATATTGTCGACCCATAATAGTTTACTACTTGTAATCCCCAGAGACCATCTTTTAACCAATCGTGTCAATCTGAGATTCTGTGCTTCTGATTCTAAACATTATCTTGCAATATTTTACTTTTGTAAATTCTCATTTTTCAGGGTACGGTTTTCAGTATATTCAAACAATCTGGTCTAATTGGACATGTTTGATGGGTTGAAAAATGTAATGGCAGATGCCTTCATTCTTTGGCGTGTTGATGTCACTTCCTGACAACTAGGAAGTTTGAGTGGTTTTATTTTTTGTTTTTATATATTGAGAGAATCCTTAGTATTTGGAGATACTAATGCCAATGGTTAAGGAAGGAAATAAGTGTGACAGCTGGAAATACCTTCCATAGAGTCCCCAGATATTTTACACAGCCATTTGAGCTTCTGTGAGTTCATTTCTGTGTTGCCATTCTTTCTTGTAGGTGAGTGTTGCCTCTGATCCTGGTCGACGAGTTCAGCACAATATGCTCAGTCCATTTCATAGTCCTTTCCAGAGTCCGTTTCGGAGTCCTATGCGTAGTCCATTTCGTAGCCCTTTCAAGAATTTTGGACACCCAGGAGGAAGGACTATTGACTTTGATTGTGAAGATGATGAAATGAATCTAAATTGTTTCATCCTCATGTTTGATCTTCTCCTGAAGCAGGTAGCTGAAGCATGAGCTTCCTTTAGTTCAGAGGTGAAGAATGAGAGAAAGCATTGTACAGCAATTCTTTCCATGTGTCGGGCATCTCCACACTTACCGAAATGATGCAGCATCACCCAAGACCTTTTGCAGACTCCTTTGGGGATTTCCCAGAGAGTCTGAAAACTACTTATGTGAATATCTGCAGTGATGTTGACATATGAGAATGGATTGAATTTTAGAAACACCTTAGCGCCATTAGAATTGATTCTGTTAAGTAAATTGCATGAACAAAAAGTATGATACTATTGTTGGGAGGGGCAACAACTCTATAGTGATGAAGCTAATTTTAATATATTTCATACATTCATTTTTAAAGTTAATTTTAAAAGAGAAGTTAAAAAGGTTTTGATGAGAACATTTCTTTTTAACCTTTTATTTTGAAACAATTTCAGATTTGCAGAAAAGTTACAAGAATACTATAAAGAATTTCCAAATACTCCTCCCTGCAATTCTCCCGATGTTAACATTTACCACATCTGCTTCTCTCTCTCTTTCTCTGCATGTGTATGCATTAATTTTTTAATAGATTGTTTGAGACTAAATTGCAGACATGATGTCCTTTTATCCCTAAACACTTCAGAGTGTATTTTCTAAAAAATAAGGACATTCTCTTACATAAACATAGTACAGTTATCAAAATCAGGAAATTAATAGTGTTATAGTACTACTATATAACTTACAGAAATTATTAATTTTAAAAATTGATATAATAGTAATATCTTTATAGCAAGAGAAGAAAGCCTGGCTTTGATTAAGGAACAATTTAGAAGCACTCATTGCAATTATATGTACTGTTTCCTTTGTCTTCTTTAATCTAGGACAGTTCCTTCGTCTTTATCTTTCACATCCTTGACTTTTTTAAAAAAAAATTTTTTTTAATTTTTGTGGGTACCTCGTGGGTGTCTATACTTATGGGGCCTTGACATTTTTGAAGAGTATAGTCTAGTTATTTTGTGGACTCTCCCTCGATTTGAGTTTGCCTGATGCTTCCTTATGAATTAATTTGGGTCATGCATTTTTTGGTAGGAAGACCACAGATGTGATGTTACGTCCTTTGTAATGCATCATGTCAGCAGGCGTAAGATAATAATGTCCCATTACTGCGATGATAACTTCGGTCACCTTAACGAAGTGACCAAAATCTGCCAGATTTTTCTGTGATAAAGTCACTATTTTCCCTTTTGTAACTAATAAGTAATTTGTAAATACCTTATGGATTTCCTATTTATTTATCAGACTTTCATCCACTAGTTTTACCATCAATGGATGATTCATCAATTATTACTATCATGACAGTCAAGTGATAATTTTCCAATTCCATCATTTCTTCTAAATGTATTCGCTGGTACTCTACTGATGGAATAGTTTCTCCTTCTTTCCCATTTATGTGTTTATTTATTTATCTACTTATTCCCGCAGTGCCCAGGGATTTTTATGTTATTTGGTGGGTTATAATCTCTTACTGTGATTCTGTATCTTGATGCTCGTGTTCCACAAATTGGCCAGTGGGAATCTTTTCAAGCTGGCTCCTGTGTTCTTTTGGCACGTCCACATCATTCCGTGAACTCTTCCTTAATTTCTGGTGCAACAAGATGTTCCGGGCTCATCTTATATTTTCCTAGCCCCAGCCCTGGAATTCAGCCATTTCTCCAAGGAGCCCTGGTTCCTTTTAGCAGCTCATGGTATTTAGAAACCAAGATCTGGACTCTAGGTGAGGAGGAGCATTTTTAAAATGTGTAAAATCTCACAAACTGATGAGCCAAAAACAACAACAGCTCTCTTTTAAATGTCCCACATGATTTTTAAAATAATTCCGATTGCTTCGTCTTGTGTTTATATTCCTTCTAGAAACAACCCATGGACAGCAATGTATATTCATGGTCTTGAAGCCTATATTGTCTTTAAACAATTCAATATTGCTGCCAGTTAGTGAAAATTATCCCCAAGTAGTGTGCCAATGGAATATTGGACAAATGGACCAAACTCCTTCTTCTTCTTCTTTTTTTTTTTTCCTGTGTGTGTGTATGTGTGTGTGTGTGTCCTTTTTCCGATGTCTTTCAGATGGAGTTACAAGATGATGGAATCACGATGGGTTTAGAGCACAGCTTATCAAAGGACATTATTTCTATTATAAACAATGTTTTCCAAGCCCCCTGGGGGGGATCCCACACCTGCCAGAAGGACGAAAAAGCAATCGAGTGCAACTTATGTCAGTCTAGTATCCTCTGCTATCAGCTTGCTTGTGAACTCCTGGAGAGACTAGCTCCCAAAGAAGAAAGCCGGCTGGTGGTAAGCAGTTGAAGAAACAAGATGACCCATGTATAATAGCATTAAAGACTGCAGTAGCTGATGTAATGGAGTCTTCCTCCAGCATCATCTTAGACTCCGTGCTGGGTTATACGTGAGACTGTGTTAAAAGAAACTTTTCCCATTGCTTCCGCCGACTCAGGCTCTTGGAAAGGGATACAAACTGGAGCCACACTATACAGAATTCTATTAAGTGGCTTGAGTGAGGGTTGTAGCGCCTCCATTCATATGGTTTCATGCATTACTAGTATTCTTGAAATAACTTTTATCACAAAGTTATATTACAAAGTTTAAGTGATAATGAATACTGTAAATTTTTTTTTTTTTTTTTTTTTTTTGAGACAGTGTCTCACTCTGTCTCCTAGGCTGGAGTGCAGTGGCTCAATCATGCTCACTACAACCTTTGCCTCCCAGGCTCAGGTGATTCTCCCACCTCAGCCCCTCAAGCAGCTGGGACTACAGGCACCCACTACCATGCCTGGCTAATTTTTAAATTATTTTTTGTGGAGACGGGGTTTTGCCATGTTACCCAGTTGGTCTTAAACTCCTGAGCTCAAGTGATTCACCCTCCTCGGCCTCCCAAAGTGCTGGGATTACAGGCGTGAGCCACCATACCTGGCCAAATGTATGCATTTTTAAATTGTTTCTCCAGCTAGCTGTTGACAGACACTTGGGTTGCCATACCTTGCTGTCTGTAACTCACATGTTATAGCAGTTTCTTGCTCCTAAAAATTTGACTACCCTGGACAACCAGTATTTGTGTCTTTAAATTTTTTTTAAAATTTATTTATTATTATTATTATTATCAGAGATAGGGTCTTGCTCTGTCACCTAGGATTGCAGTGGTGGGATCATGAATAGCTGCAGCCTTGAACTCCTGGGTTTAAGGGATCCTCCCACCTCAGCCTCCTGGGTAACTGGGCACAGGCATGCCACCATGCCTGGAGAATTTAAAACATTCTTTTAGAGATGAGGTCTCACTGTGTTGCCCAGGCTGGTCTCAGATCCTGCCCTCAAGCAATCCTCCTGCCTCAGCCTCCCAAAGCACTGGGATTCCTGGCATGAACCAGCGCACCTGGCCAGTATTTGCATCTTGTTTTTTGAGATGGAGTCTTGCTCTGTCGCCCAGGCTGATGTGCAGTGGTGCAATCTCAGCTCACTGCAACCTCCGCCTCCCAGGTTCAAGCAATTCTCCTGCCTCAGCCTCCCTAGTAGCTGGGATTACAGGTGTGTGCCACCATGCCCAGCTAATTTCTGTATTTTTAGTAGAGACGGGGTTTCACCATGTTGGTCAGGCTGGACTCGAACTCCTGACCTCGTGATCTGCCCACCTCGGCCTCCCAAAGTGCTGGGATTATAGGCGTGAGCCACAGTGCCCAGACATTTGCATCTTAATATAGCTCTGTGAACCCCTTATTATTCCTTCCTAATTAAGTCCTGTTATTGAATAACATGCACTTGGGTGGGAGTGACTTGAGGTGAGAAAGCAGACCTAGGAAGATTTAATGATGTTTTTGATCTTCTATATATATTTGAAGTGAAAGAAAATGTTTCAGCAACAGCGGATAGAGCTTTCTTTTCACTGTTCTGGCAATAAGCTCGAGGTCTTTTGGGGTGTGGTGCCTTGGCCTCTGGCGGCAGCAGCATGGGGCCCAGGACACAGCAGGTGTGCAGTCCAGCTTTGCTGAGCTGAGTGAACTGTTCCTGACACCCCTCCAGGGCCGCTTACCTGGCTGCCTGTCCTGTTTATTTCAGGAGCCCACAGACAGCCTTGAGGATAGCCTCCTTTCTTCCAGACCGGAGTTTATCATAGGCCCTGAAGGGGAGGAGGAGGAGAATCCTTCAAGCAAGCATGGGGAGAACCCAGGCAATCGCACCGAGCCTGTGGAACGTGCTGGTAGGTGTGCTCTGACTGCTGGGGAGTGTACTGTGTGCACAGGGCCTGATGTTCAAATCACTGGGTTCTTGGTTTAACATCGACTTGGGCAAATTCAGACGTGGTTTCCTTAGTACAGACTCATGCAGAGGAACATTTCCCAGCAGATTATAAAGTGAACAGATCCATTGCAGTTCCCATAGAACCCAGTTCCCTGAGCATCTTTCTGGCAGTAGGTGCTGGTTTTCAATAAAAACTCATCGCCTCGCTACTTACAATGCCTAGTGTTCTCTGTGGACCAAGGCTGGGTGCTGACAATCTTGACAGCCACTTAGGGCATCTGGCCAAAGCAGAGTGTGTTTGGATAGAAGATTGGGGCTCTGGCGGTTGGGCTGTGCAGGTTGAGCTTGGAGGCTACTTTGTTGGCTCTTAGCTGGGGCTGGGGAGTGGCCTCTTTCTCATTTGTCTCAAGGTTCTTGGGTGGACGCAATGGGGGCAAGCGAGATGGCAGACATGCTCAGGAATCGTACTCTAGCTCCTTTCACATGACGGCATTTAGGGATTTCAGGATGTGGCCCCACATGCCTCTGGGAAAGCCTGATTTCTAGCTCTGGATGGTGGCACTCTGGGGATCTATATGAGACCTGGGGCAGATTTGGGCAGCTTTTCAATCTTCCTGCATCCATGATCTGAAAGAGTTGGAATAGCTTGCTCCTGATTGGGTACAGTGGCTCACGCCTGTAATCCCAGCACTTTGGGAGGCTGAGGTGGGCGGATCACTTGAGGTCGGGAGTTCAAGACCAACTTGACCAACGTGGAGAAACCCCATCTCTACTAAAAATACAAAATTAGCCAAGCGTGGTGGCTCATGCCTGCAATCCCAGCTTGCATGGGATTGAGGTGCAAGTGAGGCAGGAGAATCACTTGAACTGGGGAGGCGGAGGTTGCAGTGAGACGAGATTGCGCCATTGTGCTCTAACCTGGGCGATGAGAGTGAAACTCTGCTCAAAAAAAAAAAAAAAAAAGCTTGCTCCTGGAAGCCCACTCCAGTATTAGGAGGCATGGGCTTGGCATCATTCCTTCAATGAGCAGCGGATATTATTAGGGGACTGTTTTCTGGGGTTCATTGCAACTGTGGAGGTGTCTTATTCAGATGAAAGTAACCCTACAAAATCTTTGGTCGGAACTAACTGCTTCTCCATGGATCATATGAACAGTGAATTGTGTATGAATATCTCACCTCACACTATTTCATGTCATAAACCTTAGAATTTGAAGGAATACCTGAGATTATCTGGTTCACTGGTTTTCAGTGTGCATTTCTTGGAGTTATAAAGGCTCGGTGTGATGTCTTTTGGAACATCCTCAATTGGGGCAACCCCTGGGGGAAAGAGGAGGGCAAAATATAAAGACCCAGCAGGCTCCCCACCTTGCTTCTGCCAGATTACTCTGACGACTTGTTCTCTTTCGTATGTTGGAGTTCTTTTTTTTTGAGACAGGGTCTTGCTCTGTCATTCAGGCTGGAGTGCAGGAGAGCGTGATCACGGCTCACTCCAACCTTGGCCTCCCGGGCTCAAGCAGTCCTCCCACCTCAGCCTCCCGAGTAGTTGGGACCACAGACATGCTCCACCATGCCCAGCTAATATTTTAAAACTTTTTGTAGAGATGGGGTTTCACCATGTTGCTCAGGCTATTCTCAAACTCCTAGGCTCAAGCGATCCACCCGTCTCAGCCTCCCAAAGTGCTGGGATTACAGAGTGAGCCACAGCACCCGGCCATGTGTTGGAATTCTAAGATTTTCTGTAAACAAAATATTCTGCAGAAAAGAAGTTTACAATCTGCTGATCCAGTTTATTTAGGCTTTGCACTTGGCAGATGAGGAAAATAAATCCCAGATGGGTTAAACGACTTGCCCCTGGTCATGTCACTCCTACTATTCATTCACAATTTGTACTTCATATTTCACATGATTCCAGAGCTGTAACGGAACATCGGAGTCACTGAGAAGCAGAAACACAAACAAAAGCTCCACTCCCCAGCTCCAAGTCTGGGTATCCCTGGGATGGGGACCTGGGAATTGGAAACAACTAATTAATGACAGAGTTGGGACTAGAACCCAACTTCTAGTTTAGTTTAGGATTAATTAACTTGTTTTAGGTGCTGCAGCAGCCAGGGCCCAGGCCTACAGTTATGTTTTTCTTAAGCATTCATGCCTAAGGGAAGCTGGGACTTCACGCATGATCCAATAGACTCTCCTCTTTCTATGCAAATATATTTTTTAAATCTAAGCTTGCACACAGATCAATTAACTGCTACTTTTATTTCTATGTAATATTGTATTGGAACAATGGTTAAAACTAAGCAATTTTTTTTCTTTTCTTTTTTTTTTGAGACAGGGTCTTACTCTGTTGCCCAGGCTGGAGTGCAGTGGTGTGATCTCGGCTCACTGCAACGTCCACCTCCCAGGTTCAAGCAATTCTCATGTCTCAGCTTCCTGAGTAGCTGGGACTACAGGCGCCCGCCACCATGCCCAACTAATTTTTTTTTTTTTAGATGGGTTTTGTCATGTTGTTCAGGCTGGTCTTGAACTCCTGACCTCAAGTGATCCACCCACCTCAGCCTCCCAAAGTGCTAGGATTATAGGTGTGAGCCACTGCACCTGGCCAGCAATTTATTTTTAAATGTTTTTCTTTTCCTTGCTGAATTGTTATACAGTCCACTTATTAAAACACATGCTTTGTTCTCCCCTGCATGCTCCTCCGGGCTCCTGTGGCAGCTTTAGCCTCTTTTCCTGGTCAGGCTCTCTGTTGTCTTGCAGGGTGCAGTTATAAATTGTCTCCTCAGGAGAGCCCCTCTTCTCTTTCTTCCAAGACCAGGGTTGCCTGCTGTTCAGAGCCTCCCTCCTGCTTCTGCTCTGTGGGCCTTCAGGTGGTGATCTGGAGCTCTACCGTCCTAGAATTCAGGGGTGCTCTGTCGACACGTGTTCAGAGGCTTCCCCTCCCTTCTAATGTGATTCCCTTTTTCCCATCTTGAGGCCTGGCCCCTATTTCCTGTAGCGGTCAGATATGTCCACCACCAAAAATGTATTGAAAACATTCACATCAAACAAAACAGTCAAGTACTTATGACAAGCATTTAAAATACCTTCAGGCGGGAGATTCCCAATGGACTTTTCAGTATCTAGACCAAGAGAATTTGACTGCCATTGCCTCTGATCCTAGGGATTGCCAAAACGTGTAATGGTGATTTTAACACATTTTGCATTAGTTTCTGCATCTGATTAACTTGTGAATTCTTTTCTCTAGCATGTCTCACGTATAATATATTACTGCCCCTAGTATGGGGGCAAAAGTTTTAGAGATCCTCACGAGAGGGTGAAAATAATGAGTAGTTGTTCTCATCTAAATATGTTCAACTGTTTCAAAATGTGCCTCTTTTTGTGAGAATCCATGGGATAAACCCCTTTAATTGGTAGTACAACTTGAACAACTCTCTCTCTCTCTTTTTTATCTTTTTTTTCGAGACTGAGTCTTGCTCTGTCGCCCAGGCTGGAGTGCAGTGGCACGGTATCAGCTCACTGCAACCTCCACCCTCGCGGGTTCAAGCGATTCTCATGCCTCGGCCCTCAAGTAGCTGTGATTACAGGTGCCCACCACCACACCCAGCTAATTTTTGTATTTTTAGTAGAGACGGGTTTCACCATATTGGCCAGGCTGGTCTTGAACTCCTGACCTCAAGTGATCCACCTGCCTTGGCTTCCCAAAGTGCTGGGATTTTCAGGCATGAGCCACTGCGCCTGGCCGAACACCTCTCATACCTGCATATCTCCCTTCCAATTAGGAAGGCATAGCTAGCCAGGTTCCAAGTCCCTTCAGGGAGCAGCAGAACTAACAGAACTAGCAGCACTGTGCAGTCCATCATGTATGCAGATGTCTCTGGGTAGGGGTAGCTCTAGGGAGCCAAAGACATCTGAATTCATGAGGGACTGCACGGTGGGAAATGCAAACTGAGAATTCTCAATTCAGAAGATTTCCTGCACTAGTATCATAGCAGGGATATATGCTAATTTGGAGAGCAAATAAAAACATTGCTCAAACAATGTTGCATATATTCTATGTCAATTTGTTACTCCTGTTGGTTTTTATGATCTTGATAAATTGATGAATGATGGGAGAAATGAAGAGTTAGCCTAATTTTTGTGTAATTATTTCTTCACAGCAGTAAAGAATGATACTGAAAGAAAATTTTGCTACCAACAGCTTCCGGTAACATTGAGACTAATATATACCATTTTCCAGGTATATTTTCTGATATCTTTGAATACTTGGCTTGCTAGCATTACTGTTTTGGATAACTTAGTAACCATGTGGTTTTTTGTATAGGAAATGGCTAAGTTTGAAGAGCCAGACATTCTTTTTAATATGCTCAATTGCCTGAAGATTCTTTGTCTGCATGGAGAGTGTTTATACCTTGCCAGAAAAGATCACCCTCAATTTTTAGCCTACATTCAGGACCATATGTTGATTGCAAGGTATGTCTTCCTAACGGTTTATTTTGTTTGTTTATATATTAAGCTTTAGTTGTGAAAATTCAAGTTAGATTAAGATTTACTGGCTTGTTTGGGTTATTTTTCAAGCCAGGACAGCTCGATTGCCTATAACTGCTTTTATTTTCCTTTTTAGTCTAATTTAAAAGTATGTTAATACAAGGAATGGTAATTTCCATTTGCCAGATACTGAATAAATAGAAAAGTGAAAATAAAAATTATTTTATGCCTTTCACTTGTTAGATGGCTTAAGAATATAGAAAATATAGAAAAATGCCCCAAAAATGTTAATATTTACCTAGTATAATTAAGGACTTACCTACCTTCTTACTTAAAATAGAACTGCTAATAGAGATCTAAATCTCTCCATATGCTATCTGATAAGTTAGTTTTTAGAGACTGGTAAGACATTTGGAAAATTATAATAAAACGTTACCCTAGATTTACAGTGTTTTTCCTCCTGAAAACCTTAAAATAACTCTTGCAATCTTCCTGGAAATAAATCAGAAACATCCTTATTTTATATGTATGAGAATGAGTCAGTAAAAAAGGAAAAGATTGGTTCAGGTTAACCTGATGACAAATCACATTAAGGCTCTATCTTTCTTTACTCATTTTGTTTATTTATTTATTATTCATTCAACAAATATGAGGGCTTATTGTATACATTCTTGTTCTAGGTTCTTAGGGAATTTGCAATCTAGTTTGGAAGGGGTGAATCCAATATAGAGAAAAGGTGACCATCTAATTTAGTATTCAAATTTGTCTACATTTGAGAGTGAAGAGAGCTGGTCTTCATAATAACCCCGAGAGGATGAATATAAACTTGACAGTCTTGGTTAAACTAAGATTCATATTCATGTATGTGTACGTCACTGTCAATCCAAGGGAATGTGATAAATGACTGCTTGATACAGCTTAAAGGTGGGAGAGAGCATTTCTGGATGAATGATGAATGATGAAAGGCTCTGGAGACAATACTGCTTGAATGGGCATTGAGATAACGACAGAATTTTCATTGGTAGAGATTTGAGATGGGTGGGACATGTTGTAAAACCTGGGAATGTCAAGAGCAAACAGATGGGAGACTTGGAAAGAAGGGACCAGAAATGAGCAGGGCATACTTGGGGGATACCAAAGCTTTATTTTATTTTTATTTATTTATTTTTTTTTTTTTGCTGGATGGTGTGGATGTAAGGGAGTAATGGAAAATGAGGCTGGAGAAGTAGGTTGGGACCCAAGTATGCAGGGCCTTGAAGATAGGGATTTTATTTAATGATGTTTGGAGATCCATGGAAGACCTTAAAATAGAGTCAGAGATGTGCTTTACTAGAATGAGTATGGAGAAAAGAGAGATTTTTGGAAACATCCAAATTTAAGAGAGTGCTAAGAGCACATTGCAAAGGCTTACTGAATATAAACACACAACGCAGAACTTTCTTCTGAAAGGTTTGTTAGAAGAGGAAAGGAAACATCAGATACTTAGAGAGAAAAGGGAGTAGACATTAAGGATTTTTAGGATAAAGAAAATCTGAACGGCCAGGCGCAATGGCTCACACCTGTAATCCCAGCAGTTTGGGAGGCCAAGGTAGGCGGATCATGAGGTCAGCAGATTGAGACCATCCTGGCTAACACAGTGAAATCCCATCTCTACTAAAATACAGAAAAATTAGCCGGGCGTGGTGGCGGGCATCTGTAGTCCCAGCTACTCCGGAGGCTGAGGCAGGAGAATGGCACGAACCCGGGAAGCAGAGCTTGCAGTGAGCCGAGATTGCGCCACTGCCCTCCAGCCTGGGCAACAGAGCGGGACTCCGTCTCAAAAACAAAAAACAAAAAACAAAAAACAACCACAAAAAGAATATCTGAACATACTTATGGTCAGTGGGAAAGGGCCAGAGAAAGTAAACAGTTAGTGGGCCCAAGTTTTGGAAGGCAGGAGAGTGTGCGATCAAGAACAAAGGGTCGGCCGGGCGCGGTGGCTCACGCCTGTAATCCCAGCACTTTGGGAGGCCGAGGCGGGCGGATCACAAGGTCAGGAGATCGAGACCACGGTGAAACCCCGTCTCTACTAAAAATACAAAAAATTAGCCGGGCGCGGTGGCGGGCGCCTGTAGTCCCAGCTACTCAGGAGGCTGAGGCAGGAGAATGGCGTGAACCCGGGAGGCGGAACTTGCAGTGAGCCGAGATCACGCCACTGCACTCCAGCCTGGGCAACAGAGCGAGACTCTGTCTCAAAAAAAAAAAAAAAAGAACAAAGGGTTGGGTGGAAAACAGGAAGAATACCCTTTCCTTTGAAAGAAGATACATTTTGAGGAAAAGAGAAAGTGTTAAGGAGAGTTTATAACAGCTGACTTAACCCTTAAGAATATTAAGGTGTTGATGTCTTCTCCTGAGAGGGGGATGATAGACATTGTATTGGGAGCTTCAGGAACATGGAAGAGAGTACCAGACAGCCTGCATGAGGAAAGCATGCAGGCTTTAGGTTCGGCTGAGGTAGCTAGCACCAGTTTGCAGTGGACCAAGTTAGTAGGGATTTGGGTTTCTTTTCCTCCGGTGCTCAGCAGCCTGGGAGTGGATGAGAGCAGATGGGCAAAGTGTCTATTCAGGACCGGGGACTGGTGATATGGTTATGATGGAAGCTCAGAGGGATGAGGATTCCAGAGTGATGAAACAGTTGTCTCTGGAATCCATTCTACGACTGGATGCAAATGAAGCCGAAGAATTGATATTTGGGAGAGGAGTATGGAGAAAAGGGCGGAGGAGTCTCAGTCAGGATGAGCTGGGGGATGGGGGGAAGTGGGGTGTTCTCAGCCTTATAGAGGGGAGGTCAGCATCTCATCCAGCAGAGTAAAGACAGAGGCCACTGGGGATGAGGAGGTGTGAATGAAACTGGGGCTTGATTCACTGACGGCATCTGCAGAGGCCTGCTTGAGGAGCAAGACTGAGCTAGGTCCCTAACTGACCAAAGAATTGGGAGAGGACCCTGTGCGTCAATGTCATGGGTTTCAAAAGAAAGAGGCTGCTAAGAGGAGGCCTGGAGGAAGTCTTGGGAAGCGAGGGTCATTTGGCCCAGTGAAGACAGGAGTCCAGACTCATTGAGACTCTGGACTCTCAAGAGAAAATCTCAAGGTCAGGCACAGTGGCTTATCCCTGTAATTCCAGCATGTCAGAAAACGGAGGTGGGAGCACACTTAAGGCCAGGAACAGTGGCTCATCCCTGTAATTCCAGCATGTCAGAAAACGGAGGTGGGAGCACACTTAAGGCCAGGAGTTTTAGATCAGCCTGGGCAACATAGCGAGACCCCATCTCTACTAAAGCAAAAAATTAGCCAGGTATGGTGGTGGAAGCCTATAGTCCCAGCTACTCAGAGGCTGAGGTGGGAGGATTGCTTGAGTCCAGGAGTTTGAGGCTGCAGTGAATTATGTTGGTGCCATTTCACTCCAAGCAATAATAAGAAATTGTGTTACCGGAAAAATGTGAGGTTCCAGCTAAGTGAGGAAGGGGAAGCTGCACTAGTTACCTAGGCTGCTGTAACAAATTGCTGTGAACTGAGTGACTGAGTGGCTTAAAATTACTGAAGTTTATTCTCTCACAATTCTGGGGGCCAGAAATCTGAAGTCCAGGTGGCAGCAGGGCCGTGTGCCCTGTGACAACTCTAAGGGAGGAGCCTTTCTTGCCTCTCGCCTGGATTCTCATGGCTGCTAGGAATTGTTGGCATTTCTTGGCTTGCAGCTGCCTCACTCCAGTCTTTGCCACGTGGTCTTCTTCCCTGTGTGTCCCTGAGTGTCCCTTCCTCTTCTTACCGGGGGACTAATCATTCATTATATTTAGGACCCGCCCTATCCAGTAGGAACCCATCTTAACTGATGACATCTAAATAAGGCCCCTTGAGGTTCCGAGTGCACATGAATTTTCAGGGAGCGCTATTCAGCCCACTAGAGAAGCATACCATGAGAAAGGTGGAGGATCTACAGAAGTTTCTTCCCTAGAAAACAGGGATTCTGCAGCTGCAGTGGGAGGAAGAAGCTGGGGAAAGGGAAAGGGTAGACATGGGTGACCTGGAGTAGGGAAGAGTAGGAATGACCTGGAGGGAACAGTGTGAAGTTTGAGACCATCAGTAGATCTGGACGAAAGGAGTGAAGGAATGGGGCTGAGATTTAGGCAGACACTCCATGAATTCAACATGGGAATACAAAATGGACATTTTTTTTTTTATTGTGAAAGCAACCCCCCAGAATGTACACGTGCCAAATGGACTGTTAGTGCCACGGGACCACCCGCTTGGTCTTTGGGGTCCATAGTCCAGGCTGTCTCCTTAAAGGGCCAGGTTTTCTCCGCAAAGTGCCACCCTGACACAAAAACCATGATGAACAATGAAAGGACCTGTGGAAAACTTACTCTGCTTGTTTCCAAACAAGTTGGCCCTAGAGAGCTGGGAAAGCCGAATGGGACTGGCCGAATCCTGGGTTTTGTCATGGAAATGGTTTTCTAGCAGGGCTGCCTGGTTTGCATTCTTCAACTAAACCGGAAATTCATGAAGGCACAAATTATGCCTTCTTTTTCCTTTGCACTCTTCCTGGGGCCTATTGTGTGCTCTGGAAGCATCATCATCCTTGTCATCATGATAGTGGTAGCAGCTTGAGGTTTCTGCATACCTACTAAGTGCCATGCTTTCTGTACATCTCATTTAATACAGCCCACACTGGGAGGACACGAAGGTTTAGAGAATTTGCATGTGGTTACACAGCTCATGAATGGCAGGGTTGGGATGAGATCCCTATTTGTCTGACTTCCACTATTTGGATTAAGCATACGGCGTTTAAAAAATCACTCCTTTTCATTCTATAGCTCTGGTATGCCTTCTGAAAAACAGCCAACTGGAGTGGCTGGTACCTCCATATGTTCTCTGTAAAATGGAGATGGCACGTGTCACTCTTCCCCTCTCTTAACAGTGCAGCATGAGCTTTGTAAAGTCACAAATACAGGTGACCCTTGAACAACGGGGAGGTACAAATGCTGACCCTTGTGCAGTTGAAAATCTGTGTCTAACTTTTCTCTTCCCCAAAACTTAACCTCTAATAGCTTCCTGTTGACCAGAAGCCTTATGATAACATAAAGAGCTGATTAACACATATTTTTTATGTTTTATGCATTATTTATTGTATTCTTACAATAAAATAAGCCAGAGAAAAGAAAATGTTATTGAGAAAATCATAAGGAAAATGCATTTACAGTATCATACTGTGTTTATCAATACCGTAAGTTTATGCCATCTGTTTACAAGATGAATTGTGTATTTGAAAGGGTGAGCAGCTGCAACTGCAGACTTCAAGCTATGGTACATATCAAGCAATTCAACTTTTCTTAGTAATGTCGTGACTTTCGTTTGCTTTCTGGGAGCACTTCCAGCGTCACTAGTGGCACTTCGTATGGGACCCATGGTGCTAGTCAAGGTTTATGGTATTGCACTAAACACAATGAAAAAGACGTGAGAACTGCGAGGGATCACTTTTTACTGTGATTTGCAATTTACTGGAGAGAGGAGCTGCTCACACAGAGAGACAACACTTGAGCTCACCTGAATTGCAATAGGAGATGGCTACAAAATTATTACCGTAGTACAGTGTGTACCACAGTTGATTTTATGCCGTTATGATTTCATACTGCATCTTTACATTTGCTTAACATTCCTCTCCACTGTGAATGGCGCCATGTATGGTCTGTAAATGTTTGTGTGTGTAAGTTTTCATAAATCCTAACTCTTTATAATAGATTCATGTATAATTTATGGTAGTAAATGTTAAAATAGACTAGTAACTACATATATTTTATACATTCATGACACACCTTTTCTTTTTTTTTTTGAGACGGGAGTCTCACTCTGTCGCCCAGGCTGGAGTGCAGTGGTGCAATCTTGGCTCACTGCAAGCTTCGCCTCCCGGGTTCATGCCATTCTCCTTCCTCAGCCTCCCAAGTAGCTGGGACTACAGGTGCCCACCACCACGCCTGGCTGATTTTTTGTATTTTCAGTAGAAACAGGGTTTCACCGTGTTAGCCAGGATGGTCTCGATCTCCTGACCTCGTGATTCATCCACCTCGGCCTCCCAAAGTGCTGGGATTACAGGCGTGAGCCACCATGCCCGGCCGACATAAATTTTCCTTAAATTTTTTCACTATTTTTAGGCTACATGGTACATCTGTGAACTTTTTAAAATTGTTGCAAATCTCCTAAAAAATTCAATATGTTTATTGAAAACAATCCATGTGTAAGTGGACCTGTACGTACAGTTCAAACCTGTGTTGTTCAAGGGTCAACTGTAGTTTTGATTCTGATATTGACTCTGGAGTCAAATAGAAAACAAAACTAAACAACAACAAAAACAACCAAAAGGCATACTTTAAATAATTGAAAAAAATGGAAACAATAATGTATTATTACTAAAATATATTATATTCAGAATTATTCCTGTAGAACTTGATAGAAACTCAGCTGAAACTGCTAAGGTGCAAGATGTTATCAGGGATCTCCTTCTCTGTCCTTTCCTCTTCCCCTTTCTCACTCCCTCCCCATCTCTCAGCCCAGCTCTGGCTTGGCTTCTGGAATGGAACTAAGTGTTGGCTTCTCGGTTAAGTGCAGGCTGTCCCTGTGAGATGGGAAGGAGGGTGATTGGCAGCTGCAGGCTGACATTGCCCTTTGTTCCTGAGATTTCAGAAGGAGAGAGAGCCTCTCTCTCCCAGAGTGCGTATCAGTCCCTGAAATAAGAGTTCAATTATTCCCATGCTTCAGTCATATGCCTTCTCCTAGCTAATCACTTTATTCAGGGTGTTGACGTTCGTTGATCAGGCTGTTTGTATTCCCCCTTGTGATAGAGAAGGTTGGGGAGCTTGACTGATGAACTGTCTTTCTTGGAGAGGCTGTTATTAAGAGAAAAAGAGTTGTTCTTTGACATCATAAGAGGCTGGGCAGGCCAAACCAACCAAACTTCCCAGATGCTCACTGTAAGAAAATGTTTAAAAATCACGTATTACTCCATCATCCTAACATAACTAATTTTGACTTTGTATATTACTGAACAGTCATTTATTTATATTGTTCACTTATATTACTGAATTTACATTATGCAGATTTTTAAGTTGTAAAATGTAATGTTAAGTAGAAGTGTTTTTCTCTAGTGTCACGTTAAGAGGACAGAGCATAGGAAACGTCTATCAGAGGATTATCCTCTTGTGGATGAGTGTAATTTCACCAAAAGCACCCCTACCCACCGCCTAGTAACTATGCTTGCCGTAAATTAAGAGGACAGGATCTTTCTTTGGAAAGGTTGTGATAACTGTCACCACTTTGCTTCTCCTTGATTTCCTAGCCTGTGGAGGGTCGTCAAATCCGAGTTCTCTCAGCTGTCTTCACTGGCAGTTCCTCTTCTCCTCCATGCCCTGTCACTTCCTCATGGTGCTGACATCTTCTGGACAATCATAAATGGCAATTTCAACAGCAAAGACTGGAAGATGAGGTTTGAAGCAGGTACCTCGGTTGTTAGCTTAAAATTCATTCTGGGTCACACGGTACACATCTTTTTTGTCACGGTATCTTTTGGGGCACCTTCTTTCTTGTCCTTTCTTTTTAAAAGGCATTCTCCCGTTTGCTGGTCTCCTTTGGGGGTTCTGCTTTGAGCTTCCTCTCTAAAATAACAGCATTTTGCAGAGTTGTCCTTAGGGAGGGTGGTCCTGTCCGGGTTTGCGTCGGACAGACCCAGCTTATGCCTGTTACCCAAGTGTAACGATTAACTGCACCCATGTTTACTCCCAAACAGGCACTGGCTTGGATGCAGTCAACCTGTGAGTTTACTTGCATCAGAGTTATTGGGAATATTTGTTAAAATGCACATTATCTGGCCACATCCTAGAGCTACTGAATCAGAATCTCAGTGGGAGGCGGGGGTGATGCCAGAAATTGAGATTTTTTTCTTTTTTTTTTTTGAGACAGAGTCTTGCTGTGTCACCCAGGCTGAAGTGCGGGGGCATGATCTCGGCTCACTGCAACCTCTGCCTCCTGAGTTCAAGTGATTCTCGTGCCTCAGCCTCCCAAGTAGCTGGGACTACAGGTGCATGCAACCACACCAGGCTAATTTTTTAATTTTTAGTAGAGACAAGGTTTCACCATGTTGACCAGGCTGGTCGTGAGCTCCTGACCTCAGGTGATCTGCCCACCTTGGCCTCCCAAAGTGTTGGGATTATGGACATGAGCCACTGTGCCGGGGCAGAAATTGAGATTTTTAATAAGAGGTTCGAGAATCTCTGCTGTATACCCTTGCCACTGAGGGATCAGGGACCAAGTCTGGTGCAGCTTGGATGTAATTTCCTAGTAAATAGAGCAGCAAGTTATCAGAGTAATGTGGTAAGGAAGGAACCTGGAAGGGTTCTCTTAGCCTCATGTCTGCTGGCCCGCTGTCACCCCAATCTGCTAGTAGTTCTATTCTCAGGGTAGTAGGCAGGGTTGGCATGCCACAGTGCAGCTTCTCAGAACAGTTCTGTAGGTTGATGTCTCAAAAGTTTGGCACAGAAATGGAAGTTTCATCAGTGAGGTAACTATTATACCTTTAGTTCAGTTCCTTAATATATGGCCACTTCAAAAAGTTCTTACTTTTTAATGCCCACAGGAATCTCAGGGGCTAGTGTATATATATGATAGCACATCATGTTGTGGGGGATTAGGATTAATTTTCTGAATCTTGGCTCTGGTTAAGTTACTTTTCTTTCTTTCCTTTTTTTTTTTTTGTTTGTTTGTTTATTTGTTTGTTTGTTTTGAGATGGAGTCTTGCTCTGTTGCCCAAGCTGGAATGCATTGGCATGATGTCGGCTCACTGCAACCTCTGCCTCCCGGGTTTGAGCGATTCTCTTGCCTCAGCCTCCTGAGCAGCTGGGACTACAGGCACCCGCCACCACACCCGGCTAATTTTTGTATTTTTAGTAGAGATGGGGTTTCACCATGTTGGCCAGGCTGGTCTTGAACTCCTGACCTCAGATGATCCGCCTGCCTTGACCTCCTAAAGTGCTGAGATTATAGGCATGAGCCACTGCACCTGGCCAAGATCATGTTACTTTTCTACTCAAGAAATTTTAATGGAGTTTTTTCAGTGCCTAGAGAATAAAGTTCAGACTCCTTAAACTGCCATTCGAATGGTCTGACTGCAACTGCAGACAGCCTCATTTCCTGTGCTTTTCTACACACACCGTTACTGTGTTCCCATTGCTTCCTGCCTCCCTTCATCCACGCAAGGGCCATTCTGGGCTCTCCACCTTTCATTCTTTTTCCTTAAGGCCCTACACAAACGCCACCTCCACGTGATCCACCTTCAAATGCCACCATTGAGGTCCACCTTCTAGGTTCCACCTGTGGAGAGTGGTTTCTGTATCCCGAGATCTCCCATAGCATTTTATTTATACCACACTGGAGGGATTTACAGGTTTTCTAAAGTTACATTTTAGTTATAGTTGTACATGTCTTATCTATTTTAGTCAATTTAACTTTGAAGTCAAGAGTTATGAGTGACTCCTCTTTCTGTTTACTTCTATCTCCTCCCAAGTGCCTAAGATATTTTCTTAGTGGTATACATATGTGTGCTTAATATGTATACATATATATATATATATTTTTTTTTTTTAAATAAGTGAATCAGTGAATTTGTTGAATAAATTAGATATGTGCTAGGTGCTATGGGAACAATAGAAAGAAGTGTAAGAGCAGATTGCTGTCCTCAGGAGGCTTCCAGTTTAATTGATGAGACCAAACATAAGCATGTAAGAGGTTGGCAAATTATAAAAGGCATAAATATAATCAAGACCACAAAAGAAAATATGTCATATAATGAACACATATTGTGTTCATAGATAGCTCATATTCTGAGCATACAAATGCTATATGTAAATTAATGATATGCAAATAAGTAGTACTTTTACAGGAGTTCATGGGATGGAAAGGTCTCTCTAGGAGATCAGAGAAGACTTTACAAAACAGAATATCAGCAGAGATTCTCTAAGGATGGTAGAATGTCAATAGAAAGAATATTGTGGGCCAGGTGTGGTGGCTCATGCCTGTAATCCCAGCACTTTGGGAGGCCAAGGTGGGCAGATCTCTTGAGGTCAGGAGTTCGAGACCAGCCTGGCCAGCATGGTGAAACCCCCGTCTCTACTAAAAATACTAAAGTTATCTGGGCATGGTGGTGCCTGCCTGTAGTCCCAGCTACTTGGGAGACTGAGACATGAGAATCGCTTGAACCCGGGAGACAGAGGTTGCAGTGAGCTGAAATCGTGCCACTGTACTCCAGCCTGGGCAACAGAGTGGGGGACTCCTTCTCAAAAAAGCAAAACAAAACAAACAAACAAAATAATATTCTAGGCTGTCGCAACAGCTTAAGCAAAATATGGAAACATCTTACTTTGCATTGCACTATATTGCTTTACTAGCTATTGTAACTTTTTATAAAGCCATGCTTTAAGACTGGCTGGAATTGTTTAACATTGATTTGCAGAATAATTAGAAATCTATGAAGTAAGGGTATATTTACAGCATGGAAGAAATACCCGGCTTCTATAGCCCCAGGAAATGTCTATCTGGTCTGCCATTTCATACCAGGACCTACTAAGAGCAGAGTGGGGGACCCGAACCCAGAGCCAGGATTGGTGGGCACCTCCTACCTCTCTCTGTTATCTGCAGAGCTTCTATGGAATGGCCACAGAAAGAAGCATAGAGGCATTTGGAATATTTTGAAATATAGCTGAAAGTTAAACAAAGAGAAAGACCATGAAAAAAATGTAAAAGACAACCCAGAGTTAGAACAAGGCTGCGTGGGAAGAAAAAGTTCTGCTCTGAGTAGAAACAGTCTGTGCTGCACGGATGAAATGGAACACTCGAGATGGTGGCATTAGACTTTCCTGTTGGGGTTTAAAGTAAACTATATGGGAGATCCAGAGTTAACTTTTTCTCTGTGAGTTCAGTTCTCAGACTGGCTAAATAAATGCGTATGTGTGGTGCGTGTATGTGTGTGTTTATTTACGTATTTCGCCTTCTCTTTTACGTTGCAGTGGAAAAAGTGGCTGTAATTTGTAGATTTCTGGATATTCACTCAGTGACCAAAAACCACCTGCTGAAGTACTCCCTGGCACATGCCTTCTGCTGCTTCCTGACGGCGGTGGAGGATGTCAACCCTGCAGTGGCTACCAGAGCTGGTCTCCTGCTTGACACCATAAAGAGGCCAGCATTGCAGGTGATATGTGATGTGTGTTACCTGCTCCGAAGGTGGTCTGTGCCAGCACTACTAAATCATTGCATTATTTGTCACATGTCCTAGTCTGTTTGACCTGCTATAACACAATACCATAAACTGGGTAGTTCATAAACAACAGAAATTTATTTTGCAGACTGTCTGCTGAGGGCCTGCTGTCTAGTTCCTAGATGGGGCCTTTGCTGTGGCTAAGGCCTCTTTCATAAGGGCGCTAGTCCCATTCATTAGGGCCCTGCCCACATGACCTAATCATCTCTCAAAACCCCACCTCCTAATACTATCATATTTGTGATTTAGTTTCAATAGGAATTTGGCAGTAAGGGCCTTGCACACATTTTCAGACCATAGTATCACATATAATATTGATGATGATGATGGAGATTTTTTTAACTGGAAGAAATATACCAGAACCACACCTTGCAAAAAGATCCCTTGTTGTTATTTGTTGATACCACTTTTTTTTAAAGAGACAGAGTCTTACTCTGTTGCCCAGGCTGATCATAACTCTCTGCAGCCTGAAACTCCTGGGCTCAAGTGATCCTCCTGCCTCAGCCTCCTGAGTAGCTAGGATGACAGGTATGCATCACCATATCCACTGAATTTTTAACTTTTTTTTTTTTGTAGAGACAGGGTCTTGCTATATTGCCCAGGCTGGTTTTGAACTCCTGGCCTCCAGCAATCCTCCCGCTTTGACCTCCCAGAGTGCTGGGATTATAGGCATGAGCTGTACTACCTGACCCATTTGTTGATACTTTCTTTTCAGTCTTTGTTCATATGCTGATACTACTTTGGACAGATGTAACTATTGCATAATGTGTGTGTGTGTGTTTGTGTGTGTGTGGCAGATTTTAAAACTAGTTTGGTTTATCTTACACCACTTAGCCAGCTCCTGGGCTGGAGGCCCCTGTTGTTAGAGGCTAGATGCTAAGAGAAATCAAATAAATTATAGTTTTTTGCTTTGTTTTGTTTTGAGACAGAGTCTCATTTTCTTGTCCAGGCTGGAGTGCAGTGGTGTAATCTCAGCTCACTGCAACCTCTACCTCCTGGGTTCAAGTGATTCTCATGCCTTAGCCTCCCGAATAGCTGGGACTACAGGCTTATGCCACCACACCTGGCTAATTTTTGTATTTTTAGTAGAGACAGGGTTTTGCTATGTTGGCCAGGCTGGTCTCAAACCCCTGGCCTCAAGTGATTCGTCTGCCTTGGCCTCCCAAAGTGCTGGGATTAGAGGCCTGAGCCACTGCGCCTGGCCTGAATTATAGTTTCAATCAATGTAAAACATGAGAAGGTAAATATGCTACCATAACAAAACATCACAAATTAAAGCCAAGGAGACAAGAAATATGAGGCCTGGATAGAGTGGTATATTTATCTTACTTGGAACCTTTATTTTTTAGTGGTGACACCAAGTCTCAGAGAGAGAATGTGACTTATCAAAGGACACAAAGTAATTTAGTGAGAGAATCAAGACTAGAGTCTCCAAAGTTCTGATCTACTGTTTCTCCATGTTGCATCTGATTTATTATTTTGTTGTTATTATTAAACTAGTGATAGCAAGAGCTAACATTCCTCAGATAGCTACTGTGTTTCCAGGGCAGTGTGTTAAAAGTGTCCTGTTATGCATTATCTCATTTAATCCTCACAGTAACCTTTTGTGTGTTCTCATTTTACAGATAGAGATGCTGAGGTTTAGAAAGGTTAAGCCACCTTTTCAGAGTCACATAGCTAGTTAGCAGCAGAGGAAATTCAGCACTGATTCATAATACAGTCCACATACTTAACTGTGTGTGTGTGTGTGTGTGTGTGTGTGCATGTGTGTTTGTGCATACTCTGTCTCCCAATCCAGTGTAAGCTTCTTCCTGCATTTTAAGACCAAGAAGCAAGGGCAAGCTTGCACAATCTGAAAGACTGAAGGGTTATGCTGCCTGTGGCAGATTCTTTTTTTTGTAAAATCTCCAGTTGACTTCTGAATAGTTCTTCTCTATTGATCTTACCAGGTACTTCTATGTCCTACCGCTTGCTTAGGGCCTGGAACATAGGAGGCACTCATTAGATGACAGCTGAATTAATGAATGGGATGTTTGGATGAATTGCAATGTCTAAATCTCGTTCTATTAAAAAGAGGGGGAATGGTCAACTCAAGGAAAGAGTTCTCAATCCATTCCAACTTTAATTAACATTCTATGTTCCACTCACATTCCAAGAAAACCAGGTGACTTTGCTTTTTTCAGAATCATGAAATTTTGGATTGAAAGTGGATTTCTAGACCATCTTTTTGTGTATTCTAAAATGTAGCTTTGAAAGTATGCTCCTCTTACTGGCTACAGACATTAAAACCAGATGCAGCCGGGCGCGGTGGCTCACGCCTGTAATCCCAGCACTTTGGGAGGCCGAGGTGGGCAGATCACGAGGTCAGGAGATTGAGACCATCCTGGGTAACACAGTGAAACCTCGTCTCTACTAAAAATACAAAAAAATAGCCGGACATGGTGGTACACACCTGTAGTCCCAGCTACTCGGGAGGCTGAGGCAGGAGAATTGCTTGAACTCAGGAGGCAGAGGTTGCAGTGAGCTGAGATCCCATCACTGCACTTCAGCCTTGGTGACAGAGTGAGACTCCATCTCAAAAAACAAACAAAGAAACAAATAAACAACAACAACAAAAAACCAGATGCATTGACTTGAGGGTATTTGGATTAAGTGGTTATTATTTAATGCATTAGGAAACCAATAGCATGCATTTAGTTCAGATTTCTGAATCAAAATTCGAGAGATATTCTACAATGAAGATAAATTCCTCTTCTACATTTTTCTTTCCTACGAAAACTTCCAATCAAAGAAGATTCCAGTGGGATCATTCTACATTATAAGTTTGAATTGAGTAGGCTGCCTTGTTTCATTGACTTTGCCTAGTATATCAGCTTTGAAATAACTTAGATGTTTATATCTGACTTTCTTCTTCTTTTTTTTTCTTCTCTTTCCCAGGGTCTGTGTCTTTGTCTTGACTTCCAGTTTGATACTGTGGTTAAAGACAGACCCACAATTTTGAGCAAGCTTTTACTCTTGCATTTTCTTAAGCAGGATATTCCTGCTTTGAGCTGGGAGTTCTTTGTCAATAGATTTGAGACACTTTCTTTGGAAGCCCAGCTACATTTGGATTGTAACAAGGAATTTCCTTTTCCTACAAGTAAGTAAAATGAAGAACTTGCTGTAAACCATTACGGTTCCATTGTGCTTGCCTAGACAAACAGAAGACATTGGCATGTCATTTAACTCCTCTACAGAGGATGCCTTGACCTCATGCACTCAGCTCATTAAATGCTTATTGAATAACTGCTGTAGTAATCCATAGATTTAAGCATATCCTGGCATTCCCAAGTCAGAATTCTTCTCTTTTCCTTAACCTATGATAACCATTTATGACTGTGTGTTCCCTAAATATGATTCAGTCATTATGTTTATAACATTTGTGAGCAATTTTAGGAAGCATATTTGCACCTTGCAAACACACTCTTGCATGCTTTCTAAATTTCAATAGTTTTGGGGACATAGGTGGTTTTTGGTTACATGGATAAGTTCTTTAGTGGCAATTTCTGAGATTTTGGTGTACCTGTCACCTGAGCATTGTACATTGTACCCAATGTGTAGTCTTTTATCCCTCACCCCCCTCCCACCCTTCCCCCCAAAGTCCCCAGATTCCATTCTGTCATTCTTATGCCTTTGCATCCTCATAGCTTAGCTCCCACTTATAAGTGAGAACATATGATATTTGGTTTTCCACTTCTGCATTACTTCACTTAAAATAATGGTCTCCAACTCCATCCAGATTGCTGTGAATGCCATTATTTCATTCTTTTAAATGGCCAAGTAGTATTCACGATATATATCTATCACATTTCCTTTATCCACTTGTTGGTTAATGGGCATTTAGGCTGGTTCCATATTTTTGCAATTGAAAACTGTGCTGCTATAAACATGCAAGTGCAAATACCTTTTTCCTATAATGACTTCCTTCCCTCTGGGTAGATACCCAGTAGTGGGATTGCTGGATCAAATGGTAGATCTACTTTTAGTTCTTTAAGGAATCTCCATACCATTTTCCATAGTGATTGTACCAATTACCATTCCTACCAACAGTGTAAAAGTGTTCCCTTTCTACCACATCCCCACCAACATCTATTATTTTTGGATTTTTAAATTATGGCATTCTTGCAGGAGTAAGGTGGTATCTCATTGTGGTTTTAATTTGCATTTCCCTGATAATTAGTGATGTTGAGCATTTTTTCATATGTTTGTTGGTCATTTGTATATCTTCTTTTGAGAATTGTCTATTCATGTCCTTTGTCTACTTTTTGATGGGATTGTTATTATTATTATCATTATTTTTTGCTGATTTGTTTGAGTTCCTTATAGATTGTGGATATTAGTCCTTTGTTGGATGCATAGTTTGAGAATATTTTTCCCTTTTCGGTGGGTTGTCTGTTTACTCTGTGGATTATTTCATTTGCTGTGCAGAAGCTTTTTAGTTTAATTAGGTCCCGTCTGTTTATTTTTGGTTTTGTTGCATTTGCTTTTGAGTTCTTGGTCATGAACTCTTTGCCTAAGCCAACATCTAAAAGAGTTTTTCTGATGTTGTCTTCTAGAATTTTTATGGTTTCAGATCTTAGATTTAAGCCTTTGATCTATCTTGAGTTGGTTTTTGTATAAGGTGAGATATGAGTACCCAGTTTCATTCTTCTAGATGTGGCTTGCCAATTATCCCAGCACCATTTGTTGAATAGGGTGCCCTCTCCCCACTATATGTTTTTATTTGCTTTGTTGAAGATGAGTTGGCTGTAAGTATTTAGCTTTGTTTCTGGGTTCTCTGTTCCATTCCTTTGGTCTACAAGCCTATTTTAATACCAGTACCATGCTGTTTGGGTAACTATAGACTTGTAGTATAGTTTGAACTCCAGTAATGTGATTCCTCCAGATTAGTTCTTTTTGCTTAGTCTTGCTTTGGCTATGTGGGCTCTTTTTTGGTTCCATATGAATTTTAGAATTGTTTTTCTAGCTCTGTGAAGAATGATGATAGTACTTTGATGGGAATTGCATTGAATCTGTTGCCCAGACTGATGTGTAGTGGTGTCATCATAGCTCACTACAGCCTCCAACCCCTGGGCTCAAGCAATCCTCCCAGCTAATCTTCCCAAGTAGCTAGGACTACAGGGGTGAGCCGCTATATCTGGCTAATTTTTCCTATTTTGTACAGATGGGGGTCTTGCTATATTGCCCATGCTGGCCTCAGACTCCTGGCCTGAAGGGATACTCCCACCATGGCCTCCCAAAGTGCTGGGATTACAGCCATGAGCTACCACACCTGGCCTCTTGCTATTAATCAGTTACCTACAGCTCTGAATAGGTGGAGAAAAGACTTTCGTCACTCAACTATCCAATGATAACAAAATTAGATAATTTAATCTTGTGGTCTAAGCAGAAAAAAAAATCATGATAGGCAATAGTCATTTTTTTATGTAGGACTCATCAGAGAGGGAGATGTATATCCATGAAAGATGTATTTTAATATTGAAACTCTATACAGATGGATTGTTTTAGACTAGGTGGATTACATAGCCCTATGTAAAGGAGAGTGATAGTCTCTTTAATTCCTTTTGCAAAGCCATCACTGCTGTGAGGACCAACGTTGCTAACCTCAGCGATGCAGCCTTATGGAAGATCAAGAGAGCTCGCTTTGCAAGAAACCGCCAGAAGAGTGTACGTTCCCTGAGGGACAGTGTGAAAGGGCCCGTGGAATCCAAGAGGGCACTCTCCCTCCCTGAGACCCTGACCTCCAAAATTCGTTGAGTATCTTCTTTCATCCTTCCATTAAATCTGTTTAATGTCTTTCTGAGGCTGACCTGTCTTGTTAAATGTTCACAGAGAGTATAGCACGTTCAGTAAACTGAGTTTGTTCAATAAGTTTGGCTTTCAGATTCCCTAGAGAATCACCAGGGGTATAAATGCCTAGGGTTGCTTCTGCTAGTTTGCTGGGGTAGCAAAGCCCTGATCTAACAGTAGATGTTTTTGAAATGTAAAAGGCAGCAAATGCATTGATGCTTGGCATGCAACTTAGAAGAAACATTTGCTCCTAAGTCCTAGAACACCAAAGTTTGCACCACCAGCCTTGTATCCTAAGAGCTGTCTGAATACGACTTAGGTAATAAGACGTATGGCGGCTAAGGAGGGAGAGTTGAAATTTGGAATGTATTTTTTTTTCATGTCTGATAGAAGCAGCCACACAAGCCCCCCAAGACAAACCAATAATAATGGTTGCTTTTGAAATAGAGAAATCAGGCTGAGAAATTGAATTTCTGCTCATCTTCAACAGATAATTTATAAATAAAAATAAGCTTCATTGCCAATATTTTTAAAAAGACCATATATACTTGTTCTATAAAAGGTCTTTCTTTATATTATAGTTTTAAAGAGAATAAAATTTGCCTTAAATTACCAAATGACTAGATAAACTCTAACGATTAGTAATGACTCATGAAGGACAAATAATTAAAAATTCATTACTAAATCACCATACGAATGAATGAGTATGTTTAAATATATTACTAACTTGTAAAATTTATTAAATGATTTAATCTGTAAATAATCACTGTGAAGTAAATAAAATAATGACCCAAAACCTATTTCTTACCCTGTCAGAATTTGAAAGGTTTGTTTTTCATTGGCATTTATTAGAAGACAGCCTTATATAACATAACCATTTTAAATCATAAATATGATTTGATTTTGTTCATTACATTTTCTCTATTTTATGACAAGCTATGGCAATGTGTTCTTTTAAACTTTGGGAGAGTTAAATATGAATGAAAGTTCTTTAAGTAATCAATAACCCAGTTTTTCAGGGAGCAAAGATAATCACAGGTGATCATTTAAGAATAACCAATGGTAGTGCTAGGCCCCAGGTGAAACTGTTTAAATCCTAGAAACCAATACCCAAATTAAATAAATAACTAATTTTATATGAGTTTTCCAGCTCTATTTATATCCTAACTGATCAGTTTGGAATGTAAAGTTTATTTATTGTCGTTTCTTGTTCATTAATTCACATGACCATTTTGAAGATGAAGTAACATTGAAGGATGTTCTTATGATTCAGATAAAAACTGCAAAACTTTTGTTACATAAACAACTTTTTTTGTGATGTTAATTACAAATAGAAAAACGAAACCTGCCCCTACTATCCAATACAGTTAGCACTGAGTATATTTTCTAGGCTCCAGTTGTCTGTAATGCTTATTTCAATAGAGTTGTTGTTGATTTTTAAGCTATGAGGTTGACCAGGCATGAGCAGTCTGCTCCAGCTCTCGGTGGGACACCCGAACAGACGCCAGGTGGGTACTTCTGACATTGAAGGGCCATGTACAAGTGTCTATCACAGGTGGACAAGGTAGAGAATGCGGTGTCTCTAACTGGACCAGGGTGATATACTTAGGATTTGCAAGCTCAAAAGGGTCTTACCTCAGATGTTCAAGTGTTTGAGCCCCTGATATGGCAATTCTTTCCGTTTTGATATTAACAGATGACTTTTTATTCCATTAACTTTTGGTCCAGTAAGAAGCATCATATCACCTGAGTCTGCACCTTTCCCCAGAGAGCCAGTATGACTAGAGCTATCCGTAGTATTGATATTTGTATGTGTCTTTACACATAGAAATATTTTGTTCATATATATCTGCTATAGGAAAACCATACATTTCATTTACATTTTAAAAGGTTATACATTTGAACCACTGTCATCCGCTCATCCCCTTAGCCATTCCTGATTCTTTGCAACTCTACATGCATTTCTGTTTCTCAGAGAAAGGAGAATTTCCTCTGTTTGGAGGACCATAGCATGATACACTTTAACGATCATTTGATGTTCTGTGATATATTACAATTTATCATGAAGTAGCCTAAGAGTTGAAGGGGTATTGGCAAGGAGGCTCCACGCGAATGGTGCCGTGACTTACTGGGAAGACTGTGAAGGTTCTGAATACCTACTTATTAGTCAAAAACAAATCTAGTAACTACCAACTATGTGTCATGCTATAGAACATTTGAGTTTTCATCTAAAACTACTAGTTTTATGATAAACTTTTCAGAATGGTGCAGACACTCTCAGAAGGAAAATTTCAAGTAAGGAGACTTTAAAGATCATGTGCGTTATGCATTATAAAAAGGATGTTTGAAAGAGAGGGAGTCCGGAGTGGGAGGGGAGAGAGAAAATCCCAGAGATCATCTATGCAGACAGCAGATGGTGGCCAAAGTCTTTTCTCTTTTACAATTGATGAGAAAAAAGGAATAGCAAACATTTGGTAGAGTCCCTCTATCTTGCCTTACACATCACTCATGTACACTACTGTGCTGTGATTTTTTTCATTTTAAAGAACAGAAATAAGAACTTCTGATTCAAAGCTTCATTAGAAATATGAAATCCATGCAGTTTCCCTTCAGTGAGGCATTTTTGAGATTGTTCTTAGGCAGTTTCATAAATTATCTTTATTTTACTCTAGCTTGTCTCTTAAAGCTTAGCTGAGAAGCTAGTCTTTCATAATAATTATCCATTTAAACAATCCAGCCCGAGAAGTCCCCTCATATCACTGTGGGAAAACATGTACATGTGTTTCTTGCAGTTAAAAAAAGCCTTCAGGCATCTAATTATTCCACCAAAAGTGGCCAGATGGAAAAGAGGCAGATAACAGCATTGTTTAAATTAAATGTGAAGCTAAAACTTCAGGAAAGGTAATTTACATGACACCAGCATAAGCAAAACTTGCTTAGATATGGAAATAGCTGGCTCAGCTTATAAGGCAATTTCAAACTACTGTAGTGTTCCATTTTTGCATTATTATTTACTGGACCCTGACTGTTTCTAACTTGGAAGCAAGGACATACCAGATTTATCATAAGATTGTGGAGAATGGTTTAAGACAGTAATTAAATGGAAACTGAAGAACTTGCTACTTAATGAACATACTTTCGTTTGGTCCAAGTAATGAGCTCCTCTTTGCAGACCTCTTGTTAATTAGACTTGAAATAAAGCAGATGCCCCTTTATACAACAAGATTTAAATTTAATTGCTGTTTAGGTTGAACTTTTTGACAGTGGATTTACAATTTATGATTCTCTGATCTTAACCTTTACATGGTACCCACAGAAAATGGAATAGAAAATTCTGTTTTCTATAGAAGGTATACTCTGCAAGGTTTGTAGAGAGTCACGTTCCTCTATGTCTTTTCAAATCAAAGTCTTTGTGCATCTAAATAAAATTCATAGAATCTTATAGCTGAAACATTAGCGATGTGTTAACAGTCTCATTTTGTAGAGGAAGAAACTGAGATTCTCACAAAAGAACAAGCTTATTAGTGACAGATCTGGGTCCCAAGCCCAGAGGTCCTGAGCTCTGTAACAAGGCAAGTAACTGCCAGTAGGAATTCAGCAGCTTCATTTCATCCTAATTGATGGGATACACAATATTTTTAACTGCTAATCTACAATTTGTATGCTTGGACATAGGGAGTACTTTCACTGGTGCTGTAAGAACCAGGAAATTTTGTCTTCATGTATTTAGAACACCGATGAAGATTAATTGAATAGAATGCAGCAGTTGTTATGCTATATAAGCACAATACTGAACTAATGGTATCAGTCCCATGTGAACATAGGGTGCTTAATTATATCGTGTTCCTCATTGCCTGGAGTGCATAATTAAACAAAAATAGGTATGTAATAATGATAATCCTTCCTGTATATATAGTATCTCTTTACTTACAGGAAAACTGATGTAGTGAGGGATTAAGTGATTCTGCTTCGGTGATTGCTTAAGGTCATGTATGACTGACTAGTTAGGATCAGAATGGAAGCTGGCATCCAAGGGACTTGGCTTGCTTGCTTTCTGCCACAACCACCTCTCGATGAACTGGTCTTAGAGTATTTCTGCCCTGTGGGACATGAGGACACCAGTCTGGTTATGGAGTTGGCCTGGGCTTTCAGGCCTGCTACAGAGTGGCTTAAGGCCATGAGTGTCCAGACCAAAGGACTTTGCCAGTTAGGACCCCAGATTGGTCCAGAGCTATCCCCGTTTCTTGTGGGACTTGCATACTCTAAGTTCTGCTTCAGCCTGCAGAGAAACCTAGAGATCTCTTGGCCTGCATTTGTATCCATAAGAGAAGGTGCCCAGTACTAGTTAGGACCAATAAAGCACTCTTGCATTGACCTTTCCTGTCTTCTTAGTGTCCCAGCCTAGAATTCCAAATAACTTTTCTTTGGGCTCTTTCTTTCTACAGATGGTTTACAATTCACTTCTTCACTAACTTGCAAAATGCCTATTGACCATTAAGATCCAGTAAGTCAGAGTACAGTTGTTTTTATAGGAATACTCTTGTTTGAAGTTATATTTTTGGGAAATGACAATTTTTGTTCAACAAACATTACAAATACTTTTTTTGAGTTGGGGTCTTGCTGTGTTGCTCAGGCTGGTCTCAAGCTTCTGGGCTCAAGGAATCCTCTCACCACAGCCTCCCAAGTAGCTTGGATTACAGGTGTGTGCCACAAATGCTTGTTCAACAAGTATTTATTTTACACCTGCTTGACTAGGAAATACAAAGATGCTTTGGAAATTTTTATACTCTTAACTTACTTATGGCCAAGTAAGGGATATTAAGTATGAACATCAGTAAACTCTCATCTTGAGTGAAAGTGACAGTACACAGGATGAGTCATGTCAAATGCAAAGGGAGGGAGCTTTCGACCAGCTGGAGACATCAGGGAAGGTCTTGTGGACAGGTGGCTTTTCAGCCAGGCTTGACTGGTGGATGAGACGTAAACGTATGATGATACAACATGGAATAGGAAGGAGAAAAGGCAGGGATGGGGAGCATAGGAGGATGTGAAGTTAGCCACTGCCCCGGCTTTCCAGCCCTGCTGTGGATGTGTGCACACATAACCGAACACTGAGGTAAGGAGGCAGGGAGACGAGCGAGGCAGTGTAGTGAGAGCTGCCTATGGAATGGAACCTCGTTTATAGTGCTTACTCATTGGCTGCCCTGGACCAAGTGCAGAGTAAGCTCATGGAAGGATCCTTTCTTCCTCTACCTAATTGTCACTTGTTGGTTTGGCAGAGGGGTCAGTGAGTCAATTCACATAGAGAAACGTTCCCATATTCCTGCTGTTTTGGGACTCTATCAATTTTTCTCTTATACAGAATGTAAGCTCTGACATATTTATTTGAATTTAGTGCACTTTGACAGACATTTATGTATAATAGGTATCTACTATATGTCAGACTTTGGCCCCTATTCTGTGAGGGATATAAAAATGGATAAAATAATGTCATTTGCCTTCAAGAAGCCTATGTTCTTATTGGAGTATTAAGGCAATTGAATAGACAAAATGTTCTGCCTTGCAAAATTGTTATTGGCCACATGGGAGTTAGGAAAATGCTAAAGGAAATTTTCCTCCGTTCTTCTTTTTCTCTTCTGTTCTCCCTCCTTTCTTGTCCTTAGAAATTTAAAGAATTTAGGGATCACATCGAATAGCTGAGAGGACTATTGGGTATATCTAATAAGAATGGCTTTTGGGGACCTGTTTATAGCACAAAATTGTTGGGGGAGGGTAGAGAACCACTTTGCAAGGTGAAGAGAGCACCATGAGCAAAGGTGCGAAGAGGGAAAAACATTGGCTCCATTCTGAGATCCACGAGTAGCCCAGCTTGTAAGAATGTTGACCATTTCGGGTGAAATAATAGGAGATAAGTCTGGAAAAGCAGATCCTGATCCTGCCTGGTTTCAAATCATCTGAATAAATAATGTTGTATTACACTTTGGAGTTTCAATCAGTTATACACCTCTGTGGACAGATTGTAATGGACTCACTCCACATTAAAGGTATGGTAGGTATAGCTCTGCCTCCATAATTATAATTATAAATATAATTATATTTTCTCTTTATAGAAAATATAAAATTAGACCTTTTAACATGTTAAATCTTTATGGTTAGGACAGATACAGAAATTTCACAGACTAGAATTCAAAACTATTAAGCGTTTTGTTTTCCTTAGAGAAAATACTTGTAGGCATTTAGTTTTAAAATGGAAATTTCGTACCTTTTCTAGGTTAAAATATTAATATTGTCTTTATCAATAGAGAACATTTCAGCTTATCCACAGCTCATTTTTCTTAGGGATTTGATTAAGGTAACTTGTCTTTATGAAGAGTGCACCAGTCACAAGCTTACTCTATTTCAAAGAGAGGCAATAAACAAAGTATAGACTTGCAAAGCCCACACTGGAGGGGTAAATTATTAGAATAAAAAGAGATTAAAAATTTTTTATGCAAAAGTTTACATAAATGTTCTTTTTTCAGTACATTTGTTAAAGATCACTCAATTCTTGCTATTCAGGGAAAGCAGCAAACTTAAGATCCGTGAAAATGATCTACAGTGAGATGGGCATGTATGAAATGACAGTCATCAGGAAAATCTGATGTGATGGGAAAACTCAGGGTTACACATTGTTTAGAAACATGCCCACTTGTAATGAGAAGAAGAGTCCTGAAATGTTTAAGCTGAAGTCTGATGGTCTATTTTCTAGACTTGAATTGGGATGGAAGGAAACAGGAGCAGGGTCCCAGTTGGGCCTTGCTGGGAGCTCCCTTTCTTCTGTATTGAGGTTCCTAGATTCTCAGTACTATAAAACAAAGGAGCAACTTCCTCTCAAACACTCTCTGGTTCCAGTTTCTAACTTTGGGACTTTGTTGTTGAGCCATTGTGGACATGAGGTGGCTGAGCAGGACTGAGTGATACATGTTCTCTTCAACTTTGCACCCCAGAGCTAAAAGGAATTGAAGACTGAAGCTATATTGTAACAGCCATTACTTGCTGCTACAATAACATTGAACCCTGCAGGGAGTCCTGTCATATTCTTGGCCCAAACATGTCCAAAGCAATAATGTCCTTCTAGTTGTAAAGTAATACTCTAGTGGAAAAACAAATCAAGAGTAAATGTTTTTCTTTTCTTGTTCTTTTTTCTTTTCTTTTTTTTTTTTTTTTGAGAGAAGGTCTTTCTTTGTTGCCCAGGCTGGAGTAGAGTGGCATGATCACAGCTCACTGCAGCTTCAACTTCCCAAGCTCAGGTGATCCTCCTGCCTCAGCCTCCTGAGTAGCTGGGACTACAGGTGTGCACCACCATGTCCAGCTAATTTTTGTATTTTTTGTAGAGACCGGGTCTTGTCATGTTTCCTAGGCTGGTCTCAAACTCCTGGGCTCAAGTGATTCTCCCACCTTGGCCTCCCAAACTGCTGGGATTACAGGTGTGAGCCACGATGCCCAGCCTCAGTAAACTATTTTTCAATGCTGAAAAAATAGCCCTGTAAACTTTTTCTATTTTGCCTTACAAGGATAGGTATTGTATTTGGTCAAATCCTATATTACAAACATTTAATTTAACCACATGCTGTGATGCTTTACATTTCCAGCCTCTCATTGAAATAGGGTGTTCCACATACATTGATTTTTTTCCTGATGCATGCCTTATAAGTAATTATATTAACAATTTATTGATCACCCTGCATGTGAAACACTGTAATAAACAAATCCTTAGGTTTTATTTGAATAATTTTTGATAAAAAGTTTCTCTAAAGTGCATCATACATATTCATTCCTTCATGCACAGATTCTATGAGACAGAAAAGTGTGAGTGTCCTGGAATCATGCTGACGTGTGTCAGATGGTTTTCTCTGTATTAGAGGCTCTTACACTAAGCTGCCTCTGCTGCCTCTTCACTTACTGTCAACTATCCCTTCTCAGCAGTTCACTTTTGAACAGACCAACATTCATCTGATTCTCTGGGAAACTCGACAACCAAGCTTGTTACTTTATGTGCAGGTCTAAACTGGTAAATTCTGAATTTGACCTTCATGCTACTATCCCAGAGAAAAAGTATTTGGGCTTGAGACAGCAAATTTCTGCAATTCCCAGAAACATTTCTGATGCCTCGCTTCTCTTGGCTGTGTCCTGGAAGGCTGAGACTTTGCCAAATTAACTGAGGAGTTAATAGGTATAAGTTACTACCTAACTCTTTGTTGCATCCTTTACACCATAATTATAATGGATGTAACCAAGGCTTGGTTTATAATGGTTTGTAACCAAAGCTTGTCATCGTTTAGTAGAACGTTTCCTTGCAGGATGAGAGATGAGAATGCCGGTGTGCTGATCTAACCCACCAGACAAAACTTTTATTTTCAATTTAGATATTCTAATGTTGCTGTAAAAAAAAAAAAAAAAAAAAAAAAAAGGAAAGAGTATTTTGAATAATCCCCAAACCATAAATATAAATATAGAAGAGCAAATATCAGTCTTCCTTCTCCCAAAGTCCTAAACCAAACCTGATAAGAAGGGGCAGAAGAAAAAAAGGAGACAGGGTAATTTCTGACTTTGAAAAATAACAGAGAAAGTCAATGTCAGGGAGCTGCTAAGATGCCGTTATTTACTAGGTTAAGAGGAAGCCAAGGGCTAAGGTATTTTTTCTTTCCATGTGAACTTTCCGCTCACCTTCATGTGGTGTTTTTCTGTTTTTAAAAGTTCATGCTTCGCTCTCTTTCTGTTTGTGTCCTCTCCCTTCCTTGTATGTTTCTCATGACATACAACAGGGCTTATAATTTGCTATTTATAATTTTGACTATTTCATTTAAAGAGAACCTACTGCTAATATCTCAGGGTTTGGAAAAGATTTTTTTTTTTTTTGCACTAACTGATTCATGAACATAACTGAATTGAGATAATAATTTAAACAGAAGAGCCCAGTGGTTTTGCCCTCAGTAGATTTTAGACTATAGTGTTTTGTGGTTATTCTTACATGCTTATTTTACAAAGCTGGAAGGGAAACTTCCTTTATCACTGAGGATAAAACTTTGCCAACGTGTTAAAAAATTTGCTAAATGCAAAATGTATTTAGGCATTTGTCTTGCTGTTTCAGGATAATATTGCTTCATAGCACCCTATTTTTATTGCCATTCCCTTAATTCTCCCAGATTACTTGGTTGTTGACGAATACAGTAACTTTCACCCCCGGACTAGGGCTCTGCCTACAAGGCCATATTGTGCCTTTAAGTTTCTTAAATTCTGTCTGGAGCAGAAAGTTTTGTAGAAGCAGAAACAAGGGTGCTTTTTCAATATATAAGGGAGATTTTAGTGTCACTTCACTTGTGAACGAGTCACCCACTCACAGCCTTTCTTCTACTGACAGGACAACAGTCTCCCGAGAATGACAACACCATCAAGGACCTGCTCCCAGAAGATGCTGGGATTGACCACCAGACAGTTCACCAGCTGATCACAGTGCTCATGAAGTTCATGGCCAAGGACGAGAGCAGCGCCGAGTCAGACATCAGCAGTGCAAAGGCCTTCAACACGGTCAAGCGACACCTGTACGTCTTACTCGGCTATGACCAGCAGGAAGGTTGCTTCATGATTGCACCTCAAAAAATGCGCCTGTCAACTTGCTTTAATGCATTCATTGCAGGAATTGCCCAAGTGAGTGTAATAACAGCTTTCGGGAGTCACACCCTTATACTTTTAGTAGAAGCAAGGCATTACGTACTATGTAGCCAACACTGGTTCAGCATAAAGGTTTGTACAAATTGCTTGGTGTTATGCAGGAGTATGTGGAGGGGAATGTGAAGATTAGTAAGAATTGGTAGTCTGACTGAGAAATAGTGAGAGAGAGAATGAGAGAGACTGTGTGTGTGTGTGTGTGTGTGAGAGAGAAAGAGAGAGATATGCTAACCTTGTAGCTTATGAAGAATGTCTGTACCTTGATATGATAGTTACATAATCATTTTAGTATATTTGGTTTCTTTTCTTTTCTTTTTTTTTTTTTTGAGACCGAGTCTTGCTCTGTCGCCCAGGCTGGAGTGCAGTGGCGTGATCTTGGCTCACTGCAAGCTCTGCTTCCCGGGTTCACGCCATTCTTCTGGCTCAGCCTCCCAAGTAGCTGGGACTACAGGCGCCCGCCACCACGCCCGGCTATTTTTTTGTATTTTTAGTAGAGACGGGGTTTCACTGTGTTAGTCAGGATGGTCTTGATCTCCTGACCTCGTGATCCGCCTGCCTCGGCCTCCCAAAGTGCTGGGATTACAGGCGTGAGCCACCGCGCCCAGCCAGTATATTTGGTTTCTAGATCACTGTGCTCATTTTTTTTTCAATTGCTAACTAAAAATACTTAAATTTGGTTAATTCTATATTAAAAATTATAATTTTAGTTTATATTAATTTCAATTGTGTCTTACTGAAGAAATCTTTCCAGTTAAAAGGAGTTTCTAATATTCACATGTTCCAATATTTTGTTTAGTGTAAAACAGCTGAAGTTGGAGCTATGGAAAGGCTTGTTTTCTCTGTGTGTTTCAGCTACTTTCCATTTGGTTTTACACACTCAAATTTACATTTATCTATTAAAATTGCCATTTTATTAAACATTTTCTTTCACAGTAACACAAAAAAAAAAAAAAAAAAAAAAGAAAAAAAGAATTGGTAGCCTGGTATCATCAAGGGAGTGTGGGAGATTTTTTTGTTTTGTAAAATATACCTACAATTTGCCATTTAAACGGTTTTAAGTGTATAGTTCAGTGGCGTTGAGTACTTTTATGTTGTGTAACCATCACCACTGTCCATCCTCAGACGTTTTTATCATCCTAAACTGAAACTCTGTATCCATTAAACAATAAGAGAGTATAGGATTATTTTTTGTGGGTGTGGTTTTATTTATTTATTTATTTATTTATTTATGTTTTTGAGACGGAGTCTCGCTCTGTTGCCAGATTGGAGTGCAGTGGCGCAGTCTCGGCTCACTGCAAGCTCCGCCTCCTGGGTTCACACCATTCTCCTGCCTCAGCCTCCCAAGTAGCTGGGACTACAGGCACCTGCCACCGCGTCCGGCTTATTTTTTTGTATTTTTAATAGAGATGAGGTTTCCCCGTGTTGGTCAGGCTGGTCTTGAACTCCTGGCCACAAATGATCTGCCCACCTCGGCCTCCCAAAGTGCTGGGATTACAGGCATGAGCCACCGCACCTGGCCTTTTTTGTTTGTGTTTCTGTGGTTTTTTTTTTTTTGTGTGTGTGTGTGTGTGTATGTGTGTGTGTTTTAAAAAAAACCTTTTCCTTTTTTGGTTTCAGGTGGAGAGAGCTGAATTAATCATACAACTTATCTTTTTGCCACACCATCATCACTGGCTTTTCCATGTGTGTCTGCTACTTCTAACTGTTGTATTGCATGCCATGGTGGACAGACACCATACTTTACTCATCCATTCCCCTAGTGATGGACTCACATTGCTCCCAATGCCTCACTACCCCAAACAGTTCAGTAATAGGCATCTATGTGTACGCACCTTATCAGCCAATGTGAGAATTCCTTACGGAGATGCATCCAGAAGAATTGCTGGGTCGTAGGGTAAATGTATGCCTAATTTGGTCAGTGCTACAAATCTCACTCTCCAGTACAGCTGCACCAATCTGTAAAAATACAGGACTTGGGGCTAGAGAGATGCGGATATGAATTTCAGCTCCGCCTCTGTTATTAGCTGCTAGGGCTTAGGCACTCTCTGCTTGCTTGCTTATTGGTAACACAGATTTCCTTTTTTGATAGATTAGAGAAAACCTATTGCAAAGCACCTTGATTCATGCCTGTCTCATGGTAGGAACTCGATAGATGATAGCTGTTATTGTCAGTTAGCTCAAATAGAGATTGTAATGTAATGAACAAAGATAAGCAGTGTGAGAGCAATGTGCATGTAGTCGTCCTGTGCTGATGCTGATAACTGGATGGATCACCGCTTTTTCTCAGCTGTCACTGTTTCAGATACCAAACCCTCCCTCCCTCTTCTCCCCACCCTCTAAATCCACATTATGCATATTTACTTTAGAAATAAAAGCTAAAATCGAGGCCAGGCATGGTGGCTCATGCCTATAATCCCAGCACTTTGGGAGGCCGAGATGGGCAGATCATGCAGTCAGGAGTTCAAAACCAGCCTGGCCAATATGGTGAAACCCTATCTGTACTAAAAAATACAAAAATTAGCCAGGCGTGGTGATGTGCGCCTGTAGTCCCAGCTACTGGGGAGGCTGAGGCAGGAGAATCGCTGGAACCTGGGAGGCAGAGGTTGCAGTGAGCCAAGATTGCACCACTAAACTCCAGCCTGGGTGACAGAGTGAGACTCCATCTCAAAAAATATATATATATGTATATATAAGCTAAACATTAAAAATTAAATTTTTATATGGGGTTTATATAACTCCAGAAAACCTGTGTCAAAAATAACTTCCTAATATTTTGGCATTTATTGCTCCCTCCATTTATATACATACATAAATTTCATACTCAAATACGTATGTCCACATATTTTTACAATAATAGGTTCATATTATACATACTGATATATATGCCACCTTTTAAAAATTTTTTTGTTTCAATGAGTTTTTGGCAAACAGGTGGTGTCTGCTTACGTGGTTAAGTTCTTTAGTGGTGATTTCTGAAATTTTGGTGCAACCTTTTTAAACCTAAAATTTTTTATGAAGTTTATATCATGTAAATAAATTTGTGTCATATTCTGTGTAATGCTTACATAGTATTCTGTAGTTATACAAACAGTATTTTATTTGTCTAATCCCATATTATTGAATATGGAGGTTGATTTCAGTTTGGGGTGACTATAAACAAAGCCATGTTGAATTTCTTTAACATACATTTTGGAACACTTGTCTGATTATTTCTTTGGGATATATTTAATGGTTGTATTGGAGGTATGGGCTTTTTCTTTCTTTCTCTTTTTTCCTTTTTTTTTTTGAGACAGGGTCTCACGCTGGTAGCCCAGGCTGGCGTGCAGTGTTATGATCATGGCTCACTGCAGCCTCGACATCCCAGGCTCAGAGGATCCTCCCAGTTCAGCCTCCCGAGTAGCTAGGAGTATAGGTGTGTGCTACCACACCGAATTAACTTACTGTATTTTTGGTAGAGACGGGGTTTCGCCATGTTGCCTGAGCTGGTCTCATACTCTTGGGCTCAAGCAATCTGTCTGCCTCAGCCTCTCAAAGTGCTGGGATTGCAGGCATGAGTCATTGCACCTGGCATGTGCTTTTTCTTATTCCTGAATGCATATTGCTAAATTGTTCTCCTGAAAGATTGTACCAAGTTTGGTTGGTATAATACTTGGTTCAAAGATTGAACCAAGTATTGCCGGTTGTCCATGAATTCCCATTTCTGCAGGTGGTTACCAATATTAGGTTTCTTCATTGTCTAGTTTAACTCTGGTTAATAGTTGAATGGATAAAATTTTATTTTCAATAGGTACTGAAATAAATAATTAATTAGATTAAAACTATTTTCATTTACAAGTTTCAAAAATTTTTTGTGAGGTTGGACTTTTCCTCCTTCTTGCGTACTAGCCATTACTTTTAATATTTTGTGGGGTGCCTGTTAAATATTTTGCCTGTTTAAAATTTTAACCACTGGGATGGCTCACATTTTTCCTTTTGACTTCTGAGTGTTCTTTGTAGCTTTCCATCAGTTGTTAATATTTTTTCTATTTCAGGTTATGGACTATAACATTAACTTGGGAAAACACCTTCTCCCCTTAGTGGTTCAGGTGCTCAAATACTGCTCTTGTCCTCAACTCCGGCATTATTTCCAACAGCCACCTCGTTGCTCCCTCTGGTCACTAAAGCCTCACATCCGGCAGATGTGGTTGAAGGCCTTGCTTGTCATCCTTTACAAGGTGAGCTGGGTGGTCACTGCTGTTTTAGATGCAGTGGTTCTCTTAGAGAGCATGCAGCATAAGGAGAACACCTGAGTCTTTAGTTGAAAATTTTGTAGAATAAAAGTTTGACCTTTGGAAGGAAGATCAGGATATGCAATCACTGTTAAGAACCAAAGAGCTATTGAAATGAAAATAGAAACGGGAGGCCCTGTCGATACATGCTCTAAAAATGTTTAAAACAAAGAATGATAAATGGTAGGCTATTGATCAAGAACCTCTGTTTATAGTGTTTATACTCAGTCTCATATTTTATCTAAGTATTAATTATTATTTCAGAAAACAAGGAAGATATCTGAAATTGTATTCACCTGCTAAATGTTTATGCCAGATAATTTTCTTGAAAAGAACTGTAACTATGAACTGGCATGCCTTGCTGTCAGTGGTTTGGTGAAGGAGGAAAGGAATATAGTCCCTTGTAAAAATAAGGCCATGGAGGAGGGCGTGGTGGCTCACTCCTGTAATCCCAGCACTTATGGGAGGCCGAGGTGGGTGGGTTGCCTGAGTACAGGAGTTCGAGCCCAGCCTCAGCAACATGGTGAAATCCTGTCTCAGCAAAAAATTAGCCAAGCATTGCACATGCCTGGTCCCACCTACTTGGGAGGCTGAGGTGGGAGGATCACCTGAGCCTGGTAGGTTGAGGTTGCAGTGAGCTATGATCACACCACTGCACTCCAACCTGGGCGACAGAATGAGACCCTGTCTCTAACTAAACAAATAAATAAGGCCATGAGCAGAATCTCTTTCTACTTCTCTCTCTCTCTCTCTCTTTCTCTCTCTCTCTCATATATATATATATTTATCCCCAAGAGATACTGCAAACAGTATCTGGCAAGATCAGGTGGAAAAACTTACCCTTTAAAATAACCATTTATCTTTTTCTCCCTCATTTCATTGGGCAGTATCCATACCGAGACTGTGATATCAGCAAGATCCTGCTGCATCTGATTCACATAACAGTCAATACACTCAATGCGCAGTATCATAGCTGCAAGCCCCATGCCACGGCAGGACCTTTGTACAGTGACAACAGTAACATAAGCAGATACAGCGAAAAAGAAAAAGGTACATATCTAAATTGCATCCCAAACCTAGCTTCAATACATAATAGATTTCTGGACAATGTTTTCTTATTAGATACAGGAGTGTTCCCAGATATCATTCTGAAGTAAAAAGAAAATCGCTTTCTTAATTTTCCAGCCTCCCATGAATGTTGCTGCTTTAACTTTAAAATTGAGCATTCGAGAGGAATAATTGATATGCTTCTAAAACCTATATCGTAAGAAATAATATTTTGTAAAATATTTTCTGCTGTTTGATTCAGGAACCTTCATAAGCCTTTTCTTACGTATTAGAAGCGTCTCGATTTTGGGCTATAAAGTAAGTCTTGGTTGGCACACAGTGGAGCCATTCTTCATAGGTCTCTAGTTTGCCCCTGACCTTTGTGCTCATACAGTTTCAATGGAGTCTAAGTTTGCTGAAGTGCTTTTTCCTAGCCTTTTAATGCAATACAAAGTGATTCAAAGCAAGGGAAATGAAACATTTTTGCTGCATCGGTGTAAGTTATCTCCACTATAAACACTTTTTTCTATTGCTACCTTTTTCTAAAAGGAGGCAGTAGAATGCAACTTTAGCTAGAGTAAAATTGCAGCCTGTTTTCAGGTGCGACATAAAGGACCAGGGTGTATATTTTCAGTTTTTAGTGGAAATCATGGCTGACTAGATTTTAAATTGACATCATTTAATCTAGTCTTTGGAGAAAACCAAGTGTCCAATGACCCTTTGTGAGGTTAGTAGAGTCTCTTTTGGTAGGACTGCTCTGGAGATGTCTCAAAAGTGTACATTATAGCTGGTGTTCCACTGTTTATTATTGCTGAATGTTCCAGAAATCTAGTTTGGCTACAGATGGAACTCGAGAACTAGGTTCTTTAAGTTCTGGTACCATTCAGATCCTTCCTGAAGAATATTTTGTCTACCAGTTTAGGGTTTGGTCTCTGGGAAATTGGGGAGATGTGTTAAGCTATGGATGTTTTCAGTGTGGGCTTAGTGTTTGGGCCAAACCCTGATGAACCTTTCTGGATGGGAGGCGCCATCTTGTGGTCTTTCAGTATTGATTGTTCAATGCGTTTGGAAAATCACTTCAAAGTTATGTAATGCAAATCACGTAACTATTGGTTGGAAAAACTGCATTTTTCAAAGGATATTTTTCCAAAAAGGAAATAGAGAAGTAAAACAGATTATTGTGTTGCATTTTCCCAGAAACATGGGAATTTGATAGGCGTTCCCATCTTTGTGGATGTTCACTGGGTTTAAAAACAAATTCATTTTGATTGTTAACATTTATTTTTATTTAATTAAAAAGTTTAGTATGGTCATTTCACCTAAAATTTACTGCTTCAAGTTTCATTTACTTGTAGAATTTTGTGCATTAGAACAGGACGAGTCCTTAAAACTTGATGCATGTAATGCCCTTATGCTAAAAAAAAACCTTGAATAATCATAATCACACCTGAGCCTCATCTGTCACATATGTAGATGTACATACAGGCCAAACATTATTAGTTCAGTGATATTCAACTTGAATAATAGGTTAACTCCATTTATGGTGCTATTAGATGCATTTTAGTAACCTTTTCTGTTGCCGCTTTGTACGTGGCTTTCGCCTTTCAAAAGAATGAAAGAAGAAAATTGGTTAAGTAAACTTTGTGGGTTGCAACATATCAATTCTTTCCTCATTAACATATTTTGGGGTTTATCTTGCATTTTAAAATGGCCACATGGGTATAGAAGGGAGGACGTAGAAACAAGTTCAATAGGCATTCGAAGTGACCGATTTGTTTATGTAAGATTAAGGATCGTAAGCGTCAAAGATTCTTTCTGGGATTCATGAGATCTGTAATAGTTACACGTGGTAAACTCCTCAGAGAAGAGTCTTACTTTAATAGGAGGAAATGTTATTTTCTGTTTTCTTTTTCCTTTGTTTACTCTTTCAGTCCATAATCATTCGTGGAGCTTTTGAGATGACAAGTGGCTTTTCTAAGCTTTTTCTGTGTGTTGCGTGTCTCATTATCAAATGTAGAGTACAGTATTTTGCATTCACACCATATAAGGTGCATGTACTGTTAGGCTGTGTCTATGCCAGTTACCAAATCCCAGAAAGGCAGATTTTTTTTTTTTCTTTTTTGGAAAGGCCAAGATCCACTCATTTTGTTTAATTTCCTTTCGCCAAATCAGCCTGAAAATCCACACAACACAGGCAAGTCCAAGCAGTGTCACAGGCTCCCGGAAAAAGTAGCTGACATCTATGTGTCATCTGGTGTTAAGCGTACTGGAAAAGTTTCCCAAAAAGGCACTGTTGGACTCCCAAGAAGCCTGTCTTTAAAAATGCTGCCAATTGTCATGTGAAAAGTGACGGGCAATCTTGTAACAGCTTCCTCTGTCCAATAGATAGATAATTTGATGCCTGGATGAAATACCAACCCATAGCTAGACTTGGGCTGGTGCAGAAACTACCCCAGACCTTGTTCCATAATGCTTTCATTGAAATGCTTGTGTAGACACAGCCTAAGAGAGAATAACCTCTTAAGTGTAATTTTGACTTTCTCTCCCCAATTAGAAGAAGATAGTGTTTTTGATGAATCTGATATTCATGATACACCTACTGGACCCTGCAATAAAGAGTCTCAAACTTTTTTTGCAAGATTGAAAAGAATAGGCGGCAGCAAAATGGTGAAATATCAGCCGGTTGAGATGAATGTTCAGAGAAGTATGAATTTTTTCTCTTAGTAATTTTATGCAGAAATGTTGTACTCTACCGTTTGTTTGGGGTGAAATCTTAATTTTATTATGTTACTACACATTTTAATACCGTTGATTTATATATATGTATGCACAAACAGTATATATATATACACAGTTATATATATACGTGAATCGACAGATACATCATTAATGTCATGATCGTCTTTGAGGGCCATTGCTTGATTTGATTTGTTGCAAAATGTTTGCTTCTCTTCCACACGATTTGAATACAGTTTCCTAGATCTGCCTCAGCCAAAAAATGATCCCCTCTCCTATGCACAAATGAACAGAGCTGAGGAATTATCCCGAAGTCCGATTTTGGAAATCAGATCTTAAACTGCCATTTTGGTGTCTTTCATTCCTAAATTTTCTAGTTTTTGAAATTAGAACGAACCTTCCAAAAACTTGGCCAGAAAATTCGTTTTCCCTCCTGGTGGAGCTGGGATTGTGATGATGATTTATGCCAATTGTATGCCCAAGGATGAGGGGAAAAAATGGTGAAATCTCCAAGTAAAATAGTACTAGCTTTTTCTGTTTTGATCAGGTGAAATAGAACTGGCTGAATATAGAGAGACGGGTGCATTACAAGACAGCCTTCTCCACTGTGTGAGAGAAGAAAGCATTCCGAAAAAAAAGCTGCGCTCTTTCAAACAAAAATCTCTTGATATAGGGAATGCAGACTCGCTTTTGTTTACATTAGACGAACATCGTAGGAAGTCGTGCATAGATCGGTGTGACATAGAGAAGCCTCTGACCCAAGCTGCGTATGTCGCACAAAGACCAAACGACCCTGGACGTTCTAGACAGAACTCTGCTACGAGGCCTGACAATAGTGAAATCCCCGAGAACCCAGCTCTGGAAGGGTTTCCAGATGCTCGAAGGCCTGTCATACCCGAGGTTAGGTTAAACTGTATGGAGACATTTGAGGTGAAAGTTGACTCGCCAGTAAAGCCTGCTCCTAAAGAGGATTTAGATCTGATAGATCTGTCCTCAGATTCAACATCGGGGCCTGAAAAACACTCTATACTCTCAACCTCCGACAGCGACTCTCTTGTATTTGAGCCTCTTCCCCCTCTCAGAATAGTCGAGAGTGATGAAGAAGAGGAGATGATGAACCAAGGCAATGACGGCTCCTCTGCTAAAAATGCTGCCTCCTGTCCTGCCATCCCCAGCCATCCCTCCGTCCTCAGCCTCAGCACAACTCCGCTTGTGCAAGTAAGTGTGGAGGATTGTTCCAAAGACTTTTCTTCTAAGGACTCAGGAAATAATCAGTCAGCAGGGAACACGGACCCTGCCCTCATCACTCTGGAAGACCCTATGGACGCCGAAGGATCCTCAAAGCCAGAGGAGCTGCCGGAGTTCTCCTGCGGTAGCCCACTAACGCTGAAGCAAAAACGAGACCTCCTTCAGAAGTCGTTTGCTCTCCCTGCAATGTCGCTGGATGATCACCCTGACCCGGGCACCGAAGGGGAGAAGCCTGGGGAGCTGATGCCAAGTTCAGGGGCAAAAACTGTCCTCCTCAAAGTCCCCGAAGATGCGGAGAACCCCACAGAAAGTGAGAAGCCTGATACCAGTGCAGAATCTGATACAGAACAGAATCCTGAAAGGAAGGTGGAAGAGGATGGAGCTGAGGAATCCGAATTTAAGATTCAGATTGTTCCCAGGCAGAGGAAGCAGAGGAAGATTGCTGTCAGTGCTATCCAGAGAGAGTACCTCGACATCTCCTTCAACATTCTAGACAAACTGGGAGAACAGAAAGATCCAGGTAAGCTCGCCTCTCTTCTTTCTCCCAGCCTTAACTTTAAGTTTGTGCATCTTGTTTGGTAGGGTACCAGCACTGAATATGCATCAGACTCAAACTCTTATAACGTCAGGGTGTGACATTATAATGGCTTCGCAATCACTCTGAATCCTTCTGGTTTAGTGGACAATGTTGGATGCAGATGTGGTTCTACTGGCTCCATAAATGTTTCTGTTTTTGTTGTTTTAAACTCTGCAGTCAATTCTTGACCACCCTTGGCAATGAGATGCACTGGTTAATTCGTATCGGGATAATCCAGGTATCATCTTAGCCTTCCTCAAACAGCAAAAGTCATTAACTTGAACTCTTTGCTTTCTTTTTTTCTCTACTCTATACTAGTGAGCTATGATATAGTCCAAAGAAGGAACCAATGTGAAGGGCTAAACTAAAGCAAACAGTGCTTGGAATGATTAAGAATTGACTCTACAATCATTTACAGGGCATACAGCTGATTGTAGATACTAACCAAATATCAGAAACCAAAAAATACCAGTTACAGCCTAGACCCTAACCCACAGTCATCACTTGGTGACGAAGTTGTCACTGCCCATGGATTTCCTGCATCAGGGCCGTTTCTTATGTTTGCTTGGAGGCATTGTTTCTAAGAAAGATAACTTGAAAGAAATGGCAAGCCCATGATCCATCTCATCCTATAACACAGTCTTCTGTAATGTTACTGTGACACTGATCAGAACCCATCTTCATTTCTTAGTTCAGATCTTTTAAAATAAGTTAATGGGGCTGGGTATGGTGGTTCATGCCTGCAATCCCAACACTTTGGGAGGCCAAGGCAGGCAGATCACAAGGTCAAGAGATCGAGACCATCCTGGCCAACATGGTGAAACCCCCTCTCTACTAAGAACACAAAAATTAGCTGGGTGTGGTGGCGCACACCTATCGTTGCAGCTACTCAGGAGGCTGAGGCAGGAGAATTGCTTGAACCTGGGGTTGCAGTGAGGTGAGATCACGCCACTGCACTCCAGCCTGGTGACAGAGTGAGACTCCGTCTTAAAAAAAAAGTTAATGGGACTTTAGGAAAAATGGAATTGGCTAGGGATGATTATTTTAGTAGATATATAGACTGTGGAAGGTTAAAAACTGGTGAAGGTCTTAAAGACCTCTAGCTTAGCCCCTCATGTTATACAGGAAGATACCGAGGCTTAGAGGAGGTGATGCACCAGGTCACATGGCCAGACAGAAGCAGTGCCTGATTCTAGTCACGTTTTCCTGCTATTCTACACAAAAGCAACTTCTGAGGGGATGCACCTGGCTTTTTTATTTGCCTCAGGCATTTCCAGAGGTTTCTAGCTGTCGTCTAGCCCATAGGACAGAGCTGTCTACCTCAAAAACGTGCTGTAAAACTCTGTTGAATGAACATTAGCGTATTCAGAAAGGGTCATGCTCCAGCCAGGCAGGGAAAAAAGGGTCCTTGTTCATAACAACAAAGTTTAAGAAGTTAAGAAGGCTTTCAGGAAAACTGGGACACCTTTTTATTGTTTGGGGCCAGGAAAATGGCTGCATATGGAAGGAGGACGGCACTGACCTAGAAATGATAGAGGTCTATAGGGCAGGTGCATACGAAGCTGAGGTCCACAGGGTGAGTCTCTGTGATGTGTAGGTTGCATGTAGGTTCTAGCGTGCAGGTTTGTGTGTGCAACTGTGTTGCCTTCTTTATTCACCCTTATGTTTGATTGTTCCCCAGACTACCAAGGAGGAAAGTGGTTTTGTGTTCATACATTTGTTAACAGAACAAGGGAAAAATACATGATAATTATAACACGTCTTTAAAATGGCATAATATATATTATTATATAACATATATATATTATACTGTCATCATAATTTTATGTCTCCATAGGGCTTTGCCTCTCACTAACTCTGATCTGATCTCTTCTGCCCCTCCTTGCTGGGCATGGGGAGGAGTCCTGTGTGCTCAGAGCATGACCCAGGCATCCCCAGACTTTCCTGCCTTCATCATCAGTAGTAAGGGAGACCCAGACACTTGCCCCTCCAAACCATCCCAAATGCACAGCCTTACCCTTGCTAACTGCCAGGAGTCCAGGACTCATCTTACTGTGCACCTCACTCTGTTTATGTCAGTCCCTAGAGTACTGGGTCATCCTTCATATCCCTCACTCAGAGCTCCACAAGGCCTTGCATACCTTCTGTTCTGAAGCTTTCTCCCTCGTTACCCTGGCTCCTGAAACTCTTCCCCTGTGTCCTAGGAAATTCATGGCCCTTTATGAGCAAAATTCCTCACACATGTTCTCTCTCCTCTATTTCTCTTGCCTTCTGAGTCTAATGGAAACCCAGCTCTCCCCAAGGGCATTGCTTTCCCTACAGCCCATGTCACTGGACTTGGCCGGGGGCAGCATCTTCCTTATTCCACACTGCCCCTTCCAGACCCTTCCCTTCTTGTCTCTAGAAACCTTCGCTCTGAGCTGCATACCCTCAGACCACAGTACCCACTACTTGCATTGCTGTGCCATCATGAACCCTGGCTCTTCCTCACTTGTTGACAAATTTGATTCGTGGCCCTTCTTACTCTTTCCAAAATTATTCCTGCTGTAATTCCTGTGGATTTTAATATTAGTGTAGATGACACTCCTGACACTTGGTTTCCTTGAATGCATCTTCTCCAGCGATTGTTTTTTTTTATCCTCCACCTTAGCTCAGCTGCTCCAACCCATGTTCACATCGCAGACCTTATTATTTGCCAATAACTGCAACCTCTTCATGATCTTACTTTCACATCTCTCATTCTCTGATTTCCATTTCTTCTCTCCCTGGATAATCATGTATTGATCCAAGTATTTTTTGCTGTCCCTCCCCTGCTTCACGTCTTTTCTCCTTACTCAACTTACACTCAAGGCTATCAATGTAATTCCTCCCTGCCTGCACCCTCTCGGGCCTTTCCCTTTTGAGATTTGCTTGGCTAAACACAACCCGTGTTAAAACCAACTCTCCCTCTACCGGTACCTGCACCTATCAGGTGAATGTGACTGGGTGAAAACACATAATGCATTGTTCAAGAAGTTAAAAGAAAATTAAGAAACATGCTTGAATTCCTTAACATGACTAGTGAAAGCATAGCTCCAGGACTGGCCAGCAATAGCACATGGGCCAAATCTGCCCCACTGCCTGATTTTGCAAATGAAATTGTATGAAGTACAACTACACATGCACAAAATAAAATTTAAAAAAAGAAAAACAAAAACACACAATGTTGACTGGTATCATTTTAAATTAATGGCATGAACCTCGACTGGGTCCTTCAACCTGGCAATCATAATGTATTTTCCTGGTCCATTCACGTTTCCAATCTCTTAAATGACTATTTTATAGCTACTTTTCTCCCTGAACTTTCAATAAGTCTTCCAACTGACATAATTAAAAGGACTTTCCACAGCCTCCTACCACCTTATCTGCCCACCTTCCAGCCTCTGCACCTACACACCTGGACTTCCTGGCTGGGGCTACAGGTTAACTGTCTGTATTCCTGTCTACACCCAGCCTTTCCACATGTGGACAAGATTCTATCTCTCTAGCTTACTCAAGAATATTGGACCCTAAATTTCTCCCCTCTGTATCCTCCCTTAGTATTTTTTTTTTCCTCTAAAGGACTCTTGACTTGAGCCTACAAACAATCTTATTTCTTTTTCTTAAACAAACAAAAGCACTTGATGCATGTTCTCCCAACTGTTATCCCATTTTACTTCTTTCCTTGTAGCAAAACATTTTGGAAGAGATAGTATAGAGTTGTCTCTTCCAAATTCTATTAGAATTGTCTCTTCCAAACTCTATACTAAAACATGCTAATGAATTAAAATTAAAAGAAAACAAAAACACATAATGTTGACTGGTATCATTTTAAATTTTGATATCATTTAATTTTGGTATCATTTTTAATGTTTTAGTATAGAGTTTGGAAGAGACAACTCTATACTATCACCAATTTTCTTCCATTCTATTAGTTCTAAAAGCTGTTCATAAGCCAGGCATGGTGGCACACACCTGTCGTCACAGCTACTTGGGGGGCTGAGGCAGGAGGATCTCTTGAGCCCAGGAGTTGGAGGCTGTAGTGTGCTATGATTGCACTTGTAAATAGCCACAGCACTCCAGCCTGGACAACATGGTGATACCCTGTCTCTTAAAAAAAAAATCATTCCTATGAAACTTTCATTCCCACTATTTCACCCAAACAGCAGTTGTCAAGGTCACCAGTGTCCTTCACTGCTAAATCTGTCAGCAGTCAGCCATGAGGTCTGATGCTGACATATCTGCAATCTTTGACACTGTTGGTCACCCCATCATTCTCTTTGGTTCCTCTCTATCTCCCTAATGACAGAATGACTTGTGGTCTCTGTCCTTGATCCTAGTCTCTTCTCTATGAACTCACTCTCTCGATGGTCTCGTCTGGTTTTAGCCTTTACATATTGTCTCTATGCTAAGACAACCATCAGTGACCTATTGCTGGAATAATGCTGTGTAACAAACACCTCAGCAGCATACAACAGTAAATATTTATTTAGTTTGAGAGTCTATGACTCATCTGGGGATTGGCCAAGGCTTGGATGGCAAGGCTCTGCTTCTCATGCCTGCTGACCTTGAAGCCTGGAAATATTCTAATGGTGATGGCAGAGTCACAAAAGAACAAGCCCAGTTGCAGAGGCACTTTCCAAGCCTCTGGCCATGTTATTCTTGCAACCATTCTGTCAGCCAAAGCAAATCACATGGCTGAACCAAAGTCAAGAGGGGAAATATTCTCTTCCTCTTTAGTGGTGGACCTTTAAAGTCACATGGTGAAAGGATGGATTCAGGGAGATATGAAGAATTGGGGCCACATCTCTCAAATATTGCATGGGACTTTTTTTTTTTACTCATACTAAAATATTACCTGTTGTTTTTCTGAAATTAACATCTAACTGAGCATCCTCTATTTAATCTGGCAACCTTAATCTAACTTCAAAACACATCCAGAATATGGCACCTTCTTCTTACTTCCACTGTTTCCACCCTGGCCTGAGCCACTGACGTCTCTGACCTTGATGAACTGCTACACCCTCCTGACTGGTCTCCCACTTTATACTCTTATTACCTTCATGCTCTCTCAACACAACAGCCTGAGTGATCCTTTAAAATAGGAGATTACACCATTCTCCTGTTTGAAGCCTTCCAGTGACTCCCTATTTTGTTCACAGCAAAAGCTCAAGTTCTTTAAATTCCTGCAAAGCCCTACGTGGTCCTAGTCCTCACTGGCTCTCAACTGCATTCGCACTATTCTCACCACAATGCTACTTAGTCACAGTGACCACTTGTGAGGTCTGTATTCCTTACCTTTGGGCCTTTCCACTGATTGCTCCCTCAACCTGGAACTGCCAGATATCTGTCTGGCTCATTCTCTCCATTCTTTTAATTCTTTGACCCAACACGAGGTTCTCTGTGAGGCCTGCCCTGGGCTATGCCCCACACTCCAGTCCTTACCTGGCATCTTGATGTCTCTCTTTCTCTTCTCTGTTTTTCTCCTACAGGGAATTGATCTTCCAACATACAACAATTTATTCACTTTTATGCATATTAATTATTATCTGTCTCTCCCCACCAAAATAAAAGCTCCTGAAGGCAAATATTTTGTTTGGTTTGTTCACTGATTGTATTGCAAGTGACTAAAAGAGAGCTGGCAAATGTCTGATGAAGGAATGAAAGGATAGCCTGACATTTTCTGCCCATCACTATAAAAAATTGAATACAAATATTTTAAGCCAAGTGGATAGCTCTATTCAGATATTCATCTTAAATTTATACAAGTAAAAGTTTCATAAAATGATGGAGGGCTGAGGAAAGATTGCCTCGCTGACAGAATCTTAGTACACTAATGATTATTACTGACCTTGTTATAGTAAGACGTTTCTTTAAAATTAAAGATACACCAAGGATTTTAATAGGCATGCCAAGGCCAGGCATGGTGGCTCATGCCTGTAATCCGAGGACTTTGGGAGGCCAAGGTGGGTGGATCACCTGAGGTCAGGAGTTCGAGACCAGTTTGGTCAACATGGTGAAACCCTGTCTCTACTAAAAATACAAAAATTAGCTGGGCATGGTGGTGGGTGCCTATCATCCCAGCTACTAAGAAGGCTGAGGCAGGAAAATCACTTGAACCTAGGAGGCGGAGGTTGCAGTGAGCTGAGTTCATGCCACTGCACTCCAGACTGGGCAATAGAGCAAGACTCCATCTTACACACACACATATACACACACACACAAATAGGCATGCCAAAACTCTAAAAGTCTTAATAATCTTTCAGAGAGTCCTTGAAAATTAGCTTTAAGCTTTTCACTAGCATTATTGGTGAGATTATTAGGCGTCAGTTGTAGCCTGTATAGAATGCAGGCCAGTAAGGGTGAGAGAAACAGTCATGCATGTTTTTGATTAGTGGTTTGGGGAGGATACCTAAGAGAAAAGTCATACCCGATCTTTACTATCTTAATGGCTAAAGTAATTTAACATTAGTCGTTATTTTATGCTTTATTAAGAGGGTTTGGGAAACTTTACAAGAATTATGCTTTTTTTGTTATCAAGAGGTTATTAATTTGGCAACCAGACCTACTCAGAAAGACCTCTGAGAATCAAAAATAGATGCGTTGAAGTCAGTGCTCAGAAGCTTTTCTCCCAGACCCTCACCTAGGATCTGTTCTATAGTTTAGCAAGTTTAATGATCATCCAATAATAGAATGGTATTTGTTTCCTTACATTGTATGTTTGTATGAATGTATGAGGTTTGCTCTCTGGCAAGAAAAAACAACTGGCACCATGACAAGGATGAGACAGAAACACTATTAAGCTTAAGAACTTGAAGCCGTTTGGGATTGACATCCCTGAATTCCAGTACAGCGTAGTCATGGAAGCCCATGGTGGTAACTCCAGGCTAGCAAGATGCTCAGTATATTCACTGCATGGTGCTGCCTAAGATGGCAAGAAGGTTTGGAAAGAAGCCAGTCAACTTTTCAGCAGGTTTTGAAAAATAATTTATGATTAACTAGAATAATGTGGGACAGAGTGTTTCCCATTACTGATAGGTGAATAAGACAATATTATATGCAGAAAAATTTCACTTTAAATTCAACATTTGTCAAATAGGAGAACCAATGACAGTCTGTTTCTTGCTCAATGCATAAAATACAAAATCTGAATTAACCATGCATATTTATTTTGGGTTGAGTACAGTCCATGCTCCTAAATCACTTAAGGGTTAGCGAAGGTTATGGGCAAGGAAACAGACAATTAGATTATAGTGTGGTAAGTCTGGAGAAGGTTAAAGACAAGGTGCTCTGTGATTACATCAAAAGCGCACCTGACCCAGCATTTTTGTTTGTATGTTTTTGTGGAGAGAAGTCGTGGAAGCCTCCCTAAAGGAGGAATTTTTCTATATAAATTGAGATGCAAATGATGAGTAGGAAATTGTCAGATAAAGGTGGAGTAGCTAGACAGGAGATAGGGATGAACTAGTAAGCATATTTAGGTCGTAGATGAAAAGAAATTCAGTACAGAAAAGTTAAGGAATTTGTTTGGGGATATGCATTGTGAGCAGCTGAACTTTAGCTCTGTAATTTTGCTGTCATTAATCTCCACAAGGCAGATCCATAGGTGCAGAATGTCACACAGAATCAGCTCTCCCTGGAACATTGTAATCAGTGTGTATGTAATTCCATGAAAGTAATTATTAGGCCTGGAAAATGTATAAAGATTTGAATGGTTGTAGTAGGCAAAAGGGAAAATATATAGAAAAGGTTCTTGAACTTACCTTTAATCAGTGTACTGAGTTTTATATAATATTTCTGTTTGTAGATCCTTCTACTAAAGGACTTTCAACTTTGGAAATGCCACGAGAATCTTCATCTGCCCCTACGTTAGAAGCAGGTGCGCCGGAAACAAGTAGCCATTCCTCAATATCAAGTAAGATTTCCTCTGCTGATTATTTCAGCTGTACTTTTATTTTGGAACACTGTCTGCTGCCTTGTTTTCAATTTTTCCAATCTTGGTATTGTATATATATTTTAATGGTGCATCAGCTTCCTTGGTGACAGTATGTTGTATGTTCTCAGAGACCCTGAGGTGTAGGATGGCCCACTTTCATCCATATCGCTAGTGTTTGATAAATCACTATGGTTGCTGACTGGCCAAATACCCTAATTTGTTAAGGAATGATCACTGAATTCCATTATTCAATAAAATAAAAATTGTATAACCTGAACATAAAACTGGTTCTGAGGCACATGAAAAGCATTGTCTATGGCAGAATTTTACATGGAACACTTATTTAATTTGAGTCGCCTCCCTCATTGTGATCTAGGTTATCGTAAAATAAATGTGTGATATATCATATTCCCAAAGTCATGACTGAATTTAGCTCTTTTGGATTGGAGAGTAGAAATGGCATGACATTTTACAGGACCTGTAGAAGGCAAGTATTTTGAAACTGGCTTCTGTCACTGGGTCCTAGATTTTGTCCATGAGAGCTTGGGTTCCACTGAAAGTTCTGTAAGGGTGTCTGTCTGTCTCAGTGGGGTTAATTATGAGACCTTAGCATGAAACATTCTTACCAAGAATCAGAGATACGAACAGAGGTGCAACTTCTATAAACCTTTGTCATATGTGCTGATAAATGTTGTGTTCCATGTGGACATTGCCTGAAAAGCTATTTAATAATTTTCATTTGACCATCTTTTGATGATCCTGAAAAAAACAGATAAAGATCTTAAATATTGGACTGGTAGTTTGGAACATCATCATCTTCATTGTTCATTCATTCATGCATTCATTCATTCAGCAACTATTTATTAAGTGTCTGCTGAATGCCAGACACTGTGCTTGGCACTGGAGGTCAAAAGTGAATAAATAAAACCCCACTTGTTCTCCAGGAGTTTGCAGTCATAATAGTAATTATAGCTACTATCTACTTAACATCTATCATGTGCTAGGCACTGTGCCAAGTGGCTCACAGACATTGTTATCTGATCCAGTTCTGGCATCAGCACATGCATGATAGATGTTGTTGGCCCCCCCATTTTAGAGATTAGGTAATTGAGGTCCAGAGAAGCTAAATGACTTGCCTAAAGTCAAATACCTACTAAGTGATAGAGTCAGGAATTGATGCTAGGCCCTTTAGACTTATGAACCCATGTTCATTTTTAGTATACCACACTTCTTTTAAATAATTCAAATTCAGTCATAATAAGTATTATGGGAATTCTAAGAAATAGTTTCCAAATGGCAGTTATTTGCCCTTTTGGTAGCAAAGAAGAATGGCCAGTTCTGAATCTAATTATTCTTCTTCTATTACAAAAATCTGTTTGATCACATGATAAAATGCTAATTTTATGTCCACATGCTAAAATCACGAAAGTGTATCTTCTCCTAATTTGTATGAGTTATCTTTAATAAAAGATAGTGGGCTGGGTGCAGTGGCTCATGCCTGTAATCCCAGCACTTGGGAAGCTGAGGCAGGAGGATCACTTGAGCCCAGGAATTTGAGACCAGCCTAGGTAACATAGTGAGGCCCTGGTCTCTAAAAAAAAATTTAAAATTAGCCAGTCGTGGTGGCGCACACCTGTAGACCCAGCTACTGGGGAGGATAAAGTGGGAGGATCGCTCGAGCATGGGAGATGGAGGCTGCAGTGAGCTTTGATCATGCCACTCCACTCCAGCCTGTGCACCCTGTCTCAAAAACAAACAAACAAACAAAACAGAAGGAATAAGATAGTGAATTAGTGTATAATTTGAAATAGGATTATTAGCTCAGTAGGACTCAAATGCTAGTTAAATATACCATAAAATGAATTTACAAATATTTCATGATCCCAAAGTCATCATTGATCTAGACTTTGGATTTAGCTTAGCACTTCATTAGACTTCCACCTTTTCTCCTCCTTGCCATTAAAAGCATGCATTCTATAGCTCTTGGTGGTGTGTTCTTGGAGGCATCATGCTTGGTACCTTATACACTGAGCTAGACATTAAGGGATTTTATTCTCAGGGAATTCTGCTGTCTTTAAAAACACCTGAGAATTGAAGAAATTATTCAATTATTAGAGGTTTTAAATTTTTCTTTGAGTCTTACTAGATGCTGCTAATTTTTAAATTTGTTACATCTTTGAAAAGAATTCTGCTTTTGAATTTTACTTAAAGCTGTGCTTTTCAAGTGAGTCATAACATTGTAAGTTTTACCAATCAGCGACAAAAACCAGAGATGTTTAGTATTAGGTTGAATGGTCATTTCCGTGAATTCGGTTAATATTGACTTTAAGACACAAGAATTCCCATTACATCCTTCCCTTTTGATCAGTTTATCAGCTGGTTATTTTGTAGCTAAACATGTTGTGACCACCATTAATCAAACAGCATGCTAGTTACATTAAAAATAATGTTATAATTGATTTCACATCACACCAAGTTGCCACCTTGGTGCCATGATTGTGAAACCTGTGTATAACATTGAAGAGTTTCCAGGGGCCATGCAGTCATCCCGGTCTCTACCATCCCTTTCTAGGGTGAGTAGTTGATAGCTTCAGTTTCTGAAATTGTTCTTATAGCACAGAGGATAACCACAAGTTGTCAGATATACAAGGTATTTGGGGTCATGTAGAAAAGTTGCATCCATGATGCTCTGCCTCTCTCACTGGGCTGGTTGGTAGGGATTGGCGGGACTGCTGGGAATAGGACCAGAGGCGGCTGCTTTCCAACTCAGCAATCTACTGGCAAAAGTGTTTTTCATTGTTTTCTGGTTTGGCAATGCTAATAACTTGACATTTCACTAATGGGATATGTTTCAATGCTTAACTTACAGGATAAAAATGTTACCACTTTTTAAAAACAAAGATGTGTACTAGAATATACTCATGGAATGTTGTTTGATTCACATTTTTCTAACAGTAGGCAGAGGCTCACATGGAAATTGAAAACAACATTGACTTTGGAGTTGATATGTTTTGGTTTTAGGACCACCTCAGTTGCTGACTGGTTCCAAGTCATATAATTTCATTTGCTTCAATTTCTCTCTCTAAAAATTGGGGTTGATATGTGTCATCCTACCCTAAAATATACATGCACACACACACATCATGCACACACGCACACATACACAAGGACCTCATAGGGCTGTGAGGAAGATGGAAATAATATATGTACAAGCTCCTTTAAAGAAAGTTAAGCCATATGTTTAAATTTGTTATTTGTCTTAAATCCTTTTTAGAACATGGCAGAGTATATAATTTAAAAACTGGATGAAGATAATCATATTTCATTCAGTTGTAACTGAGATAAATATTTACAGGCGACAAATCAGTGCTAATGGGCAGTGTTACCATCTTCACTGTGTGAAGAAAGGTGTCCGGAACAGCAGAGTGCCTTAGTTTTTCATTTGAACGGAAGCATACAATTTACCAAAAATTATGAATAACGAATGAAGGGTCAATTAAAATTCTATATGGATGTGTGGAGCCTTTGTTTGCTGTGGAAATTTATTATTATAATCGTCTCCTAATTTCCTCCATCTAGCTCAGTATAGGCAGATGAAAAGGGGATCCCTGGGAGTTCTGACAATGAGCCAGTTAATGAAGCGGCAGCTGGAGCATCAGTCTAGCGCCCCCCATAACATCAGCAACTGGGACACTGGTGGGTCAAGCTTTTTCTTCTCGTTCTACCTCTCGGATTAGCGAATGCTACTTTCTCTGTGTCCACTCTGCTCCCTTGTTAAAGAATAGATTTTCTCTCATGTTCTTTGGTTCAGATAATTTTTTCAAAACCACCTAAGGTAATTAGTAAGTCTATTTAAACTTCCCAAGTGTTCTAGAGTGACACGCTCTTCCGTTGAGGCTGGCCCAACTCTTGTTCTCTCTAAGACCCAGATTCCACATATTAGTTATTGATCTGGGGAGGAGGGAATGGAACTATGGTTTCATGATGCAAATAAAAAAGAAAACACACAGCAGATTATCAATATTCTCTGTTGTATAAACTACAAAGTACCCCCTAAATAAGGGAATATTTATAGTAATGACAATAGCGATGACAATTGTCAGCTTAGTGACATCATGATCTGCCAGTAGGTTTGGGAATATGAGTTCTGTGTTTTAGCCAGCAGGGTCACCAGGTTGCAGCCGCACACCCCCATGCTCATAAGATGGAACTGCATCTAACCTCAATTTTAAAGTAAGAATTGACTGCCATGACATGTCTATTCTAAACATGATCACTCTGTATTTTCTAAACTTTGTTACCACGTTTTGTACATGTACTACCTTATCAAGCTAGTAGTACAGTCGCAATCCTCTTAAGTGCCCGCATTTTCTGTTTTTTATTTTTTCCTATAATTAAATGGGTCATTTGAGTTACAAGATTACATATGTGAAAACACCTTGCAACATGCATGCACCACTAAAATGTAAGGGCTTATTATGGTAATATGCTCTGGGGCCTACCCTTGGATCGGACTCTTTTGGTATCATGGTTCATACTTTCTGGCTGCCGTGATATGAGATTATTTTAATATTCTTCCTGATGACTATGAATTATAATACCCACAAAAGCAAAATATTGAGATACTTTCATTTTCTTCAAAGCCATAGTATTTATATACATAATTTTACTTGCCCTCATTATTCTGAGAGAGAGAGAGAGAGAGAGAGAGAGCTCTAGTCTAGATAACTAAATCCTACACAGCATAACCAATCTCACATTTAACAGATAGTTTCAACTCTCCTGGACTTTATAAGGGTTCTTAACATTTTAAAGGTTTAGTGTTTTCTCTTCATTTTAGTGATATGTTGTAGTGAGCAGTGAATAGCCAAGAGCCAACAGGCAGGGGAGAGAAGGAGAAAGACTGGACAGCCATCCTCAGGAGTTCACTGGGTTTGAATGAAGTCTTTCTGCCTACACCAAAGAGGACTGTGCTTTCTTCTTTATGGAGATGAAACTATGTAAGGAACTGAGAATGGCAGCTTTTGTTTGATTAGGTTTCCAATAATTAAATGCTGATGTGAGGGCTCTGAAGATGATTTTACCTTGCTACTGTTTTCTGCAGCAGGTAGCTCAGCCTAAGCTAACCAACCTGTTTAGATTCCAACTACAATGACAACCTAGTTTGATGGACACAGTAGTTATAAAAGGCAAACTGATCTCAATTTTCAGTCCAAATTTTAATCTAAGAAAATCTACATGATGCCAAATAACCCATTTAACGGAATTTTTCACTTTTCAACCAAATTTCAACCTTGTTCATGTCACTCTGGTTTCTCATTTAGTATTTCCCATGTATATGCTGTCTGAATTTCTTTCCCCTGAGTTTTCCTGGCCCTGTTTTCTATCCTCCAAATTGGTTCTCGAGTCACCAAGTCCTATGAGTGTCATCTCAATATTCTTGTTTTGATTAGTGCCAGAAAAAGTCCTCCTCACATCCGAGCCCAGGGGAGAGTCTGTGACTGTGTAGTACAGTGTTAGGTGGCATGTCACTTTAAACTACACGTGTAGATTCAGTGACTTGCTGGTCTCCACAAGAACAAATGTGGCCATGTGGGCACACTAAGAAAGGCAACCTAAAACATGGATCTGACCAGTTAACCTCAGCACCACCAACTCTGCCCTGAGAGCTGCCTCTTCTCCACCCATGCATATGAGACCCGCCTCTTCTCCATCCATGCATGGCGCCATGACTTACAGCTTTGCCTCATCTTTCATGTGAACAAACATTTTTGAAGCACCATGCCTCCATTTTTGCCCCCTCCCCCTTATTCCTGTTCCCCATCCCTTAGCCCAATGCCTGTCATTTCCTTCTACCAGTTCCACATGTTTTCAGTATGACCTTTCTGGCCATTGTCCCAAATGACACTTATGTACTTACTGATTTGCATAAAATATTTCTGTCATGGCTGTGATATTAGCCTTTCATTTCCTATCTGGAGATATGAGATTTGAACTTTTTTGGGGGGGGCAGGATGGGGCGCTTGTCTGGACTTTCTGAGATAGTTTTAGATGCTGTCCGGCTTTTAGTTGCATTTCATAGAACTGAATGGCAGGTTTGTAGTGAAGCCCCAAATAACCCTACCCTAAAATCTAGGATGTGTTCTGAAAATGTTAATCATACATAGTAACAGTGACCAAACAAATGGCCCCAAGAGATGATTGGTTAAATTCTTCATGTTCTAAATGGTGCTAAGATGACCACATCAAAGACTGAAACCCTCTATTTATCCACAGAACAGATACAGCCTGGGAAACGCCAGTGTAATGTGCCAACGTGCCTAAATCCTGACCTGGAGGGACAACCATTGAGGATGAGAGGTTAGTTGAGTCACAGAGTCTCTGACTATAAGAGCTGAAGGAGACTGGACATGTCCATCATTTGGTCACCCAGCAGGTACAGCCTTTTTCTTAGCAGCTCCATGGAGTGGGGATGACCTTTGCCCAAACACCCCCGGTGGCTGAGAGTGCGTGACATCTCATCTTTGAACATGGCCAACGGTTCTTCCTTATAGTGACTTTCTAACCCTTGCACACAAAACAAGTCTAGTCTCTTTCATTTATGTATATATTTCGAGACAGGGTCTTGCTCTGTCACCCAGGCTGGAGTGCAGTGGTGCAATCTTGGCTCACTGCAACCTCCTCTGTCTCCTGGGTTCAAGTCATTCTCCTGCCCCAGCCTCCTGAGTAGCTGGGATTACAGGCATGCACCACCACACCCAGCTAATTCTTGTATTTTTAGTAGAGATGAGGTTTCACCCTGTTGGCCAGGCTAGTCACAAACTCCTGACCTCAGGTGATCCACCCACCTCAGCCTCCCAAAGTGCAGGGATTATAGGCATGAGCCACCAGGCCTGGCCTCTTCTATTATTTTTGGGCATTGCTTATTCCCTCAGTCTTTTCTGGACCAGACATTCCTAGGTCCTTCAGCATTCCTTCTCAGACATATCAGTTTTCCATATCATGCCATATCTACTCTTCTGAGCATGGTCCAGCTAATCTGTATTTTTTCTAGAATATTGAGGCCATAGGCTAATAGTTTCTTTCCAGCTCTCTGAAGTGTATATTGAAAAGATTCACTTGACTTGATGCTGCTCACGGAATCAAGCTGAAGGCCAGTCTGTGCTAAGGTCAGAATATTCATTTTCAAAATTAATCCCATGAATTTTAACTACCAAAGTAGTTAATTGTTACCTTTGTTCTTTTTTAATTGAGAAGGCAGATTTGCCTATCATTGGCAGAAAAACAGAATACCCAGAAAGAACTATGATCCCATCTCACAACTAGGCTTTTAAATCAAGTAGACCTATTTTTCTAGACCATGTCACTCTTCTAATTTTCCTAAGGAATTAGGAGATACTGATCTCCAGCTTTGGCTCACATTTCTTTGGCAATGAATAGCAGTTGTAGTCCCTGTATTGGATGAGGTGAGATTCTTCTCATCTATGAGGCTAGGAAAAGCTTTGATGAGTAGAAGCAAGGGTGGTTGAACAAATCTTTGGTGCTTGTTCATGATCTGGTGACTCAGTAGCAGCAAAAGTAGAATGAGGTGATGAGAACACTAAGATGGAAAGTCAGTCTCTTTCATGGTAAACTGAAGAGCCCATCAGTGCAGCTGGGGGATTGATCCATGCATGCCTGCTTTGAGACAGACACCTTCATAATTTCTTCTGTATCCAAGACTCGCAAAAGGGACTTTTTGTCAAAATCTTCAGCTTCAAAGTTGGGCTCTGGAGGTGGGCCCCTCTTCGTTCAAGTTTCTGAGAGCCTTCTGTTTCTGCTGCTAGCTCAGTGTAGAGTGCACTTCAGCTATTCAGATGGGGAGCCAGTAGTGGAGGCATCAGAAATGTTGGCAGCAACTTGGAGGTGATAGGAACTGCCTTTAACATTGCAGACTTATTGTGACTGAAGTATAACAAAGGTGGCTGAGGTCTGTGGCTTCCTTTTTGCATTTCCCACCTCCTCCTAGTACGTTACTCTGTGTTCCTACTTCAGTAGCAATATTTAGGAATCCATTGATTCAGCCAGTGTTGCCCTATGGGGGTCAGTGTCCAATAACTGAACGTGTCTGCTTTTATAGATGACAGCCATAAATATTGCATCATACATTCTGTCACATGGAAAAACAACTTCACAATGCTATTGTCAAAAACACCTCTTTCTTGGCATTTGTATTAGGCAAATAATTAGTTTGAAACTGCCAGAATGACTTCAAGTCCCTCCCTTTTCTTGACTTTAATTGTGATTACTATATAACAGTAATTGGCAATAATCTTCTGAAAGGCTTGACTCAGAGGATTTTTAATTAAAAAATCAATTTCTTAAGTTTCTAGTAAGTCTATGTACTTATCATCATACATTGTATGGGCTGAATTTTTCCACTTCTAGACAAGCATTTTGACATCTGGTTGATGTGGTCTGTCAATGTTCAAGAAATGCGGGGTATTGAATTTAAATTTTCTGTGTCTTGGTTTCTTGAAGCAACTTCATGCTGTTTACCGTGCTATTTAATAATCAATTGTGTCTTCATTTATCTTGGATTATTTCTTGCCTTTGCTGTTATTAATCAGTGTACATTTATGCTTGTAATACTGTTGCTTCCACTTAAAGTAACATACTTATGAAACAATTGAAGATCTTTGTGAATGATACACTTATGTATACTTAGGGAAGGATGTTATCTTGGAAATAGCTGATAGATATAGTAGTAGAATTTGGATTCCCATTTGGGAGCTTGGGAAGTGACATAAAGATATTTTCAGATACTTTCCTTTGCAGTTTGGATTTGTAAATGTTCTGCTTCTCATATTTGTGTAATCTTTGATCAGACAAAGGAGTCTGTAGTATAGAAGCATCTTGACTTTTCAAAGGCTCAACACCATTTTTTCTTCCTAAAATTCAGATCGAAACACATTGCCCACTTGGCTAGCTTTATGAATATTTTGATTCCTTTAGAAACTCATTGTCTGAATCATTTTCTTTCTCCTATTTGAGGAAAGGTCATACCATATTTTTTTTTTCCTCCCAACGCCAAGATACTAATTCCTTGATGAGAAAGATTATTTAATGACTGTTGGATTTTTCTGCCTTCTTTCCTGTTTGAAGAACTTAGAGTTTTAGTTATTACTTTGTAGAACATGGCATTATTCTGAATGATCACTTTGAGATTCTTCTTGGGGGCCTCATTTTCATCTGAGACTCTATCTTGCACTAATGGCTTCCTTAATGGAGGAAAGCTTCCTGACTCTCCAGACTGATTTACTCATCCCTGGAGCATGTTGCTAAGATTCTTGCCTCAGATTTCTTTGAAGCCATCAAACCCCAAAGTTTTAAACACTGTGGTATTGATTGGCTGACGTGGAATGAGTCACTGGATGGTTCCTTCAAAAAAACTTGATATTACATTCATAAATACTTCAGTTTGAAAAATGAGAGTAGAGGCACAGTGGCTCACAGCTGTAATCCTAGCTCTTTGGGAGGCTGAGATGGGAGAATCCCTCGAGCCTAGGATCTTGAGACCAGCCTGGGCAACATAGTGAGACCTTGTCTTTACAAAAAGCTTAAAAATTAGCCAGGCATGGTGGCGTGTGCCTGTAGCCCCCGCCACTTGAGTGGCTGAGGTGGGAGGATTGCTTCAGCCTGGGAGGTTGAGGCTGCGGTGAGCCATGCTCACGCCACTGCACTCCAACCTGGGTGACAGAGCAAGACCTTGTCACAAACAAACAAACAAACACACTGATATTTCTTAGCTCAAAGATCTTCCATTGCTTAAGTGCATGGAGTTCTGGGATCTTACCACTTTCCCATATTAGCAAAACTGTAATGTTGATATGCATTTGTGATTTTAGAAATGCAGTATCATATGGGCAGTTTGCATTTATGCCTACAAATAAGAATTGTAGCTCTTTTAAGGGCACCCTTGAATAGATTTCCCCCTTTGTCTTTCATCTTTGTCTTTGGACCCTGCTGGCACACCTGAGCTCTTTCTGATTTCTTTCAAAGTCAAGAAGCAAAGAGAGAGAAGTCTAGCTCTTCACTTCAACCAAGTAGAAACAAATCACAATCTTTCTTGACTTCATTTCATGATTGAGGGCTTTCTGCAGTACAATTGGGATGTCCAAGTTGCATTCCTGGGAATGTGATCTTTGGAGGGTTTCTAAGAGGAGAACCAGGCCTTTCTTGGCCCCTTGAAGCTCATCTGTATTCACTGGTTGTCCCTTTGCTGCTTACCCAGGTGCCACCAAATCCAGCCTGCTGTCAGCACCAAGCATAGTCAGTATGTTTGTGCCTGCACCCGAAGAATTCACTGACGAGCAGCCGACGGTGATGACGGACAAGTAAGCTCGCACAGCTATTTTCTTCACCATGTTTACAGAATTTGAGTTTGGTCACCACAGTGGTGAGAAAGTTTCAGAAGAAGCATGCTTTACTTTTAAGTCATAATTTGTTCTTCCAGTATATTGCCTGACACACAGATGCTTGTTCAGTGAGTATGATAAAGAATAACCAAAGCGGGTGGATTGCTTGAGCCCAGGAATTTGAGACTAGCCTGAGCAACATGGCAAAACACTGTTTCTACTAAAAATACTAAAATTAGCCAGGTATGGTGGTGTATGCCTATAGTCCCAGCTGCTATGGAGGCTGAGGTGGGAGGATCACTTGAGCCTGGGAGGTTGAGGCTGTGGTGAGCTGTGATGGTGCCACTGTACTCCTACCTGGGTGATAGAGTGACTGTCTAAAAAGAAAAAAACTTGTAAGATTTCAAGTTTAGAGAAATCCCCTTGGACCAGGAAGCCTTCTTGGTAAAAGTGACCTGATTGATAAATTAGGTAGATGATATGATTTGGCTGTGTTCTCACCCAAAACTCACCTTGAATTGTAATAATCCCCATGTGTCAAGGATGGGGCCAGGTGGAGATAGTTGAATCATGGGGGCAGTTTCCCCCATACTGTTCTCATGGTAGTGAATAAGTCTCACGAGATCTGATGGTTTTATGAATGGGAGTTCCCCTACACAAGCTCTCTTGCCTGCCACCATGTAACATGTGACTTTGCTCCCCCTTGCCTTCCACCGTAATTGTGAGGCGTCCCAGCCATGTGGAACTGAGGGTCAATTAAACCTCTTTCCTTTATAAATTACCCAGTCTTGGGTATATCTTTATTAGCAGCATGAGAACAGACTAACACAGTATGCTTCTGATAAAAGGTGAGGAAGGTAAGGTGGAGGGGCTGGTGTGAGTATCCCTGTAGCTGGCCATCCATTACTCATTTGTAATGAGCTGACAGCCACGACTGAAGAAGCGGCGGTGCCTGTCTCATGCAGCTGCCAGGTCATTGAGTTGCCCGTGGAGGGCTCTCCCAGCTCTTCCTTTGGGATTACCCTCCTCCCCAAGTCTTAATCTTTCCTACTTGCCTTTCTGTGCACTCCATTTCTTTTCTTTTTTACTTAGAAATGTGAATCCTATATTTTAAAATGTCAATTTGTAAGACATTTTTATACTTTTTCTTTGGCCTATATTTAGGAAGGTTTCAGAAGGAAAGGTCACAATAGTGGTTGTAGTTCTTGTTTCCCTGCTATTCCCAGTAGACTTTCGCTTCCCTTTGTAAAACCACTCACTTTATCAGCTGGCTTTCGTCGAGCTGAATGAAATGGACCCTACGTTAGGACACGACAAAGAATGATAAGTTGGAAGTTACCTAAGAGTGGGTGCCATTGTTTGTGCTTTTACATACAACACTCGGCAGGCCTGGTGAGTTCATAAAACTCATCTGAGTGAGTGGTGGTGAAGAGACTCCATTGTCTCCTCAGGCTTCCCAGATGGTTCTGTAGACTTGATTACCCTGTCTCTTACCCACAAATAGAACATTTTCTGAAGGCCTCCATCCATGCCTAAGCATTTTTCATTTTTAACTTCAACAAATGAAAAACAAATCTAGTTACTGACTTTCCTCAGCAATAATGTCAAATGCATCAAATCCCTCATCCATAGGCTTCAAACTGATGGCCCAGGTGGTACTTATTCTAAGCGAGAGCAGTCACTCACATGCAGGCCGGATGCTGGGGAATTGAAAGAACATTTTCAGTCATCAGAGGCACCTTCGTGGTCTCTGTCATGTGTGCTGTTTCTGTATCTGTGGTGATGGCGGCACTGGAATCCCCTGCTGATGACCAGAGCGGGGCTTCTGATCTCCTTTTGGAGACTTTTCCAAGACCTACTAGAAACAGCCATGTGTGTAGTACATTATATCTTGAAACCATGGATCTTTCTTTCATGGAAAGCGTGTCTCTCTTTTCTTTGCAGATGCCATGACTGTGGGGCTATTCTTGAAGAATATGATGAAGAGACACTCGGGCTGGCCATCGTGGTCCTCTCCACATTCATCCACTTAAGCCCAGACCTGGCAGCCCCGTTGCTGCTGGATATCATGCAGTCTGTGGGAAGGTGAATGTCAGCTTCTGTTTTGTTTGGTAGGAAGGTCCTTTATTCGATCTCTATCTTGAACTAAAATCTTACCAGTTCAAAAGTAAAACATTCAGCCACCTTGTAGATACTGGTATTTGTGAGGTCAACTCAGACTAGTTTTAAAAACTGAATAGACCCATCTTTCGACTGAATTCTCCAGCTGCCTAGGGTCATGAGTCACAATGTCAGAGCAAAGCTAGAGGCAACTGCACTAAGAAAACCCCACTGTTTGTTACCCCTATCACTAGATGAGCTAATGGGTGTAACCATGCACACAACTGTCAGCAGTTGATAGTAAGCACTTCATAAGTATTAGCTGTTATTATTATTTCTCTTTACCTGTTTTGAGATGGATTTTCTAGGCATTTGTAATCTCAAGGACACCTCATTTAACTATGAAACTTGGGGCATTGTCGTGTGAGGAGACACACAGTAATTACAGCAGGTTCACATTTCTGACTCAGATAAAAGAAGGATGCACACATTTGGGGAACAGGGCTTTCATCCTGACTGAGAGGTTACACTTAGCTGCTTTGAGGATGTTCATGCTAAGAAAATGCTATTTGTTAGATAGGACATTAGAAGATAAAGGATATATTTCATGGATATGAAGAAAGCTCAAATTCAATAACAAACTGTAGTCCTAGCATGCACAACTTATAAGAGAGGGTTGAATTAAACTCCACATGAACCTATTAACGTTTCCAATCTGTGCTAACAGTGCCAGGTGCTTTAGGCTGCAGGTGTTAGACAGAGCTCTTGTCCTCAGGTGCTTTGGGCTTAGTTGCTGTGACAGTTACTGTGGACTCATTGACTAGCCAAACAAGATAGGGTGTGATTAAATGCTGTAATGAGTGGAATGAGAGAGAGCTAAGTGCTAGAGAAGATTAGCATAGAAAACATTTCTTAAAGAAAGTTTATAAGGAGGGGGTAGGACAAGAACTGGATTCTGCAAATTCTTGGCATTTGAGGAAAGGAAAGAGAATGAATCTCAATGGAGCTAAAATTTAATCCTTTTTTAAAAATGAAAAAATGCTGACTTCAAGTTGAAGACAAACAGGAAAGCATTATAAATTCCTCAACCCCAAAAGAGTATGGTTTCCTTATCCTCCCTCCCTCCAGTTTTTTTGGTAGTGTCCTTAGGAGTCATATAGACAGAGATTGTATAAAGGTAAGCGTGACCATTGCATCTCGAGACTTCAAAATAGCTCATGTGCCAAGTAAGGGATGGGTATGGGGATATGGAGAGATAAGAAAAGATGAATTACTTCATTAAGTTTGACCTAGTCATAGTAATTGCAGAATAAATGCTGTGTCAGCTATCAGCAATACTTGGGGAGTTGAGAGTTTTTATTAATACCAGGTCACAATTTCTACTGTCAATACTTCTTAGTTTCAGAACGGATAGAATTATTGTTCCGATCTGCTATCATCTCTTTGAAACAGATGATATAAGTTGTCATAGCTACATAGAGGGTTTTGTTTCAGTTTTTTTGTTTGTTTGTTTTAACATAAGTGAGAACAATATGTGTTCAAACATTGCCAACTGTTAGGATGGAAACACACGAGCTTTGAAGAAAAGCAAGGGAAAACCAGTAACAGATACATTTTTACATATTTACATACACATATATTTAAATCTCTACCTCCTTTGAGTAGACTAGCAAGAGACAGGGAGTACATTTAGTGCAAGCTGCCACAATTCTTAGCAACCTAAGCCTAATCACCAAAGCTACCAAGAAAACAGATTCAACTGTCAGCTCATTCAGGGCTTCCTGGCATGTCTCACATCATCACAAAGAACAGATGAGGTCATGTGGTTTTACAAACACGTTGTTTATTTGTGCTAATTATGACCACAGGGACCATTCCCAGCAATTCCAAGAGTTTGTAAGCTCAGCATAACCCTTTCATGGATCACCCAAGCTTTTCCATATGATCTCATACTTTGCTGTCTGCTTGGATCCCTCTTAAATGATCCCTTTCTGTAGGTACAGCCTTTAAAATCTCATTTGCTGCACCATTAATTACTGTTTAGTTTACTTGCCAATGTTTATCTATTTGTTGTAGTGACATTAGCATGAGAGGGTCTGTAAACAACACAACTGGGAATGGTGTCTGGTGTTAGTGGTTGCTGGACCCTCTATTCCTCTCTAAGTGGGGTCTGGCTCAGCTCACTCTTACACTTGTAGTCCTAATCAAGTAAATAAATTTGCAACATTCTCCTTATCTGTTTCTTCAGTATCTTACTGATCCAGACATGTTCTTCTAAACCCATCAGTGTAGTCCATTCTCTTTCTATACGATAACATATAGAATATTTCCACACATACAGAACCGTATAATTATACTTTTCTGGAAATTACATGCTCCATATCGTTTACTTAACCAATACGTCTCTCTTCTCAGTGTAACATTTCCTTTCTCCTCATTTCAACTCAACAGCTGACAGATATTCCTCATATCTATTTTACTATCTTATGGAGGCTTTTACTGTTTATGGTTTGTTTATAGTTAGGTTTCCGAGGTTATATACAAAAAAATGAATTTTGAGTTGAGTTAATATGGAGAGGGACTGGGTCACATGTTGTTGTGATAACTGTTTGACCTGGCTGCAGGCGCCATGTTGTAGAAAACCAACTTTAACTGCAAGTGTTTCCGTGAAAATGTCTAACTTGATGTAGCAGGTCTCAAGGACTAGGTCAGGTTTAACTTTAGAGACTGACAACTGAGTGGGCCCTCTGTCTGTCAAGGGAATTGTCAACATTATACATGTCTCCCCATCTAAACTGGAAACACAACAGGTCCTCCCACAATATTAATGCATTTCATCATGGAAACCTAAGATGTTTGTGTGACTCTCTTTACTTTATTTCCTAGATTGGCATCCAGTACTACCTTTTCTAATCAAGCAGAAAGGTAAGGTCCTAACGTGAGCCCAGATCTCACTTTCTTTTCTCCTCTGTGCATGTTCATCCCGTTTCTAAAACACCAGTGTAGGGCTGGGTACAGTGGCTCGCATCTGTAATCCCAGCACTTTGGGAGGCCAGGGTGGGAGGATCACTCGAGCCCAGGAGTTCAAGACCAGCCTGGGCAACATAGCAAAAAATAAAAATAAAAAAAATTCCAGCTTGTGCACCATGGAAGGAATATTGTTAGGCTCCAGTTGTAGCTCTAGAGAGCACTAGTTATTCATTCTCTGTTCATGCCTTCATTCACTCGTTCATTCACTGACTCACTCATTTTAGCCAACGAATACTTTTAAGCCCACCCTGTGCTAGACACTTAGGTCTTCACTGGGGGCAAAACTGACATGATTCCTGCCCTCATGGGGCTTATAGTCTATTCATGAAGCCAATGTGAATAAAATATTTGCACAAATTTATAATTGTAAACTGTGCTAAGTGCTATGAAGAAAAAGTACAGAGAGACTTATACTAACAGTAATTCATTCAACAAGTATTTATGGAATGACTACTAGTTATTGAGGTTATAGTAACTATAACAAAACATCAAATCCTGGCTCTCAGGGAACTTACATTCTAGTTGAGGAGGGAGAAAATAAACAAATTAACCAACAGGAAAACTGATTATGTAATTTAATATCATTTAGTGCTAAATGCTACGAAAATGAATCAAGCAAGTCTGGGAGATAGAGAGTGCCCAGAGCTGGTATTTTAGATATAATGGTCAAGGACAGCCTTTTTGAGGAGGTAATATTTAAACAAAACCGGAATAAAGTGAGAGAGTGATCCATGCAGTAATTTATAGACATAACATTCCAGGCAGAGGGAACAGTAAATACGAAGTCTCTAAGTCAGGAAAATGCCTCATATATTTGGAGAACAGACTAATGTGGCTGGAGCAGATTGAGTATGAAAAAGAGTGGGAAGAGATGAGAGGGAAGAGGCAGTGGGAGCCAGGCCAAGTAGAGCCCTGCAGGTCGTTTTAAGGATGCAGCAGGGAGCCATTGGAGTGAGGAGCGATGTGCTTTAACCTGCTGTTTTAGTCCACTTTCACGCTGCTGATAATGACATACCTGAGACTGGATACTTTATAAAAGAAAGAGGTTTAATTGATTCACAGTTCCACATGGCTGGGGAGGCCTCACAATCATGGTAGAAGATGAAGGAAGAGCAAAGGGACGTCTTACTTGGCAGCCAGCAGAGAGAGAGCTTGTGCAGGGGAACTCCTATTTATAAAACCATCAGATCTTGTGAGACTTATTCAGTACCACAAGAACAGTATGGGGAAAACCACCCCTATGTTTCAGTTATCTCCCACTGGGCCCCTCCCACAACATGGGGGAAGTATGGCAGCTACAATTCAAGATGAGATTTGGGTGGGGACACAGGCAAACCATATCACCTGCTTTGAAGGATCACTGCCTAGTTACTAATCAAGGGGCATGAAGTTTTAGTCAAGCCAGATGAATGAGCTCTGAAGATCTGCTGCTGTACAGCATGCATCTACAGTCAACAGTAATGTATTGTACACAAACATTTTTTAAGAGGATAATTCTCATGCTAAGTGTTCTTACACAATAAAATAAATCTTTTTAAGGAAAAAAATTGTAAGGATCCCTCTGGCTTCTCTGTTGAAAATAGGTTATGGTGGGGGGCTAAAAATGGAAGCAGGGAACCACTTTGGAGACCATGTTAGTGGTACAGATGAGAGGTTAGTGGTTTGGTCTAAAGTGGTGAGAGGCAGTCACATTAAGGATATATTTAGGAAATATTTGGAAAGTAGAACCAACAGAATTTGCTATGGATTGGATGTTGGGTGTGAGAGAAAGAGAGGAGGCAAGAATGACTCTCAGGTTTTGGTCTAAACAACTGGGTGAGCGGGTGTGGCATTTGCTGAGATGAGCAAACCTGGATGAGAGCTGATGGTGTGAGTGGGTGTAACAGGTGGTCCCAGTCTGGTCTTGGTAGTGGTAGAGAAGGGGAGAAAGAGGGCAGGGCTCCCTCAAGAGGTGATGTTTAAACCAAGATCTGAAAAAATGAGTTTAACCTAATTATGCACATAGTTATGGAAAGAGCATGGTAAAAAACGGTGTGTAGGAGGAACTATGAAAAAGCCAGTATAACCACAGCACTGAGATGCAAACACTTGCTGAGTTTGACTTACCAGATTGTACATGACTTATAAACCACATTAAATATTTTGGACTTCCTTGTAGCAGCAGTGGGAAGCCAGCGAAGAATTTGTAAGCAACAAGGTGTGTGTGTGCATGCATGCATGTGTGTGTGTGTGTGTTCGCGCATGTGTGTGTGTAGCATGTAGAAAGGCTACTTTGACTGCAGTAGGGAGAAAGAACCAGAAGAGGGCAGGAATGGATGCTGTGTGTGACTTTGGTCACATTGATCTCTCTGCCTTAGTTTCCTCATCTGTAAAAGAGAGATACTAATATATGCCTTCTTGTGCCTCAGGGGTATTTTCTGTGGACCCAAATGATAGAGTGTATATGAGAGCATAAGTGTAGCAAGTCCTACAAACATAAGATGATATTATTGTTGACATTGCATTTCTATAACTTATGGCTTTAGGGATGTTTGCTTTTCTTTCTAATGCTCTATTTGATGAATGACTTATTTAAAAACTTTTTTCTTAACTTATTTAATGAAAGATTGTAAACGTACTGCAAAGTTGAAACAATTATACAGTGAACACTCGTATACCTATCATGCATCCAACCATCTATCTATCCATCAATTCACTTTTTGTGGATGTATTTCAGAGTAAATTTCAGGTATTAGAATGTAGTTTCCCCTACATACTTCAGCAAAGTTAGCATTAACTCAAGTTCAATTTTTGTATATGGTTGTTTCTTTTTTCCTCCAGCTTTATTGAGGTATAATTGAGAAATAAAAATTATATATATTTAAGATATAAATGTGATCTTTTGATAGATGTGTACATTGTGAAATGATTACCACAATCAAGCTAATTAACATATTCATCACCTCACGTAGTTATCTTTTTATTTTTTGGTGAGAACATTTGAAATCTACTCTCTCAGCAAATTTCAAGTATACAATACATTGTTGTTAACTATACTCATCATATTGTACATTGACCATGGTTGTTTCTTTTGTAAAATTTACATACAAGGAAGTACACAAATCTTAAGTGTTTATTCCTTGAGTTTTGTCAAATGCATATGACTGTGTAACCCAAAGCCCTGTTAATGGGATTACTATTATTGCCAGAAAGTTCTCTCATGCACGTTTCCAGCTAATCTCTACCCCTATAGGGGCAAACACTGTTGTGATATTTTTCTACTTGGGTTGATTTTGCCCATTCTAGACTTAATGTCAGTGGAATCCCACTGTATGTGCTCTTTTGTGTCCAACTTCTTTTACTTAGCATGATGTTTTTGAGATTTATCCATATTGCTGCTTTTTTATCAGGAGTTTCTTTTTCAAGGCTGAATTGTATCCCATAATTTGCTTTTTAATTTTCTTATTGCAGTACTTCTAGGTTGTTTCAGTTTGGGGCTATAAAATATAGAGCTATTGTGAACATTCTTATAAAAGCCCATTTTAAAACAAGTGTTTTTATTTCTCCTGGGTAAAATACCTAGGGATGATATTGTTGGATTACAGGATACGTATATGTTTAATTTTATCAGAAACTACTGGAACTTCTCTTGAAGTGGTTATGCCATTTTATATTACCATCATCAATGTATTCTGGTTGTTTCATATTCTTGCCCAACTTTGGCATTGTTGGTCTTTTTAATTTTAGTCATTCTGGTAGATGTGTAATGGGTATTTCATTATAGTTTTAACTTGCATTTCTCTATGATGTTTTGTCAAGTGCTCATTGACCCATTGTGTATATTCTTTTGAGATGTGTCTGGTCAAATCTTTTGAATATTTTAATTGGGTTGTTGTCTTTTTATTGCTGAGTTGTAAGACTTTATATATCCTGAATACTAGTCCTTTGTTAAGTACGTTTTGAGAATATTTTCACCCAGTCTGGGGCATGCCTATTTCTTTTCTTAGTGGTATCTTTTGCTGATAAGTTTTTAATTTGGATGATTTCTAATGCATTAAAACAAAACATTACAATTATTGCTTCTTGTTATTTGTCTAAGAAACCTTTGTCTACTTCCAAGTCATGCAGATATTCTCTAATGTTTTTTTCTAAAAGCTTTATGGTTTTCATATGTATATTTGGCATTTATAAAACCCATCTCAAGGCCAGGCGCGGTAGCTCACGCCTGAAATCGCAGCACTTTGGTAGGCCAAGATGGGCGGATCACGAGGTCAGGAGATCGAGACCATCCTGGCTAACACGTTGAAACCCCATCTCTACTAAATATATAAATAATTAGCTGAGTGTGGTGGCAGGCGCCTGTAGTCCCAGCAACTCAGGAGGCTGAGGCAGGAGAATGACTCAAACCCGGGAGGCGGAGGTTGCAGTGAGCGAAGATTGTGCCACTGTACTCTAGGCTGGGTGACAGAGTGAGACTCCGTCTCAAAAAAAGAAAAGAAAAGAAAAAAGCTTCTCAAATTTATTTTTATGTATGGTATGATATGAGGCAGCGGTAGGAGTTCATTTTTATCCATGTGGATAATCAGTTTTTCAACACAGTTAAAAAAGATATTCTCTTTTCTTATTGGATCACTGTGGTGCCTGTTAAGCTGAGAAACCATAGAAGAGTGGGTCTATTTCTGGGCTCTGTATTCTGTTCCACTGATCTATATATTAATTCTTAAGCTTGCACCACACTGTCTTGATTATAGTAGCTTCATAGTAAGTAGTATATCTTAAAGTCAGGTACCATGAGTCCTCCAAATTTAGTTATCTTTTTCAAGATTGGTTTGGATCTCTAGATTCTTTACATTTTCATAAAGATTTTGGAATAAGCTTGTCATTTTTATCAAAAAAGCCTCCTGGGGTTGTATTGAAAGAACAAATCAATTTGGGGATAACTGACAGCATGAAAATATTGAATCTTCCAATTCATGAACATGGTATGTATCTCAGTTTCATGAGATCTTTAATTTCTCTCAGCAGCGTTTTTTAGTTTTCAGTGTAGAGGTCTTGCCATTTTTGTTAATTTACTTTCAAGAATTTTATGTTTTTTATACTAATGTAAATGGAATTTTTAAAAATTTCAACTTTTTGCTGCTGATATCTAAACAATTGATATTTACATATTCACATTGTATTCTAGCTAAACTCACTTATTAGTTCTAGTAGTCGCTTTGTAGATTTCTTAGGATTTGATTTTGCGTAGAAAAATCATCTATAAATAGCAAGAGTTTTACTACTTCCTTTCTGATCTTTATGCCTTTTGTTTCTTTCCGTTGCCTTATTGCAATGGCTAGGACTGCCGATGCAATCATAGAGATGGGAGAGTGGGCACCCTTGTCCTGTTTCCTCTCTTACAGGGAAAGTATTCAATATTTACTATTAATCACAGTAGCTATAGGTTTTTTATAAATGCCCTTTAGCAAATTGAGGTTTTTCCAGTTTGAGGGTTTTTGTTGTTGTTGTTGTCGTTGCTGTTGCTGTTGTTGAGACAGGGTCTTGCTCTATCACCCAGGTTGGAGTTCTGTGGCACCATCTTGGCAGTCTCAACCTCCCTGGCTCAAGTGATCCTCCCACCTAAGCCTCCTGAATAGGTGGGACTACAGGTGTGTGCCACCACACCCAGCTAGTTTTTTGTATTTTTTTGTAGAAATGGGGGGGTTTTGCCCTGTTTCCCAGGCTGGTCTCCAACTCTTAGGCTCACGCAGTCTTCCTGCTTTGGCCTCCCAAAGTGCTGGGATTACAGGCGATAGCCACTGCGCCTGGCCCAGTCTGAGTTTTTGTCACGATGTGTGTTGACTTTTGTGAGATGTATTTTCTGCATCTATTGAGATAAAAGTTTTTTGTCCTTTATTTCTTAGTATATTGAATTGTACTGACTGATTTTTGAGTATTAAACTATTGTTACACTCTTGGGATAAACCCTACTTGGTCATGACCCTACTTGGTCTTTTAATCTATAGCTGAATTCAATGGCCATGATGACTATGGGTGTGTCTGTCCTCTTCCCATTTCTTTTCTGTTTCCTTCTTTTTTAAAATTTATTTTGATAGTGGCTTTATTGATTTTAGTTTTAGGGCTATGCTGGCTGCATCAAACAAATTGGGAAGGGTTCTCTCCTTCTCTATTTTCTGAAGTTATTTTAAGTTCGGTATTATTTTTTCCTGAAGAATATTTTTGACCTAAAACTTTGAACCAGGATTTCAGGGTAGATGTGGCATAATGAGGTAATAATTGGCATAATTAGGTAAGCAGTACTTCTTACTCTTTATCTATTTATGTTCTTTGATTTTTTCTTTCTTCCTTCTGATAACTTATCCCCTAACTACTTCAAGAAGCATCCCTTCTGGTACCTTGGTCTAAGGGGCAGGGCCTCATAAATTTGGCCCTACTTTTGATGTACAGAGGTGCACATGAAGGGTGAAGGGCAAACTGCACCTGTCAAAGTCCAGCCTTTTTACGGATGCCCAAAGAAAACTTCCCAGATCTCCTAATGAGAATGAACATCTCCCTCACTGCGCATATATATATATATATATATATATATGAATTTTTTTTCCTCAGAGCAACTCTCTCTTAGCCAGTGACACTTTCCTGGGAGGATTTTCCTGGTAATCCTCATCCAGAGCTCTAGTCTTGACTGTCATTCTGTGAGCATGTGACCTTTGTATGTGACCTCTTCTCTCAGGACCTCATAACCTTCCTGAGTCCATTGTGGGACCTGGAATACGTCTGAGACTATGCTGGCATTTCATGGTTCTCTCTTTCTAAAAACTTCTTGTTAACAGGGATTAGGTTTGAGTAGAATATTTCATTTCACTGATGAACGTGACAGTGAGCTATCCCATAAGAGGCATGGTGTGCAAATGATTGAACTCTAAGTAAATACCTGAACACATGCTCACTGGCCCATGACTTCGTGTCTTTTCTCCCCTGTTCAACTCCAGCATGATGGTTCCTGGCAATGCGGCGGGGGTGGCCAAGCAATTCCTGCGCTGCATCTTCCATCAGTTGGCCCCCAACGGCATCTTCCCGCAGCTGTTCCAAAGCACCATCAAAGGTAATTCATCCACTGAGAATCCAGACACCACAAATTTGCCTCATCCCAGACATCCAAACACTAAATCTGATTGTTGACTTTCCAGATGGGACTTTTTTACGGACCTTAGCCTCGTCTCTGATGGACTTCAACGAGCTGAGCTCTATCGCAGCTCTCAGTCAACTCCTAGAGGTGGGTTTCCTTTAGTAATACCCTAAGCCCCAGCCGAAACTCTAAGCCCCAGCACAACTGTGGGTGTTTCTTTGAGTCACACCGTAGGGTACTGCTGAGGAAGGATTTCAATGTTATTTAATATAAAAATGAAATCTAAAATTTTTAAATTAAAAATTTATATTAAATTTAAAGCTAAGGGCTGAGTGCAGTGGCTCATGCCTATAATCCCAAGACTTTGGGAGGCTGAGGCAGGAGGATTGCTCGAGGCCAGGAGTTCAAGACCAGCCTGTGCAACATAGCAAGACCCTCATCTCTACAAAATAAAAATAAAAAAAATTAACTGGCATGGTGGCACATGCCTGCAGTCCCAGCTACTCAGGAGATGGAGGGGGAAGGATCACTTGAACTCAGGAGTTGGGGGCTGCAGTGAGCTGTGATGGCTACACGATGCTCCAAGTTGGGCAACAGAGCGAGACCCCCAACTCAAAAGAAAAATAATAGAAAATGCTAAAATTTAAATAATTTAAATTTTAAAAATTAACATAATTTAAATTTTAAAAAGTTAATTAAGAAGTAGAATCGCATAGAAAAGTGTCAGTTGGACATTGCTGCTTTGCGTGGATTTACTCTTCATTGAAAACTTCTCCATACCCTCAGCCTAAGTCATGACCTTGCCCCCGGTTTTCCAAGGGCAGAGTGGTGGGTGGAGCTATGGGTGTTGCATCAAGAGACTTGGGTTTGAGTCTCAGCGCCGCTGCAGGTCAGCTCTCGGGGTTTGCTTGTGGGAGATGCTCACTGCTAGAAAAAAAGCTGCAGCTCCTGTAATTCTACGCTCAGTCTTTGTGCTGGGGATTATTTCCAGTGAGCATCATTCATTGCTTTCTTAGCACCGAACCACACCAGTTGTAGACCCTTGGAAGCTGTTTCCTATTTCTTGCTCACATTTCACCTCTCACCAATTTTCCCCCTTAAGTTTGTCTGAACGATTTTTCTCGGTATCCCTCCAGTGTATCACAGGGATTGGCCTATGTAGTAGGCACTGAACACGTTTATAGCCTGAGGATGTGACTTTTAAACTGACCTTCACCAAACAGTGCTATGCATTCCCGTGCTCTTTCAGCAGTTGATTGCCTATGCTTTTGTGTTTTTAGGGTCTAAATAACAAAAAGAATTTACCAGCAGGGGGTGCTATGATACGCTGTTTGGAAAACATTGCAACCTTCATGGAAGCTTTGCCTATGGATTCTCCTAGTAGCCTGTGGACCACAATCAGCAACCAGTTTCAGACATTTTTTGCCAAGCTGCCTTGCGTTTTACCTCTGAAGGTAAGCTGAGCCGAAGATTTCATTGTCAATTAATTTCTTACCATTTTCAGACCATTTGTTTACAAGCAGCAGAGTCTTGGGTGATTTAATGTATGGCAAAGGACAATGAGGAAACTCCGTCAGCCTCGGAGTGAGGAGGCTTATTTGGGTTGTTCTGTGTTCTCTTAGAGAATGACAGGAATGTGGAGCGAGCATTTTGCTCACTGATTATGAATATGCATGTTTCCAGTTGATTTGGGAAAAAAAAAAAAAAAAAAACAGCCAGGAAGACATGAGTAGATTGTGTTTATCTGGCAGTTTTTCTCTGGTAGATATTAAATAAGTAAATAAATAGTTTTGCCCAAAAGCAGCCCAGACTTATAATGTAAAGTTTCCATTTTAGAGAATGAGCTAAAGGGAAGTGATTGCTGTGTTTGTGAATGATGATATTTCTGCTTGACTGTTACACCCTACACCATACCATCTCCCAAGAATATACACACAATTACCTGCCTGGAAATCTGGTGGCCCAAGGATCATTGACAACTTGAGCTCAGTAAATGCAAATAAGAAGCCAATACTGTTAAAGCTGGAAGAAATCTATAAAGATCATCCTTTCCAATGCCCCTGTTTTCTAAATGAATTCTGCAAATTCAGAGAGGCGGTGTAGCTTCTGGAAACAATACAGTGGTGGCAATGTGGGGATTAGAACTGAGTTTTCTGACTTACAGTGCAGTGCTCATTTCACTAACAGACTCTTCTTGCCCTTCTACAGCAGGGGGGAGTTGAAGACATTCATGTCTCTAGAGTAGGGGGCAGGGTGATGGCTGGCAGTGGCGTTGCTGGCTTTGAACCTGACCTGCTCCATGAGGTTTTTTGTGCTTTCTCTATGCAGATTACAGAAGCATTTAACTGGCAACAAAATGAATCAGGCAGGGCATAGTGGCTCATGCCTGTAATCCCAACACTTTGAGAGGCAGAGGTAGGAGGATTGCTTGAACCCAGGAGTTTGAGACCAGTCTGGGGAGCATGGCAAGACCTCGTCTCTATGAAAGATTTAAAAAAAAACATAGGCTAGGCAATATAGTGCGACTCTGTCTCTTAAAAAAAATTAGCTGGGCACGGTGGCGTGCACCTGTAGTCCCAGCTACTTGGGAGGCTGAAATGGGCTCATTGTTTGAGCCCAGGAGGTTGAGGTTACAGTGAGCCATGATTGCACCACTGCACTCTAGCCTGGACGACAGAGAGAGACTCTGTCTCAAAAATAAACAAACAAATAGAAAATATTTTAAAAATTAGCCAGGTGTGATGGCATGTACCTGTTGTCCCAGCTACTTGGGAGGCTGAGGCGGGAAGATTGCTTGAGCCCGGGAAGTCGAGGTTGTAATGAGCCATGTTTGTGCCACGGCACTCCAACCTGGGCAACAGAGTGAGATCTTGTCTCAAAAATATAAAATAAAATAAAAATAAAGTGCATTTCCCGTAGACAGAAAAACAAAAGGATCAGGTTACATATTAGTAGCTCCACTTCTGAAATGAGTATTATGTATACATAAGATACTTGACAAAGATCAGCCACCTGTGATAATACATTTTTCCAGATAGGCAGATACTACTAATAGGTCTGCAAGGGATAATGCAGGGACCCTTAACTCAGCGTGTGCTGCTCTGAGTTTGGAGTTACTGTGAGAAGCAGGAGTACAAAGGAAGGATCTTTACCACCTCTTATATTCTATGATCCTTGTTTGCCCACAGATCTGGAGTAGCCGAATAAATCCAAGCAAGAAGGGTTAGTACTTTGAAACTGTGTATGTGTATAGCTACTGTACATCAACACACAGAAAACTGAGTGCACAAATTTTAAGCACATGGAGCCTCCTAGGACCCGAGAACCAATCAGGGCTTCACTGCTAAAGAGCCGCACATGCTCAGAGAAGGGATGGGATGAGGTATGGCAATTTTTTTTTTTTTTTTTTTTGAGATGGAGTCTCGCTCTGTCGCCCAGACCGGATTGCAGTGGTGCAATCTCGGCTCACTGCAAGCTCTGCCTCCCAGGTTCATGCCGTTCTCCTGCCTCAGCCTCCCAAGTAGCTGGGACTACAGGTGCCTGCCACCAAGCCCAGCTACTTTTTTTGTATTTTCAGTAGAGACGGGGTTTCACCATGTTAGCCAGGATGGTCTCCATCTCCTGACCTCATGATCCGCCCTCCTCAGCCTCCCAAAGGGCTGGGATTACAGGCATGAGCCACCACTCCCAGCTGAGGTAGGGCAAATTAAATGCCTGTGTGCCGATGTGACTGTCAGAAGATTTAACTTGAGCACAGAAGAGTGGCAAGTGTTGCCAGCTGTAAACAAGTGGCATGCCTAATTTGTGACAATCAGCCTGCCCATAGGAACCCTGCCTACAGGGTTAATAAGGGAGAAAAGATAATAAGGAGAATTGAGGCCCTTAGGAACTGGAATGTGCCAGTCCTTCTACGAGGTCAGCAGCTACTCACGCCTGCCAATTGTTGTTCTGTGGGAGCGCAGGCCTCAGGTTGTCTGTCTTCCCTTTTATTCCCAAGATGACATTTTCTGGTTTTTAAATCACTATGGGGCCTGATGAGCAGCCAGTTTTCAGCCTCTGGTTTAAAGTAATGTAAATGTCACACCAACTCCGATGAGTGTCGAGCAGATTAAATAGAACCAGTGGTTCCCTTCGAAGGCACTTGTGAAATACTTTCAGAATCTGTGTAAGAATTTCCCTGGCTAGGGCAGATCTGGGCACTGCCCCTGATCATCTTCTACCTTTGTTTTTAATCTCTGGGGAAAATAATAAACCACTGAAACCTTCTATAGTTTGTTTTCATCAGTTTATAGAAGCAGATCTCAAACATCAGTGTGCATCAGTGTCCCTGAAGGACTTGCTAAAACACAACTTACTGGGCCCGATTTGGGAGTTTCTGATTCAGTAGGAGTGGGGCTTGAGGATTTGCATTCTGGCACATTTCTAGCTGCTGGTTCCAGGATTCCACTTGGAAAACTCCTGGCTTATTTTGTACTGTCTTGAAGAAGTTAATGTATGTACACAGCTGCAGAAATTTAACTACAGCCTGCTATTGTGATCTGTTTACCATATCATTGTTTATTCTTGCTGTAACGTTTCCCCCCATCCTAGTAAACTCAATTTAAAAAGTACATTTTGATGTGGAATCTTGTCAATATAGAACTCGAATGGATAGTTAAGGTATGATTTTCTCTTGTAGAAGTTTTACTGCATTTTCTCAGGTTTTTGTCTTGTTTCTTCAGAGCAGAGAAAGGGCAGATGAAACTGGTTCTTATGTGGATTCATGGTTTTTTAAAATAGATCTAAGTAGGTTTTTCTCCCCCCTAAAATGGCCTTTCACATATTGGTGTATCTCTTTAGAGTTAGATACATTTAATATCTACCCAACAAATTTCTGTTCATTGTCCATCCATCCGTTCATCCATCCGTCCATCCATTCATCCGTCCATCCTTCCACCCAGCTCCCTATTCACCTGTCTATCTCATTAATTTTTAGGGCTATATCTTTGAAAAATAGTTTAGGAGCTGTGTTTAGTTATTTAATTATTTAGCATTGTATAATTGTTTAATTAAAATTGTTTTAACCTGAGAATGCTTTTTCTTTCAAAAAGGATATTATGACATGGGAAACTGTAGAGAGGCAGTCATATTTCAGATTTTTCCTTCTGCTAAAATAAATGTTTTCAGGACATATTTGAAGCAAAAGGTATATTAAGGTGGAAACTAATTTTTACTTTTTTCATATTTATTCACAGTGTTCTTTAGATTCCAGTTTGAGAATTATGATTTGCCTCTTGAAGATCCCTTCTACCAATGCTACAAGGGTATGTATGTTTCAGAAAAACATAACCAATTGGTTAGTCAGTTATTTTTTAACCTTGTGAGATAAGCTTGTAGCAATACTGAAGACACAGTTATTGCACACCAAATGCTTCCCTTTCAGCCTCCTTCTCTCTCTTCACGCTAGGTCAGTGCCTTGTATAAAGAGCTCTATCCAATACATCACAATGTCATGGTTTGTAATTGGTCCTACTAGCCCTGTGCCATGGCCACCAATCCATCCCCCATACTACTAACTAGGCGATCCTTCTAAACAGGGTCTTATTGTGTTGGTTCCTTGCTTTAAAATCTCTGATAACTTCTCATTTATTTCAGGATGATGTCCAGATTCCTTAATGTGGTATCTAAGATGTTATTTCATAACTCTCCAGCCCACCTTTCCAATTTAATCTTTGGCTCCATATCTCTTTCATCCATTCCTCCTGTGCACTTTCAGAATCAGCGTTATCATCATCATCATCGAAACAACAACCACTGTTTGTTATCCTATGGCAGACATTGTGCTTAATGCTTCAGATATATAATCTTATTTAATTTCGTATTTCCTTGCCTTTGCTTAGGCCATTTCCTTTGCCTGAAATGCTTTATGCCCTTGTTGGTGTGATGAACTCCTTCTCATTCTTCAAGGTCCCATTTAATGAAAATACATGTTCATATTATCTGTAGCAACTTTCTCCTGTACCAGCTCCCACAGTATTTGATAGAGCTCTCTATAGTAGCACGGACATTGCCCTGAAGTGGTCCCAATGAGACCACAAGCTTCAAGAAGTTCTGCACCGTGTCTCATTCACCTTTTTATTCCAAGCTATATTTTCTGGCTGCATTCGATGCCGTGGTACCACAATTTGTATTGCTATAGCTTGTAATTACTATTTAGTATACCAACAATGTACGTATTCTGCAACTATTTAAGTTGACTGTGCTTTCATAGACTCATGATTTATGCTAGTAAGTTACAAAGAGATCATTGGGTTCAATCTGCTCATTTACAGATGAGGAAACAGGTTCAGAGAGATGAAATGTCTTGGCCAGGGTCACATAGCTGGTTAGTAGAAGATTTGAGACTTGAATATAGGTCCTTTGGGTCTGTATTGCCCCATCACTGTGCAACTTGATATAAGAGCAAGTTTTCTTATAGGCTTGAATTCAGGCTTCTCTTTTTGACCAATAAGGATACATTATGTGCAACATGAGACATTCCCATTCCATTCATCTATCATCAGTTTCAAGACAGTAATGTACATATATATATATGTACACACATACACACACATCTATATATATATATTTTTTGAGACGGAGTCTCACTCTGTCGCCCATGCTGGAGTGCAGTGATGCCAACTTGGCTCACTGCAGCCTCTGGCTCCCAGGTTCAAGCAATTCTCCCTGCCTCAGCCTTCCAAGTAGCTGGGACTACAGGCATGTGCCACTACGCCTGGCTAATTTTTGTATTTTTAGTAGAGATGGGGTTTCATCATGTTGGCCAGGTTGGTCTTGAACTCCTGACCTCAAGTGATCCACCCACCTCGGCCTCCCAAAGTGCTGGGATTACAGGCATGAGCCACTGCACCCAACCTCAAGGCAACAGCATTTATATGGAGCAAAGAATAATGAATCATTAGTACTATTTCTGTGAGTTTCTTTAAGATTTTCTATATGGAAAGCACCACATGGATTTCTGTGGAGAATACAAATAAGTAAAAAACAGAATTCCTATCTTTAGGGTCAACTAACACAGAGTGCATTCGTTTTCGTATCAATAAGAAAAAAGAACCTCAAATATGCTTATATCCTTTGATTTAGTCATTTTTTTCTGGGAATCTATTCAAGGAAGAAAATGCAAATGCTAATTTCATGTAAAATATTTTTATTGGGGTGTTATTTATAGAATTGGCGATTATGAAGAATTAAATGGCACTGGGAATTTCTGATGTTATATTAAGTTAATAAAAAACAAAATACAAGCCATCCCATTACTGGGGATATACCCAAAGGATGATAAGTCATGCTGCTATAAAGACACATGCACACATATGTTTATTGTGGCACTATTCACAATAGCAAAGACTTGGAATCAACCCAAAAGGCCATCAGTGACAGACTGGATTAAGAAAATGTGGCACATATCCACCATGGAATACTATGCAGCCATAAAAAAGGATGAGTTCGTGTCCTTTGTAGGGACATAGATGCAGCTGGAAACCATCATTCTCAGCAAACTATCGCAAGAACAGAAAACCAAATACCACATGTTCTCAATCATAGGTGGGAATTGAACAATGAGATCACTTGGACACAGGAAGGGGAGCACCACACACCAGGTCCTATTGTGGGGAGGGGGGAGGGGGGAGGGATAGCATTAGGAGATATACCTAATGTAAACGACGAGTTAATGGGTGCAGCACACCAACATGACACATGTATACATATGTAACAAACCTGCACGTTGTGCACATGTACCCTAGAACTTAAAGTATAATAAAAAAAAATACAAGATTTTACATGTGTAATATTTCCACTATGTTCAAAATGTAATCATGAGGTGGTGGGATTATGGATGACTTTTACTTCCTCATGTGTCCTTTCCTACATATCTTGAGTTTGACATTGAACATATATTACTTTTGAAAACCAGACAGCGAGCACTATAGAGATTGAGAAGTAGTGGAAATCATGGCATGCAAGTGTTTTGAAATCCAGTTAAAATCCTATCTTCTCTGCAGAGCAATTCTACCTGTGGAAAATTGCCCCGGAACTTGGCTTTGAATTCCACCTGATACCTTCATGGCCTTAGGCAAATTACTTGTCTACTTAACTGCCTAAGCTGCAGAATAAGAATGGATACTAAAGCTTCAGAAGGTTAATAATGAAGACCATAGCTAACAATGATGGAGAGCTTACTGGTGTCAAGTGCTTTACATATATTATCTCTTTTAATTCTCATAACTTGCACCCTAATGAGGTGGAAGCCATTATTATTCCCCTTTTACAGAGGAGAAAACCAAGTTCCAGAGAGATTAAATCACTTATTCAAGGTCACAGCGAGCTAGAGTGTGAAAACCCTTGTGTCAGAATTTAGTGCTTGTGTCGTTACCTATATTGTAACACACTGTCTCCCAGGATAGTTATGAAAAATTTGAATAAGATAAACTATATGAAATCATCCATCTAACTCAGTCTGACACTCAGTAGGTACTCAACAAATGTTTCTAAATAACTTAAGAAAGTATATGGAACTAAAACTGATCCTTTATGGGTAAGATTCAGGGGGAGAAACCGAAACAGACTATGCCTTCCTGATAAACATTGGCAGAAGGCTGGGTTGTGATGAATTTTATATAAGCTATAGTACTTTGGTACTTACACGCAAGGGTGCTTTGCGCTACTTAACCCAGAAGACAGGCTTCCGGATCTGAATATGATGAACTCATAAACACTTAAATGTGCTGAAAATAGAGTGGAAGATCCAACTGCCAACCCCACACTCTTGATTGCTTAGGGTGGACATGAAGACAGGGTTGAAGTTAGGAAGGTTTGTAAATGATACCACATGGAAAAATGAATGTCTTTTTGAGCAGTGAAATGATTTGATCCTGCTCTTTGAGCCCTCGACTGAAGGTGCAGTTCTGTTTTTATTAGACCAACGGGGTTGCTACAGGAGCCATCTGGCAATAGATTTTTCAATTTAAAAAACAGTGATTCCATTAGTTAAAGTATCATAAGATTTTAATACTTTTTTAAATGAAATAATCAGCAATTGACTTTATTTGGCCCCAATCTCATTGCAGAGTTTGTTGGAACCATTTTCAAAACTGCTCAGCTTTGTAATTCAGAATGCCGTCTTCACTCTGGCCTACCTGGTGGAGCTGTGTGGCTTATGTTACCGAGCTTTCACTAAGGTAAGCAAGCTTCCATATGCGTGTTCCTGTGAAACTGAAAACTGGAAAAAATATATTCTTTTGAATCAGTGTCAAGTCCCTTTTAGGTCAATTGCTTCCATATAGTTAAAAATGAGTAATACTACTGAGATCTAATAAATACCATGGTAAGGAAACACTTTAAACACACACACACACACACACACACACACACACAAAATGTCTAAAATATGCACATATGCAGATTTGGAGAACTGAGGGTCATGTGGTTAGAACAGAAGTGGTATTTTTAATGAAAAGAGCTAATGGTTGACAGGACCTCTTAAGGTCCTTTTCAAGTTCACCATCCCATGACTGGGGGGCAAGACATCTCTACGTATCATTTTTATACCCAAAGTAGAAGAATATCAGCTTGTCATTTGTAAAAGCCTTTGAAGGGCTCCTTAATTCTCATCATGTGTCTGTCTTTTCAGGTCTGGGTTCTTGGCCTCTGAGATTGGAATCTCATCTTTTGTCATCTTGTCTTAATAATGGTTTCTCTATTGCATTATCTGTAGCAACCCTGGCCCACTACCGAGAAAGTGGAAAAGTACTGCTGGCCCAGTGGCAGTAGCAGCCTTGTTGGAGCTGGTAGATGCTGTCCTAATGGAAAAGCAGTAGGCAGGGCAAATTGGGAGCATTTCTGTCCTTAAGAACAATGTGCAAATGTTACCCTTTCAATTTCCAAATTTTCCAAGCTTGTTTTCAATGGGTCTCTGTTTCTGTTGTTCTCTCTTGAACATTCAGAATGTCTCTTATTCATGTTGTCCATTTCTATAAGCCCTTTATTTTCCTCATAAAAATCTAATTTTATACTAAGGCTTTCATTCTATTTAAAGCATTCTTGTCCTCTTTCTTACCAACTTGGGTCCATTCTGTCATGTTAAGTGTTCCATGGTAATCTTTTATTTGGTTTTTCTGATTAGAAACTATTTATTACCCTGCCTGGAGCAATATGTTTTCTAACTACTAAGATGGTCAGCATTTTTTTCTTCTTTTAGAATCTTCTTGAAAGATAACTTCTTCCTTCTTTTTCACTTAAAAAAGTAGATCTATAAGAAACAGCACCAAAAAGATTTTCTATTTCTAGAAACCATTAGATTTCTTCATTGTGTTTATGTTTAATTTGTTTAAATTATACCTTTTTGGGGGGACAAATCATAATGAGTTTATACTTTCTATGTTGTACAGTATAGATATTGATTACAGGGGCCTTTCTAGCATTTGAATTCAAGATATTATTGGTTTTCAATTCAAGATATTCATTACATACAATATCTCTTCATAATCCCTCATAACTTTAGTGGCCTCTTACTTCCCATTATCATCTACCCTTTCTCATTCTAATACAAGATGATGACTACTTGTAGAAAGCTTCAGTTGATGGTGTTCCTACCTTCCTCACCGATAATGAGAAACTATAAGAAATCGTTTAAAAATAGCAGTAGCTAATTCAGCTGTCTCCCTTATATAATCAAAAGAAAAGGCACAGAAAGGTAAGAACTTTGGAAACTTCTCTTTCTAGCAATCTGGTAGTCTAGATACCCTGAAAACCATACCACTTAAACTACTAGGAACACCGGATGAAATGTAATAAAGGTGATTTTTAATGTAGAGCTAATTTTATAAGAATGAAAGGAGCAAAAATGAAGCGGGATTGAGGATCAGAGTGGTAAGCATATAAATAGCCCTGTGGTGGGGGTGTTGCTTGTCTTGGCAACTTAGTGGCTAGAGTTTTAAAGCCCATACAAGGAAAGGAGATGAAGTCTTGGGATTATCCAGGCAGGGAGTTGGATCTGAGTTATCCCTAGCAAAAGGTCAGAACCCTTGAAAGGCTAGTCACTTGGTAAAAGGGTAGTTTGGAAAGAATACATTCTTATATAGAGGTGACAAAGAATGGTGTCTGTCTCAGTTTGGAAACTGGGAGAAAGATTTATAGTCTCCCTTGCGAATTAGTAAACATGGGCCTATCTTGGATCAGGTTTAGAGTCTGAATTTATAATACCTGCATGTTCTTGGAACTCCCAAGTTGAAGAGTCAAATAACATTAGTGCTGAGCAAGTAATAACCTTGGAATATCTGGCAGAAGCAAGATCAAAACAAGCCTCAACCTTCTCTGGATTAATATGTCTCCAGCCTATGCCCAGCAGGATTCCTATAGTTAAAATCCTAATGAACATGAGCTCATAATCTAAAATTACAAAACAAATGAAGATATAACCCACCTTGTGATAGATTAGGATAGTCAACAAGTAGCAAGATCATTTCCCATGAGAACTTTCAATATTAAAACTATGTGATAAAGATATAAATGATAAACATATCATTAAAAATGATAATATATAAGTGATTATACTTTAAATGATATGCATATGAAGAATGTATATATAAATATTAGAAAATATTATAATAAAAATATAAATATATAAATGACTATACTTTAAATGATAAGCATATGAAAAATAAATAAAATAATATAATAGATTTAGTCATTTCAAAAATTTTTAAAAATGAACCAGACAGATTTAAACAGAGTAGAAAGTCTAGAAATTAAAAACAATCACTGACATAAAAAACTTAATGGATAGGTTAAATAACAAATTAGACATAGGCAAAGAGAGAATTGGTGAAATGGAAAATAGATTGGAAGAAATTACCTAGAATTCAGAAGAGAGAGATAAAGAGATGAATATAAAGAGAAATTCTAATATATATCTAATAAATATTTCAGATAAGGAAAATCTGCTTTTTATCAATTCTAGAATTGATGAAAATATTTAATTTTCTTATTCAGGAAACACAATGAGCCCTGAAAGTATTATAAATAAGCTAAAGTTTTACCTGCTCATGTCATAGTGTACATGAGTAGGTATAACTTGTCAAAACAGCAAGACAAAACATTTTCAGAACAACCAAGGGAAAAGACACTCTGAAGACAGACAATACGCTTCTCAACAGCACAATGAAAGCCAGAAGATAAATGAAAAAAAAAAATGTCTTTAAAATGATAAGAAAAAAGAACTATCTACCTGGAATTCTCTACCAGCTAAGCTATCCTTCAAAAGTGAAGGATAAATAGATATTCTATCAAGAAAATAAGAAAGTTTCTAATAGATTCTTACTGAAACAACTACTAAAAGATATAAGAAGGAAAGTGAACCAAGAAGGAAGGAGTGAAATGTGTGAAGGAATGATGCTCCAAGAAATTGGTACAGTGTGAAAATCTAAGTGATCATTGATAATACAAAGCAGTAATAATAATAATGTTAATCAGATGGGCATAAAAACAAAATAACAATAAAATACTAGAAAATAGTACTCTGTATGGGGGGTTGTGTGTGTGTGGTTGGAGATTGGAGTTAAAGCATTCTATATATTATCTACAAGAAGGGCAGAGATAATAACTTTAAACTCTTAAGAATACATGTAGACATTGTAAATGTAAGCTCCAAAGGCCAGAAATACAATTTATAAGTTCCAAACAGAAAATAAAACAAGAATAAAAGTTCAATCAAGACAAAAAGAGAAGCATAGAACAAGCTGTAACAAGCACACGTAAGATGACAGAATCACAATAAACATAAGTTTACTAGACTCACTAGGGATTGTCAGATTGACTTTTAAAAATTGAGCTACGTCTAAAACATGTCTAAAGACACTGAGAAAATTTAAAAGAAAAAGCTTGAAAAAAGATACACCACACTAATACTAATGAAAAGAAAGCTGAAGTCAGTCAACTGACTTTAAGTTGAAAAGCATTATTATAAAGAAAGTCACGATATATTGATAAGAGGAGCAATTTACCCAGATAATGTGGCAATTCAAAAATTACCTAGAGCTGATAATATAGCCTCTAAATATATAAAACAAAATATAATAGGCTTACAAAGATAAATTGATAAATTCAAGGTTATACAGGGAGATTTTCTGTTTCAGTTATGGATAGATCAAGCAGATAAAACATATAGTAGATTCAAACAATACAGTGAGCAAAGTGGATGAAATGGTCATATAAAGAATCCTGAATCAACCAATTTTAGAACATATTTAAAAATGTGGAAGATTTTAAAACATGGAACAGATAGTAGGCAATTAATTAATTAAATAAAGGAAACAGTAAGGATAAGAGCAGAAATTAATGAAATAAAAAACAGATATACCAGCCTGGGCAACATAACAAGACCCTGTCTCTACAGAAAAATAAAACAATTAGCCAGTGTGATGGCATGCACCTGTAGTCCTAGCTGCTCTGCAGGCTGAGGTGGAAGGACTGCTTAAACCCAGGAGTTTGAGGCTGCCATGAGCTATGATTGCACCAACTGCACTCTAGGCTAGGTGACAGAGCAAGACCCTCTCTTCTTCTTTGAAAAAAAGAAAGAAGGAAGGAAGGAGGGAGAGAAGGAAAGGAAAAAAGGAAGGAACGAAGGAAGGAGAGAAGGAGGGAAGGAAGGAAGGAGAAAGGAAGGAACGAAGGAGGGAGAGAAGGAGGGAAGGAAGGAAGGAAAACATAGATACAATGGAAGACCAATTCAACAGAAAGGTGGCTCTTTGACTAGACTAATAAAATAGACAAACCCTTGGCAAGACTGATCAAGAAAGCCAGATAAAAGACACTGATAAAGAATATCAGCAATGATGATGAATATCAGCATAACTACAGACATTAGAGATTTTAAAATGAACAACCTTATGCCAGTAGGTACAATTTTCTAGAAATATATCATATAGAACATCCAGAAAAAAAGAAAAAGAAATAACTGACTAGACTTAGATGCCTGGAAAATGGCATCAATAGTTAAAACCCTACCCTCAAAAACTATTCCAGCTTTAGAGGACAACTTCTACTAAACATTTAAGAACTGATTGATCTCTTCTTTATACAAACAATAGAATAGAAAAAAAGGGAACACTTCTCAATACATTTTATGAGGCAAATAGAATTTTGATATCAACCAGAGAAGGACAATAGGGGAAAGGAAAAT